GCCACTATGCTGCCACGTTGACCCGCCTCCATGCCAACAAGATGGGCCATCGTCGACAACCTCTGACTCCAACCAGACAGACAGCCGCGATGACAAGTGCGCCGCCATGCTGCCAAGTTGTCCATCTCGAGTTGACCACAGTCCAGAACCTCTGTCTCCAACTAGAAAGACGCCACGCTGACAAGCGCACCGCCATGTTGCCATCAGATCATTGACAGACCACAGCCATCCTGCCAAGTTGACGAGTGTTTCCAAAGCATTAATAAACGATGAAGACAGGAGTTGTGCAAGTGTGACTTGGAAGGAGAATAACAACAATTGGAAAAGTACAACTCAATGATGTCGCCTGGGCACGGTTGCTGCCCAACGGCTTTAAAAAAAATAAAGGCAGCACTTGTGACAATGAGAAGAAACTCTCAAAGTCAACAAAGTTGCTGCCATACCTGTCTCGACGCTGCCCAAAGTCTAATAGCGACAGGTGTAGTCCCCAGGCCGTGCCCACCCCTCTTACATGATGGGCCCACCCGTCCCTCTTGCATGACAGGCCGACCCATCCCTCTTGCATGATGGGCCACGGCCACCCCCTTGCGGAGATGGCCAAATGGTGATGGGAGGAAATGTTAGTAGTATTCGGTCCTGGAAAGGTCCACCTCGGCTTGGCCTGGCTTGGCTCGGCGGCATGGCACTCGGTCTGGCACGGCACTGGCACGGCACTGGATGACTTGGAGGGAATAGACCTCGCAACGACAGGTCATCGTGTGAATGAATCACAACGTCTCCACTGTGTCATCTGGGTAAGGGGATGGATGTAGGACCACTGATTGGTGCGTTTGTAACTCGACTTTGTTGTTGTTGTTGTTGTTGTTGATGTTGGTGGTTGATTGGTTTCAATCGCCAGCTGAGAGATATTTGGGTTATACCCATCACTCATCTGCTTGATCGACGGCAAGATATAAATAGGTGAATTACTAATTGAAAAGGAGAGGGACCGGAGGAGAGCAGACTGGCTCATCCACCTCATAATCTGGTGATGGTGGATATTGGTATCTGAGTTGTTGGTGGTGGCCAATGTCTGCTTGGGTGACTGGATGACTGGATGGTAATGTTGGATATAGTTGGTCTCCAGGTCTTGGTCCGAGGTCGGAAGGTTGTTGATTGATTTCATTGTCTTGGATGAAAAGGACATGGACGAGGATGGTTAGTACTTTGTTTGACAGCAGACAGGCAGACATCACTCAATCAATGAATCAATGAGTTCATTTGATATAAACATACGATTTGGTCCCATTTGATTTGGGGTGGATACTGGTTGCCTTCTGGGGTAGACAGGCAACGATCGTAACAACCTGAGACAGATACAGTGAATGAGCTGGACATTACTATTCTCCTGGTTGAGAGGAGCGTATGGGACAGTATTCGCAATGACAAATGCGACATCAAGAGGAACCCTGCGTGAGAACCTGAATCCATCTTGATCCTTTCCAAATAAAATCTTTGGTCGCCTGTTGTCGAACAGTGGTCTGATTGGTTTGACATATGGGCGTATGAGAAGTGTCGCGCCAATGTCAATGAAGACCTTGAACTTCCTGATGATCGTGCCTTTTTCGGTGGTCAGAAGCAAGGTCTTGGGAACTGTCGGGTCAAACAACAGTCTAAGGGGCTTGGCTGGTGGATAGAGTGATTGAATATAATTAAATTGCATTGTAAGAATAATAATAAAGTCGAGTTGAAGAAGGCGTAGTAGTGTTGGAAAACACTGTTTAAAGTGATATTATAGTTTTGTAGATAATAGTTTGGCAAAAGCCGAAGTAGAGAGTCTATAAATAATAATAATATGATTGATTGATATGATTGATTGATTGATTGATTGATTGGAAGGTTGGTGAGATAGAGAGTCAATGTTAGTATTATGAATTAGAATGATGATAGTATTATAGTAACATTGTAATAATGTTATAAAAGTGTACATACATGTAATAGAGTTGATATGGTAATGAGTGATGTCAATGCCCACTTGTCCAAGGACATTCACCGCAATGAGAGAGAGTCTGTGAGTGGGTGAGAAGTGACACTCACACACACTCACACACACACACACACACTCACACACTCATAAACACACATTTTGAATTAAATATTAAATATTTAAATATATTTAATTAACAGATTGACCATTTAACGGTCCATTTGAATTTGTATCACTCAATACCATCTCAGTGTCATCATCAATGAAGTTCACGTTGATGAGTCTTGGTTAATACTAAGTGAGCCCCTACTATCGTTCCACCTAGAATACTCTGATGAATGAATTAATGAATGAGTCTTTTTGTGACACTGCTCTTCTCAGGTGTCCATTGTGATGTTGATGAGCTTGCATGTGATCTGGTGGTGTAGTGGGTGGTGACGATTGAATTAGTGCATCGCTTCCCGATTAAAGTCTGACTTGGATACATGCAAACATTAATCTAATGAGTTGACAACTGTCCAAGATGTTGTAGCTACATTGGTTGTATTAATGAGCAATACTAAATGATATTGGCAAAGCAAGCCAACCTCTCTTTAGAATGAGTGATGTTCTACCAATGACAGTGGTGAGAAATTGGTTGGGGGTGAAGTTCAATCTCATTTATTAATTAAATTGGTAGGATGACAGTCAATCAAAGCACGATGTCAATCTATCGTCATTCATTCATTCATCACACAGGAATTGTAGAAAGAATGGATAAATCCATAGTAGAAAGAATTCTTTCCATCCCTTGGAGAATTACAACAGATAACTTAGACACCTTCCAACTTCAATCTCGACCTCGTGTTGATTGACGATCATCTTATCAAAGTCCCTGTTAACACTGACATCAACATATCACCTCTATTCAGGATACCAGATGCATCGTATTACCCAACAGCAGTTCATGAGGCTCGAGGCCCAGGAGAGAGGAGGTGTATGAGCATTCGTGTGTCACCAAGTTTTGAGATGGAATGCCGACCCTACAACGACCAGCTTTCCACTCTAAGGTACAAGATGATTTTCTATCTGGAGAATGGAGTTCAGTCTGGACTTTTAGTGGATGGAAAGGGCGATAGCATCTACTTGTTCGGTTGCATCCCTTCTGCAGGTGCTCCTCTTTTGCCGTACCATTTGGTTCCACATCATGACCTGGCCGGTCAGTTTATGCATCCTGGGGTGCCTGCTCAGATCGGTGCCATTTCAAACCCAATGCCAGCTCCCCTCGCTGCTGGAGCCACACAACAAGAGCGGAATCAACACCGACTCCAATACCAGCTACACATGGATCAACTGGATACTGTAGGCTTCCAACATGAGTACTTCCAGAACATGACTGTCGTGCCAGGCCATCCGACTGTGTGCTCACGGAGAGTACCATTCTGGACTGCTCTCAATCCTGCGCCCGATCCGCTCCAACATGGCCCCAACATTTTGGTCGATTGTATTGGAGACGTTGGACATGTTTCCCCACCGGCACCAACGTCTCCACATACCCATTGTTATAAATAATATTGTTTCTCCAACAGATAGATCAGTGACAAATGAGCTATAAAATCACTCATCTTGCTGATTGGTTGAAAGCATTGGGTGAGTGAGTCTAGTTTGAGAACTCTCTTGTCTTGTGTATGTGTGCTTGTTTGTTCATTGATGGTGATGGACTCTCGACTAATGTGCCAAGGTAATGCACTAGTTGAAGGAATGATATGATTAATTAAAAGATTGATTGACTGATTGGAATCATTCCAGAGTGAGGTGGGTGTTAGATCATCACATTCACATTAATATCTAGAATGTTTAAACTTTCGGAAATCTAATCTTTGTTTGCATCCTCAAATCGATCGGTCACGAATCCTAAACAATCGAACTTATCAAGGGATCGAACTAATTATTATCCTGGTGTCATCATTGTAAGCAGTGTGAGATAGAGAGAGAGAGAGAGAGAGAGATAGAGGGTATGCTATTGAATAGACAACATCTACACACAAGGAGACTGCGGTCTTCACTTGTTAATGTGTTTCAGTCATCACATCAGTCATCATTGACAACAACAATACCTCAAGGTGGTGGTGGCAGTAGTAGTCTCTTGTTGATGTCAATCGCAAGGCCAATAATAAGATACAGCACATCATCATCATCAAGAAGATATTGTAGAGTACTCAACCATACCAACAACATCTACAACAATAGCAACAACAATGTCATCAGTAGTATAAAGTCATTGATCACGCCCATTAGACATTATTCGACGGCATCAACTTTGGACGAAACATCTAAACCTCAAGCCAAACAACTGCTTCAATCATTGCTGGATGTTGTATCGAGTCAACAGTCAACATTGAACAAGACAGAGAGTGATAGATTGGCACAGTATATCAAGGACTTGAAGTTGAATGATTCATTGTGCGAGTTCCACCTGGGCACATTCTTTGCTCAGGGCATCGGCATGGACAAGGCAGACGCAGACAAGGCGCTGTTCTGGTATAAGCGCGCAGCAGATCATGATTTGGCCGAGGGCCAGTACGCACTGGGCATCGCCTATCTCAGCGGATCGGCACTCACTGTGTTCAAGCCGGTATTCCCATCACTCAACGCCGCTGCCCAAGCAAAGAAAGGCGCCAACAACAACAAGTCCACCACGATCATTGGCGAAGGATGGATATCGAATGACGACGCCGCTGACTTTGACTATTTCAAATGGCTTCAACAGGAGAGACAACGTGTGCGCGAGCTCAAAGAGTCTGGTTCAATCTATCGTCAAGAGCAATTAGAACTGGCGCGAAAGAAAGAAGGTCTACGCTGGCTAACCCTAAGTGCCATCCAAGGTTATTGGCATGCACAGTTGACTGTATGTTTGATTGATGGATGATAGCTTATCATTCATTCCACTCACACAAATCAATCAATCAAACAAACGATTAGCTTGGACTTGTATTACTTCAAGGAAAGTATGGCATGGAGCAGAATGAGAAGAAAGCACTGTATTGGCTGGACAAGGCATCAAAGGAGAGAGTGGACCTGGAAGCAATGCATCAAGTTGGACTCTACTACTACGCCAAGTTGGACAATGGTATACAAAGTGGTGAACTCAATCCAAGACACAAGGCTGCAGTAAGTTTGAACGTTCAATGAATGTCCATCACTATACTAACTCAAACAACACAATGAACCAACCTCACAGCGAGATCTACAAGAAAAGGCATTTGACAACATCAATGTTGCGTCCAATCGCGGACTGGCAGAGGCGACATACTGGCTGGCATCATTCTTTTTGGGCGTGGTCAACAAGCAACCGGTACAAAGTGTTGGCTTCCAACTGCTGCTGAGGGCCGCTGAACAGGGAAGCGCCAAGGCCGCCACAATGCTCGCACTTCTGCATCACAATGGAGAGCATCCGGATAAGTTCAGAAGGTTCATAAAGCTGGGCGTGGCAGGTGGCGACCCCGTGGCATTGCTCTGCATGGGTGAGGTATACTTTAGTGGACAGGAAGGCTATCAGATCAACTACAAGAAGGCACTCTACTACTTTAGTGAGAGTGCAGCACTTGGCAACTCTGATGCCGCGCTCAATCAAGGTGTCATGTACTACAATGGCTATGGCACTGACATTGACTACGAGACATCATTCTATTGTTACCAGAACTCTTATCAATATAATGTAAGAAGCGGTCATATCATATGGTTTCCAACCAGTCACTAATCCAATACAATACATACACATATAGCCCAAGAATATAGCAGCGATAACCAACTTGTATATGATGCATAGTGAAGGCATTGGCGCACCAAAGTCACCAGAGTTGGCAAACTTCTACGAAACACTTAGAATCAAGCTGGAACAGGAACAGGCAACGAGCGATGGCAAAGGCAGCGAGCCAAAGCCAATATGGTGGTTCCCAGGCAATTGTTGGATAAAGACTTCATCCTCCCAAGATGGTGATTCATAACATTAAAATGGATTGACACGATACAGCTGTATTGAATGGCGACAACTAACTAATAGCTGCTGATAACCAAGAGGTCTGTGTCCAGGTTCATGACCATTGTCTCGAGTGTCTCTGTGATTCGTTGTACTTTGCGCAACAGCTTGGTCTGATCATCAGACAGCTGATCCTCTGGGATTGTCTCCATTTTGGCCACCATGTCGGCATGTGGTGCCATCTCTGCACGCAGTCGCTCGCGACAGTTGAACACGGCCTTGTAAATGTCGTCGACAAACATCTGCGCCACATTATTGTAGTCCACATAGAAGAGATAGAAGGTACGCGCGGCAAAGTGATCGCTGGAGCGAGGCACCTCCTGCAGCTTGATGATTGACCTCTCCATCATCTTGAACAACAACACCTTTGAGTCCTTCAGGGGTATCATTGCAAAGTCCGATATCTGCTTTGGCTCCAACTGCTTCTTGATGAGCAACAACTTGAACACTCTCAGTCCTGCGTCACCAAACTTCTGCTTGATGATTGATTCCACCATCTTTTGCTTCAGCACTGCTGAGATATTCGATATGTCTATGTTTGTTTGTTTGGCGTCACAGATGAGTTAGGACGATTGATTGATTGATTGATTGATTGATTGATTGATTGATTGATTGATTGATGACGGGATACTTACTAACTTGATAAACACCGCCCATTTCGGCCATGGACGATCGGGATTGTGCCTGCATCTTGGTGATGATGGACGGACGTGTGGCCTGCATCAGGGGCAGGTAGCTCTCGAGCTCTCTATTGTCCATCTGATGATTCATATCCGAAGTGCTGTTGTACTCCTTTAAGATGTCATCGGCAAATATCGATGTTGTATTGTGTTCCTGGTTCAATTTGATCGACTTCTTGCAAAGATTGACCATTGAGCTGAACAAATCAGCTGCCTTCTTGTCCAACTTTGAATGAACAAACTCATAACATGACTGGTGATGATGTGGATGAATGATTGTGTTAGACTGATTGATTGGTTGATTGAGCCAGGCCAGGCCAGGCCAGTATAATACATACAATGATCTTTAACTCAATGATGAATTGGTCATAGTTTACACGCCACAGTATCTTCTTCTCCTCGTTGGCGAGCTGTTGGTTCTGTTCCTCGCCATCGACAACTGTATATACATCGACTGCACGTCGCTTGAGAGGCTGGAATGAGTCATCCAATGGGATATCAACCGGTGCCGACTCTGACACAAGAAGTACATCTGGCAATGACTCATCATCCTCATCAAGTGTCTTTCTCTTTCTAGTTGGCTGTTTGAATCAAGTTAGTACATACTACAAACGATGTTCACGACGCACGCAACCTACCTTTCCTCCTGTTGGTGACTTTGCTGAGGGCTTGGCGGAGGTCTTCTTGGTGCCCTTCTTGGGCGCTGCGGGTGAGGTCTCGGATGGTGAGATTGACACTGCTCGATTGCTCACAACGTTATCGTCGATCTTTGTCGTCTTCTTGACGAGCGAGGATGGCAGGGCAAATGGGTCGTGCAATGCCTGTTGCTGCTGACGCGAGAGAGTTGTCTTGCTGGCAGCCTTGACGTCCTTGTGAAAGTTCTCCATCTGCTCCTCGCCCGGCATGATGGGCTTGGGATAGGGCGCCTTCATGATAAAGTGCTCGACGACCAACTGTGTAAAGACCTCCTCAAACTGTTGATTCAAGTCGTCTCCGTAGCTGCCTGTGCGCTGCTTGGTGTAGGCGGCAGTCTGACTGACGACAGCCTCCATCGTGAGACGACCATTATCGATGAGCTCCTCGATCAGGATGGCGGCGGCATCGCCCATCCTCTCGCGGATAAAGTTGATGTACTTTGGGAATCGCAGACGATGAATAGCCTGGCCGAGGTTGGCCGTGTAGTATGCATCCGACACGTCGTCAATTGTCGGCTGTTGATTCGCTGCCTTTGCAGCGGCAGCATCCTTCTTATCCTTTGGCACCAGGAACTCCTCATACTCCACAAGATTATGTTGAATCAATACCAACAGACATTGTCTAACTCTCTTTGTATTCAATCCATCTATCGATTGTACTATAGTCCTCAATATTGATTTGCCTCGAGTGACCAGTAGTCTATATACACTCTGTTCAAGTGATTGAGTGATTGAGTCAATCAGTCAGTCAGTCAGTGAGTCGTTCAACAGTCAAGAGACTAACACTTACCTCTACATCTTCACCAAAGAACTCTTTGACGATGTCGCAAGCTACTTTCTCTTTGTACATTGTTTGTTTGTTTGTTTGATTGATTGATTGAACGAATGAATGAGTACTCAAACTCGTCTGTCTCCAATCAATCTGTATATTTGTAATAATGGTAGTCGAGTTTGAGTATAAGACAAGAATGGCGCGAAGACCGAAGGGGTAGATAACGTTATTCTTTGTTTGTTTATGGGACCAATTTGACAATGCCCACCGATGCAGTGCCAACAAAGTCAAATACACACAAAAAATTCAATTTTGAGTGGTGAAGAGGATAATGACTCAGAGTTCACCAACTTTGTTGATCATCAACATCTTCATTCAATCATTCATTTCATTACATTACATTACACATATTGTATGCTTTGTGTAACTATCATATATATATATCTTTTAATATATAAACATACTAATAGTAGTTGATTGAGATTTATATACAGAAGCATACTCAATATATAGATCGATCTACAACCTTAAAGAAAGAAAGAAAGAACACAAGATGTTGTATAAATATGAAACAAAGAGCAATAGAGTCAAGGGACTGAGCTTCCATCCAACTCGTCCATGGATCCTTGCTTCCTTGCACTCTGGTGCCATCCATCTCTATGATTATCGCATCAAGACTGTGTTGGAGAAGTTTGAAGAGCATGATGGTATGGTCCAGAGACCAGCTGACTCAATGATGCTCAATGATGATCAATCAATCAAACTAACATAAAACACAAACAAACAAACAAAACAAACAAACAGGACCTGTAAGAGGTATCAACTTCCATCATACTCAGCCATTGTTTGTCAGTGGTGGCGATGATTATAAGATCAAGGTTTGGAATTATAAGCAGCGTCGTTGTTTGTTCACATTGAAGGGACATAAGGACTACATTAGGACAGTGGAGTTCCATCGCGAGGCCCCATGGATCTTGTCTGCATCGGACGATCAGATCATCAGAATCTGGAACTGGCAGTCGAGAACCTGCATCGCCGAGCTCAATGGCCACAACCACTATGTGATGTGCGCCAGCTTCCATCCCAAGGACGACCTGATCGTGTCGGCCTCACTCGATCAGACTATCAGAATCTGGGACATCTCGGGCCTCAAGAAGAAGACCACCACAATCAAGGCCTACCAGAACAACGACACACTCAGACTGCAGGACGAGATCTTTGGCACGGACGTCGTCGTCAAGCTGTCGCTGGAGGGCCACGACCGTGGTGTCAACTGGGCAGCATTCCATCCCACCCAGCCATACATCGTGTCGGCCTCGGACGACCACCAGGTCAAGCTGTGGAAGATGAACGACAATGTCGACACCTTCCGTGGCCATCTCAACAATGTGTCGTGTGCACTGTTCCACCCGCGACAGGACCTCATCATCTCAGACTCGGAGGACAAGACCATCCGCATCTGGGACATGGTGAAGCGCACACCCATTCAAACCATCCGTCGTGAGCACGATCGCTTCTGGACTCTGGCGTCTCACCCCACCGCCAACCTGTTTGCCGCAGGCCACGACAGCGGCATGATCGTGTTCAAGCTTGAGCGCGAGCGTCCCACCTACGTGTTCAACGGCACCGAGGGCATCTTCTATCTCAAGAAGAAGCACTTCAACTCGTACGACTTCTCGACCGGTCGCTCGATCCCTCTGTTCAACATTACCAAGCTGCCCGCAAACAACGGCACACAGGTCATGTCGTACAATGCTGCCGAGCGCGCTGTGCTCGTGTCGTCCGACTCTGAGGGCGGCTCCTACCACCTGTACAAGATCCCCACCAGGGACACCAACAACGTCGACACCAAGAAGGGCACTGGCATGGCTGCCATCTTTGTCGGCAGCAACAGGTTCGCCGTGTTGGACAAGTCCAACAACATCATCATCAAGGGCATCGACAATGAGGAGGTCAAGCGCTTCCAGCCCGCCGTCACTGTTGAGTGGCTGTTCCCCGCGCCCGTTGGCCACGTCCTCGTTATGTCAGACGAGAAGATGATGCTCTTTGACATCCAGACCAAGAACCCCGTGGCCGAGCTGGCCACCCCATCCATCCGCTACGTCATCTGGTCCAAGGACTTCAACTTTGTTGCCTTGTTGGCACGTGACAGTATCATCCTGGCCACCAGGAAGCTGGAGCAGATCTGCATCGTCAGCGAGGCCGTCCTGCCCAAGAGCGGTGTGTGGGACGAGCATGGAGTGTTCATCTACACCACATCCAACCATCTCAAGTACCTGTTACCAAACGGCGACAATGGCACAATCAAGACCATCGACACCACCCTCTACCTTACTGGTGTCAAGGGCAGCAAGGTGTTTGCCATGGACCGCGAGTTCAAGAAGCGTGTGATCGAGATCGACAACACCGAATACATCCTCAAGCTGTCGCTCCTGCAGAAGAAGTACGGCGACGTCATTAAGATCCTTCGCGAGAGCCGTCTCGTAGGCAAGTCCATCATTGGCTACCTCCAGAAGAAGGGCTACCCCGACGTCGTCCACTTTGTCAAGGACGACCGCACACGTTTCAACCTGGCCCTTGAGTGTGGCAACATCGACATTGCACTGCAGTCTGCCAAGATCCTGGACGACAAGGAGTGCTGGTCGCGTCTTGGTGTGGAGGCCCTGCGCCAGGGCAACCACCAGATCGTCGAGATGGCATACAGCAGGACTGGAGAGTTTGATCGTCTGAGCTTCCTCTACCTGCTGGTGGGCAACCTCACCACACTCAAGAAGATGGTCAATTACGAGAACACCGACATCATGAGCAAGTTCCAGTACGCCCTCTACCTGGGCGATGTCGATGAGCGCATTAAGCTCCTGCTCGAGGCCGGACTGCATCACCTGGCCTATCTGGCCGCAGCCACCAACGGTCTCACCGAGAAGGCCGAGGCCATTGCCAAGCAGATTCTTGCCAATCCAAAGAACAACCAGCTGCCCAACATTCCCAAGAACACCACTCTCCTACAGCCCCCACAACCCGTATACATTGCCGCCGAGACCAACTGGCCACTTCTCACCATTGCCAAGACCTCGATCGATTTGAATGCTGGCGATGGAAGAAAGTTTGGCATGGAAGACGGAGGCAGCGGAGATTCTAGTCCCATCGCCACTGGAGGTGGCGGCTGGGGTGACGAGGACGTCATGGACGAGGACTCTGCCACAGACAAGCCCGCCAAGACTGAGGACGGTGGATGGGAGGACGACATTGAGATCGAAGCGACTGGAGGCGAGGGATGGGGACTGGACGAGCTCAAGGGCCTCGAGTCTGTTGACTCTGGCCATCAAGACTCCTTCTTTGTACCACCACAACCAGGCCCATCGTTCAGCCAGATTTGGGCACGCAACTCCAACTTTGCCGTGGACCACGTCGCATCGGGCTCCTTCGAGACCGCCATGAACATCTTCAACCAACAGCTGGGTATCGTCAACTTTGAGCCACTCAAGCAACTGTTCCTTAACATCCACCAGGCCACACGTCTGTCGCTGGGCGCCCTCACATCGGTGCCATCACTGCTAGAGCCAGTGCAGCGCAAGCACGGACAACCATTCATCCCCTACAACCTCAACCACTTGATCGACCGACTAAAGTCACAGGCGTACCGCGCCACCACCGAGGGCAGATTTAACGAAGCACTGGAGCACTTCACCTACATTCTACACACATCACTGTTCACGACCGTCGACAACCGACAGGAGTTCAACGAGGTCAAGGAGCTGATGAGCGTGTGTCGCGAGTACATCATGGGCATCAGACTGGAGCTGGAGCGCAAGCAGATTGAGCTGGGCAGCAGACATGCTGAGCTGGCCGCCTACTTCACGCACTGTAATTTAGAACCAACCCATTTGATTCTCAGTCTTAGATCCGCCATGAACTGCGCCTACAAGGTCAAGAACTTCACATTGGCCTCATCATTTGCCAAGAGACTACTCGACCTTAATCCACCTCAAGAACTGTCAACTCAAGTATGTTTAACATTGGTTGATTGATGGACTGATTGTGATCCATACTGACACTCGATCATTCATTCAATAACATAATAGGCTCGTAAGGTATTCAACTTTGCTCAACAGAACCCTACAGCAGGAGATATTAAGATGAACTATGATGAGCGCAATCCATTCGTACTTTGTGGTCTCACTTTGACACCAATATACAAGGGATCGCCAATGGTCAAGTGTCCTTTGTGTATGACCTCTTACCAGCCAGCTCACAAGGGCAAGGTGTGTCCAACCTGCCAGCTTGCCGAGATTGGCAAGGAGGCTTCTGGTCTGCAGTTGGTCATGCTTCAAAAGTAAACACAAAATATATGGTACAAAGGGTCGGTCCAAGCCACCTAGGCCATCAAGTCACTCTCTCTCAATCAATAAATTATCCATAATAATACCCATCCAATCAATCACCATCTGGATGAGTACTCATTTTGCAAATTGGACATGCAATGATGATGCGTGCGCGACTGACAAACTGATTGATTGGGTGAGTGAGTGAGTGCGATGAAGTCATCATTACTAAGTCTTGTTCAATCATTCATTCATTCATTCAAACATATACATATTACAAAGATATAATACAATACAAACAAACATGCTAGTACCATCAAGATTGATCAATGTTGGACTTAGACAGGTGTTGAACAACAGTAGCAAGAATGTTGCTGCTGCCACTACTACTCTGTTCACATCACCAAGTGCCAACAACATCAATATCAACAACAATGTAAACGACAAGCGTACATTCTTCACAGTGCTCAATCAATATGAAGCTGGTGTCACATTCACATTGGGTCGTATGACATCAGTGAAGAAGGCTGGCATTCGTATGCTCATTCCATTCCTGCAAGAGATGGAGGTGGTCGATCTGAGAACAGTGTCAATCAGTCTCGAGAAGCAAGAGATCATCACCAGAGACAATATATCGGTAATCGCCGATGCCATCGTCTACTATCGTGTCATTGATCCAGAGAAGGCAATCGTCAAAGTGACCAACCATGATAAGGTAATCATTGTTTACATTGATTGATTGATTGAATCAATCAATCACTAACTAATACAATCATTGATAGACGATTCAAGAGTTGTCACAGATTAAGATTAGAGAGACACTGTCACAGAATACATTGGACGAGGTGTTGCACAACAGAGAGAAGTTTGGTCATGAGATCAATGAGAGTGTTAGAGAGATTGCTGCAGAGTGGGGACTGTTGGTCGAGCGAATCAACCTCAAGGATATCAAGTTTGAGGAGGGCATGAGTCGTGCCATGGCCAAGAAGGCCGAGGCTGAACGTCTACGTGAGGCCAAGATCATCTATGCTCAATCAGAGGTTCAAACTGCACATCAAGTATGTATATTCAATCAATCAATCAATCAATCAATATATTCAATCGAATGAAATGAACTACCTACTAACAACATCATCATCATTTAGATTCTTGAGGCAGCCAAGACATTAGAGTCATCACCACTGGCCATCAGACTTAGAGAGTTGGACACATTGCAACAGATTGCCAAGGAGCCATCAAAAACATTAGTATTCGTACCATCCAACCTATTCCAGAATGTTCCAGGCTTGACATCTTTCGTCAACTCGATGGACAACAATACACAACAGATCGACAGCAAGACCAAGTCCAAGTAAACTACAAACTAATAAACTAAACTTATCAAGATGATCATCACCAGAACTTCAATCAAAAATATCCAAATTTAAATATGGATAATTTATAAATTGAGAAAAAAGTGGGGTTGACCACCAACAGACACTTTTTCAACACACCCATACAAACATTGAATGAAGCCCACCCCATTCAATTAAGTGTATTAATTAATAAGTATTACTTGTATGTATGTTTATCTATGTGTTTGTGGGTGTGTTGTTTGAGAGTTACTTCACTCATTCACTCATTCACTCACTCTTTTGTTGTTGCGCGCGCGCTCTCACTCTATCCATCCCATCTCTAGAATTGATCACTAACCAGCATACATGTACACCACCATACAAATAATAACAGCATAAGTTAGGTTAATCATTAAAACTTCATCATCATCATTGCAATCAAACAATAATAATAGAACAGATATAAATAGAATATAATAGAATATAATATATTATATAGTTTATCGATTAATCAAAGAAGAAGAAGAAGAAGATGTCCTTTCCTCTTCACGAAAGGAATCCACATCATCAGATGAGTGGAGGAGTAGCCAATGGTTTCAGCAACAACAACAACAATAGTTGGAGTGGCATCATAGGCAATGGTGGCAATATATCAAATATTAGTAATAGCAATAATAACATAAACTTAAATAATAATAATAATAATAGTATACAACAACAGTCAATTCGATATTCAAATGGTGGACTGCCTACAATTCAAAATGGATTGTCATCATCATCGTCAGGCAATATCGATTCGATAGAATATAGGAATAAGATAATGCAACAGCAACAACAACAACAACAGCAACAAGCTCGACAATATATAGGATACCAACAACAACAACAACAACAACATTCACATTTACAACAACCACAACATATACAACTGAAACAGTATCATCAATCAGATTTAAACGATGGATCAGATATATTACTGGGCAACAATAACATCAACAACAATATAGGAAGCAATGATTTGGATGGTAGACTATCATTTTTGGATGGTGTCAACAGCAGCAAATATGGCCTGCATCAGAGTGGAGGCAATATCATCAATAACAATAACAGCAGCAACACAGGTGGAATGAGCAGTCTGATCGGTGGCATCAACGGAATCAGCATTGGCTCAGACCCCTACTCACAGTACCCCACTAGCGCATTCGCCTCGCTCAACACGAGTGGCGGCATTGGCAGCAGCAGTGGCGGAGGTAGCGTTGTAGGCAGTAATAATAACAGTGGTAGTGGCGGTATCAACACTAGTGGTGGCATCACTGGTGGCAGTATAAAGTTAAATGGCAGTGTAAATGGATTGAATGGCAACAACAACAACAACGGCAATGTAAATAGTATCAGTAATAGTAGTTTAAATAGGAGCAGCTCATTGCCACAGACCACACCGAATGGCACCTTGCAGCAGTCCCCATCACTGGGCTTGGGGCGTCCCATGTCACCCTCGACCCTCAGTCAGCTGTTCTCCGGTTCATCCATCGGCGCCCCCAACCCCTATGTACATCAATTGCCATCAGTGGACTTTAAGGAGATGTTTGGCTTTGAATATGGCATGCCAACATATCCTCCCCAGTTCTTTACACAGCAGCAACAGCAACAACAGCAGCAACAGCAGCAGCCTCAGTTGTCGCAGCAACTCTCACCAGCACAGCTGCAGCAAATCCAATATCAACTGCTCCAACAGCAGCAGATGTTGCAGCAACAGCAGCAACAGATACAGCAGCAGCAGCAGATACAACAGCAGCAGCAGTTGTCCATGTCACAAACACTTCGAACCACTCCAAACTTGTCTGGAATCTCTCATCAACAACAACAACAGCATCACATGTCACTCAAGCCATCTCTATCGAGTGAGTTGCTGAACCCACCAACCATTCAACCTGTTCCTGTTTCACCGCTGCTCAACACATCCAACAACAATACACCAATGCACCAACAGTCCAACATCAATAGGCAACAACAACAACAGCCACAAGTACAACAACATCAACAACAGTCACAAACACAACAACAACAACCACAAGTACAACAACATCAACAACAGCCACAATTACACCAACAACAACAACATCATCACCAACAGCAACAACAACAACAACAACATAGCCAACAGCAACAACAACAAATGATGATTCCACAAATACCTCAGCCAGTACCAGACATTCCTCTGGATGACTCTAACTTCCCTGCGTTGAATGCCAAAGACATAAAGAAGAACATTGACAAACATCAGCAACAACAGCAGCAACAACAACAGCAGCAGCAACAGAATCCGCTGTCAGCCTCACAGGAGAAGCTTCGTGAGGAGAAGTTGAGAAAGAAGAAGGAGTCTTTGGCCAAGGCAGCCGAGACTGCACCCGGTGCCGACAAGGTCAAGTTGTCGTGGTTTGAGTTCCAGAGCCTCAGCTCCAATGGCCAAGAGACCGTGGCCGAAGCCAACTCGGACGAGCAGCCCAGCCGCATCCTCTGGGTGGGCAACATTGGTATGGACGTCTCTGAGTCCGACCTCAAGTCAGAGTTTAGCAACTATGGCGAGCTCGAGTCGGTGCGCATACTCCACGATCGCTTCTGCGCCTTTGTCAACTTCAAGGACGTCAACAACGCCATCAATGCCAAGCGCAACATGCACAACCAGGTGCTGGGCAGCCAGTTCATCGTGGTCAACTATCGACAGGCCAAGTCGGACGATCCGTTCGTCGTGGGCGGCACGCTGATCACCACGCCCGAGACGCTCAACCAACTGTCTCGCGCCATCTACATTGGCAACGTCAGTGACAGTCTCTCAGAGAAGGAGATCAGGCGCGAGTGCGAGAGGTACGGCGAGATCGAGTCGGTTCGCGTGCTCCGCAAGAAGGCTTGTGCCTTTGTCAACTTTATGAACATACCCGATGCCACTGTGGCACTTCAGTCGCTCAATGGCAAGAGGCTTGGCGACACCATCGTGCGAGTCAACTATGGCAAGCCACAACCACCCTTCAACGAGAAGTCAGATCATGGCAACAAATAACACAGTGTTCCAGCACACATCGATCGACCCATTAATCCAATGACATGACAACATGGTTCACGAATGATGAATGATGTACTACACTAAAGTGTTATTATCCGCCACCTAATTACATTTGGTATGTTTAGCTGCACCATGGAATCAATCATTCCAACAGTTGGAACTAACAAACAAACCAAACCAAACAGATAGTCAAGCATCATCATCATCATGGAACAACATACACACATCGAACCAGTGATTCCATTCCAAGTTGGTCCATCCAATGGACCATGTAGAATAATTATAATAATAATATATATATATACACATATTTAATTAAATAGGCACATAGTACAATTAATCAAACAATCATCTTTGGTGTTGTTGGAGCAGTGCCAGCTGTGCTCGCAGTTTGGCAATCTCTTGTTCGGAGGTCAAACGAAGAGATCGCTCATTGTCCAGTTCTTGTTTGAGTGTGTTGGTCTGCTTGACAAACTTGATTGCCAGTCCTTGTATCGCTTCCAGCATCTGATCCTTATTGCCAAACAATGAGAATGTACTCTTGATCTTTTGAGCGATAGCTGCTTCCTCATCTGTCATGCTTGGCTTGTTTGGTATTTGTATCTGTGTCTGAGACTGGGGCTGTGGCTGTGGCTGTGGCGGTGATGGGGCAATCACCACTGGTAGCGGTGCCGAGGCTGGCGGCTTGGATGATGTAACTGGAGGCGATGTGTTATGTTGAGGTGGTGAGTGAGATGAAGTCAATGAAGGTGTACTGGTCTGGGGAGAGGACAGTGGTGAAAGGACTGGATGTGATCCATTGGAAGATGCTGATGAGGCGGTGGGTCGTAAGAACATGTTGTTGCTGTTGACGCTGTTATAGCTGTTGTTTGAAACAACAGAGTTGCCACTTTGTTTGAGTGATGGTGACATTGCCAGTGGCGTGTTGCTGTTTGATGCCGACGCTTTTCGAGGAGATGTAGTGCTGGCGGTTGGCGGTGATATATCTTTGATGATCTCTACGCAGTTCTTGGGGAAGATGCCAAAGCTGCTCTTGAGCTTGCCGACCCACCAGTCGCCATCGATGTCCTTTGAGTTGTACACGAGGATCAGGTCGTCGGTCTTGATCGTCAGCTCGTCCATTGCTTGCTTGACATAGGACAGCGTGGCCCTGGTGAGGTAGTATGGCACATCCAAGTTGCATTGAGCGAGTGTGATACGTGTGCCTGCAGTTGGTTGAGCAAACATCGATGATAAAGGCTTGCGCGCCTTGGTATACTCTGATGAGTTTGGCAACGTCATATACTTTGTCGACTCTTGGTGGTCATCCTCTTCATCTCTTTTGGATTGTGCCTGTCCCGATCCATGAAGTGGACGTGCGCCACCATTCCTTGTAGTCTTCTCCTTTTCCGCTTCATCACTCACTGACATTGATGGACCAGACAACTCGCGACGAAGATGATTGTGTTGCTCCATCTGTTCTCCTGATGGACTGGTCGTGCTACGTGGCGTAGTCGATGTCTTATTCAATGCTCGTTGTAAGTCTGATGGCTGGACTGCGATCATTGGTGGAGTAGGGGAGCTGTTGCCATGTCCACCACCACCAACTCCATTATGATTGAATCTTGTTGGTGGCGAGGTGGAGGCTGAATGTGAGTGTGGCGATGTCGACAAGGATATCGATGCCGATGATATTGTGTTATAAATATTCCTTTGAGGAGGTGTAGTTGATTTCTTTTGTTGTTGTAGATGTTGTGTTGTAGTTGTTGGTATTGGTATCTGTGGCGACACTGAATGAACTGGCGAATGAGCCAATATTATACGATCTATCTCTGCAAAGTCATCCTCCAACTCCTTCAATGTAGGCGACACCTGTCCAACTGGACTGGCACTCTTTTTTATCTGCAAATGTTGAGTCGGCTGCTGAGATTGTGACTGTGACTGTGGTTGTGGAAAGGGTTGCTGCCTCTGGCTGGTGCCAAGTGGGTCTGCACCCAGGGTCTCCTTGTCATAGGTGACATAGGTATGTGGGAATAGTCCACGCTTGTCCAATAGTTCGCCACGCCACCATCCAGTGGCAGCAGTCTCGTATACTACAATAGTATCACCTCTACGAAATGACAACTGTGACTGATGTATCGCCTTGTGATCCTTGATCGCTACAACTTGGAAACAATTCATTTTCCAGTTGTCTTTTTTAATATTTCCAAATAAGAAGTTTGATTGATTTGTTAACTAAGGAGTGATTGATTCTGTCTGTCTGTCTGTGTATCAATGATTTAATGATTAATTGATTAATTAGACAATAGTGATGGAATGAGTATAGTGACATACTCACTCACTCAAAGGTGATCAACTATCACCTACTCCCTCACTCTAATATGATCATAGATCAGCAGATAGGGAATGGGTGATCGTGTAATTGATTCGAGCTACAGGTTTAAAGCTGGAACACGATCTGGAGAGAGGGGAATGGTGCGAGAGATGTGTCGGATGGATTATGAGTGAGTGAGTGATACACAACCTCCCCACCAATCACAAAGAAAGATATATGTGTTTGTTTATAATTACGGACAATGATATATATAAATGTGTGTTGTTGAAAGTGTCGCCTGTGGATTGATCAAAGTAGTCAATGTTGTTGTTGTCAACAATGATTGGTGTGTCAAGCATTATTCATACACACACATCTCTAATCAAATAACACCCCCCTCCAAGGTAAGCTTTACACACACTTATTTGTTTGCTCCATTAACACAACTAGTGTTGCAATCTCAGATCGATCGTTCAAGTAATTTACAGACTGAGTAAATGCATGCCTTTAATTCATTATTCTATTTACTCTTTCATGTTTGCTCACCATTCATTAGTAATTATATATATTCTACCATTCATTGGGTCGTACAATGATCACTCTCTATCAATCAATCAATCAAACAATCAGTCATTCAATCATTCTATCATTCAAATCAATGAATAATGATGATGATGAGGTACAGCATTTTCTTTAGAACCCAATCAATGTGAACATTGGACTACTCTTTTCATCCTGATTGAGATCTGCGTCATGACGTCCACGCTCCTCATGAGCGAGATAATCAACATTCTGCCATCCACCAACATCTAAAAGGAATGAGCAACATTGTCAAACAGGAATGAGGAGTTAGGCAACAATCTAGTTTCGGAGATGGACTTGTGTGAACTTTGGACCAGCATGACCAAGAGTACTCGATCATTGCCAACCAACTGGATAATGTTAGTCGCCAAAGTCACCGTGCCTCATCAATCTCAAGTCTGTTGTTGAATATTCAAACAATTAATCAAACTTAGTTCCGATGCGTCATTGCCCGATTACTTTGTCGATTACTTTGGCACTCAACAAAGTATACATTGGCAATTACTTGACGGTCTTCCCAACGATCACTGTGGCTTGGAAACAACTTTCTGATTGACTGATGACTGATTGATTGACTGACTGGCTGACTGGCTGACTGGTTGGGGGAGTGTTGGTCCAATTGTGATGCATGCCCTTTCAACAAGCTTAACTGCTCGCATAATCAGTCATCAGTCAATCAGAAAGATAGAACATTACATCTCAAATAGTGTGAGGCTCTGCTCTCATTCAATCATCACGGCCCACTTGGCACTCATCAGCAAGCACATCAAGATCAGAATGGACACCAGAGCAATGTCACAACAAGGCACATTCATTCATTAAGAGTATTCCTATCCTGATGGAGCGATCGTGGGGCTCACTTCACTCAGACTCTCAATCAAGGCTCATCCAGACCCCATCAACGTTGTAAACTTCATTCAATCATATACATTGGTGAACGATCACTCAGCCTCAATCAAGGCTCATCAACGTTGTGAACTTCATTGATGATGACACTGAGATGGTATTGAGTGATACAAATTCAAATGGACCGTTAAATGGTCAATCTGTTAATTAAATATATTTAAATATTTAATATTTAATTCAAAATGTGTGTTTATGAGTGTGTGAGTGTGTGTGTGTGTGTGTGTGTGTGTGAGTGTCACTTCTCACCCACTCACAGACTCTCTCATTGCGGTGAATGTCCTTGGACAAGTGGGCATTGACATCACTCATTACCATATCAACTTTAATACATGTATGTACACTTTTATAACATTATTACAATGTTACTATAATACTATCATCATTCTAATTCATAATACTAACATTGACTCTCTATCTCACCAACCTTCCAATCAATCAATCAATCAATCAATCATATCAATCAATCATATTATTATTATTTATAGACCACTGTTCGACAACAGGCGACCAAAGATTTTATATGGAAAGGATCAAGATGGAGTCAGGTTCTCACGCAGGGTTCCTCTTGATGTCGCATTTGTCATTGCGAATACTGTCCCATACGCTCCTCTCAACCAGGAGAATAGTAATGTCCAGCTCATTCACTGTATCTGTCTCAGGTTGTTACGATCGTTGCCTGTCTACCCCAGAAGGCAACCAGTATCCACCCCAAATCAAATGGGACCAAATCGTATGTTTACATCAAATGAACTCATTCATTCATTGATTGAGTGATGTCTTCCTGTCTGCTGTCAAACAAAGTACTAACCATCCTCGTCCATGTCCTTTTCATCCAAGACAATGAAATCAATCAACAACATTCCGACCTCGGACCGAGACCTGGAGACCATCTATATCCAACATTACCATCCAGTCATCCAGTCACCCAAGCAGACATTGGCCACCACCCACTACCTAGATACCAATATCCACCATCACCAGATTATGAGGTGGATGAGCCAGTCTGCTCTCCTCCGGTCCCTCTCCTTTTCAATTAGTAATTCACCTATTTATATCTTGCCGTCGATCAAGCAGATGAGTGATGGGTAAAACCCAAATATCTCTCGGCTGGCGATTGAAACCAATCAACCACCAACAACCAACAACAACAACAACAACAACAATATCAAAGTCGAGTTACCAACGCACCAATCCAGTGGTCCTACATCCATCACCCGAACCCAGATGACACAGTGGAGACGTTGTGATTCATTCACACGATGACCTGTCGTTGCGAGGTCTATTCCCTCCAAGTCATCCAGTGCCGTGCCAGTGCCGTGCCAGACCGAGTGCCATGCCGCCGAGCCAAGCCAGGCCAAGCCGAGGTGGACCTTTCCAGGACCGAATACTACTAACATTTCCTCCCATCACCATTTGGCCATCTCCGCAAGGGGGTGGCCGTGGCCCATCATGCAAGAGGGATGGGTCGGCCTGTCATGCAAGAGGGACGGGTGGGCCCATCATGTAAGAGGGGTGGGCACGGCCTGGGGACTACACCTGTCGCTATTAGACTTTGGGCAGCGTCGAGACAGGTATGGCAGCAACTTTGTTGACTTTGAGAGTTTCTTCTCATTGTCACAAGTGCTGCCTTTATTTTTTTTAAAGCCGTTGGGCAGCAACCGTGCCCAGGCGACATCATTGAGTTGTACTTTTCCAATTGTTGTTATTCTCCTTCCAAGTCACACTTGCACAACTCCTGATTTCATGGTTTATTAATGCTTTGATTATGATCATTCCTCAACTTGGCAGGATGGCTGCGGTCTGTCTAGTTGGAGACAGAGGCTTTGGTCACTGATGGCACATGGCGGCGCGGTTGTCAGCATTGCCGTCTGTCCAGTTGGAGACAGAGGTTCTGGACTGTGGTCAACTCGAGATGGACAACTTGGCAGCATGGCGTCGCACTTGTCAGCATGGCTGTCTGTCTGGTTGGAGTCAGAGGTTGTCGACGGTAGCCATCTGGGCATGGAGGCGGTCAACAAGGCGGGCGGTGGTCAACGTGGCAGTTAGTCAAGTTGGAGACAGAGGTCCTGGACTATGGTCAACGTGGAAGCACAGTGGTAGTCTATTTGGAGTCAGAGGTTCTGGGCTGTGGTCAACTCGAGATGGACAACTTGGTAACGTGGCGGTGGTCATGACTGTGGACTACTTGGCAGCATGGCGACCTCTGTCTAGTGGGAGACAGAGGTACTGGGCTGTGGTCATCCGCTAGAGACAGAGGTTCATGGACTCGGGGCAGCATTGCAACCTCTAGTCTAGCTGGAGACAGAGGTTCTGGACAACTTGGCAACATGGCGGACGACTGTACAGATGGAGATGGAGGTGGTCAACGTGGCAGCACGCTGGAAGTCAGAAGTTGGAGACAGAGGTTCTGGGCTGTGGACTGCTTGGCATGCACAACCTAAAATGTGGATGGCGCAGGCACAATGATGGCCGTCTGTCTAGATGGAGACAGAGTTTCAGAGCTGTGGTCACTCAGGTCATCATGGCGGACAGTCAAGTTGGAGACAGAAGTTCTGGGCTTGGTCAACATGGCATCATGGCGGTGGTCAGCATGGCTGAGTCACAATGGGCCCTTCAGTCTCCAGTTGGAGACAGAGGTTCTGGGCAGTGGCCATCTTGGCATCAAGGCTGTGGCGGCGTTCAACTTGGCGGTGGTCAGCGTGGCTGTATTTCAAGGTGGAGTCAGAGGTTCTGGGCTGTGGTCAATGTGGCGGCATGGCGGTCGGCAGCGTGGCAGTCTGTCTAGTTGGAGTCAGAGGCCAAGGGCTGTGGTCATCGTGGCGGATGGCGGCTGTCTATCTATTTGGAGACAGAGGTTCGGGGCCGTGGTCAACTCGAGATGGACAACTTGGTAGCTGGCGGCGGTCAGAGTGGCGGAGTCACAATGTTGGACATCAGACTAGTTGGAGACAGAGGTTCAGGGCTGTGGGCACTCAAGGCAGCGTGGCGACCCCAATCTGAAGTTGGAGACAGAGGTTCTGGGCAGTGGACGACTGTACAGATGGATACAGAGGTTCATGGCTGTGGTCAACGTGGTGGCATGGCGGACGTCAATCTAGTTGGAGACAGAGGTTCGGTAAGGTGACTCAGACTTGGGCAAGGACCACAAAGCGGGCTTCAAGGCACAAGGTCAAGGAGGAGATGAGAAGAAGAGGATAGTGTAAGTAAGCAGCAGATGGTTATGCAATTAGAAGTCTATTAGTACTCACTCATTGATTGATATCATAACTCAAACTCAGCAGTAACTCATCAGCAGTAGTGAGACAACAAGGCAGAACAAAGTGGTGAGTGATACATGTCAATGTGTTTATTATTGATGTATTTGTATATGTATGTATATGTGTATGTGTACAAGTAGGAGAGAGTGAGTGCAATGCCAATGAGATGAGTAGTCGCCCAGTGTCACAGTCACATGTGGTCCACGTCTAACCAACGAACATTTTGAACCCAACCGTCAATAATAATGGGCGCGAATTTCAAATTCAAATTTCATCACCTTACTTAAGTTCAATTTTTAAAAATTTTGGAAGTTCAAATAGATATCTAAATATCATTCTACTAAAGAACTATCCACGTTGATATATTTATGCCGATATCGGCGGATATACAAGACAACTACATAATCATTACCACATAGGCATTATTATTTATCAACCAAAGTTGACCATTTTACTAGAGGAATGAGTGGGTGTGTTTGGGTGTGAGCTGAAGTGGGGGAGATCGAGGGAAATGTTGAGAAGTGATAGCTTCCTGGTTTCCAAAGTCTCATCTTGATATCAATATAACTCAACTCACCTAAACTCAAATCAAGAACATTGAGATATTCAATCAATAATAATCATAGTAATAATAATAATAGTTTAATAGAATGCCATCTACAAAAACAATTAATGAACAACCAATAATATCAACATTCTCAAATAGATATTTGATTAGGAAGATATTTAAACATGTTAGAGAGGATATTGGAGGAGTACCAGACGATGAGTCATGGTGTTGGTTGGGAAGGAGGAGATATAATGATTGGAACAAAGCTTCAGAGATGATACAATATGGTCATTATTCATTATTAGTTGATAAGATTGCCAGTGGACATTGTGTAGAGCTCACCATTGAAGATCTAAACAACATACTCAAAGTCATTACATCATATCAACAATTCATTATTATTTATAATAATTATCAAGATATATTTATTGGTGAAGATTTGATATCATCTGCATGTGAAGCTGGTAACAAGGAGATTGTTCAACATCTACTCAATCAAACTGAGCCCATCACTTTGAGACACAAAGGTGCGATACAAGGTGCAGCAAAAGGTGGACACTTGGACCTACTCAATCATCTCTATGATAACAACATTGATCCAATGCCAGTTGGTACACCCAAGAAATCAGTCAACTTGTTGCTTGGAAAGGTTCTAGAGAAGAAGGTGTTGACATGGCTGGAGGGTGTGATCCATTCATCATTGGCACCAGCAAATGCATTCGATGTCATTCAATGGATGGTCGAGAATTTTGGAGAAACCGAGGTGATTGATATTGTTAAGGCTGCAGAGGACTATCCATCATTGTATAAGAGTGGGGAAGTTGGAATGATCCAAATGTCAAAGATAGTCAAACACTACTCAATCAGATCACTTTCACAAGATCATGTGATAAAGATGGTTTCCAATAATAGACCGAGATCACATCATAGAGCTGGTCTGTTGGCAAAGATCCAGATGAAGGAAGGAAATCCACTCCCATCCCCTGATGACTACATGGCTGAAATCAAGGCGTCTGTTATCAAGAGGTATCCTCAACTTCAACCTGGTGACCAAACTCAGGAGTTGTTGGTTGATTGTATCACAGCACATTTGATAGAGATCGATGTATTGACTATGCTCAGCAGAGAATGTTTGAACGTTTGGATCAAAGATGAATTGAAACTTGCCAAGATCCTCCAAGTGCCCATGTCAACATTGATCGATCATCTCATTGAAAATGCTCCACCAATCTCCCGAGTGTCATTGGTCAGCCAAACTCCAATATTGCCAGTGGCCGATACCAATCCAGTCACCAAGGAGAAGATTGTTACTATGATGGTCATGACACATGGTACTGCGGAACAAGTTGATGAGCTTATCACATTGATGGCCGAGAACAAGATCAAAGATGTCCAATCCACAGACTTGTTGGTCACCTCAATGTCCGGTCTATTGTCTCGCAAGGATGATGGAGTACTGACAATGAAGGCGATTAGAACACTTGAGAGCAAGTTCCCTGGTCTGCCACTCTTCAGTACAACATGTAGAATGTTCCATGCTAGAAATCTCATACCTGGAACCAATGAAGCACTCATCTATCTCCTGGACAACGTCCCCAACTGGGGCTGTGAACTTATTACTATCAAGAATCCAACTCTTGTCAAGAGGTTTGGTGATATCATCGTTGATCACATGGTTGCCCGTAACAAGATTGAACATCCACGATGCCTAGACCTCAATCCAATGTTCCTCAACATACTCCACTGCACATTGAGCACCTGTGACACAAGACTACTCTGCCACATCCTGTCATATGAGTCATCAATCAAGGCCAAGCGTAAACAGAGTCTGACCTTCTGTCAAGGATACAATGGCATACTTCTGCACCTCTTTGGTCTCCATCAAATGATGCAGGAGCGCATCACAATTGAACACGCCAAGTCATTGAGCATTCAATCAATCAAGCTATATCAATGGTTCCAGTCAGAAGAGGGCCAGGCATCATGCAAGACTGTTCTGACTCATGTGAGCAGGTTCAATGTTGAAGTGTTGGCCTACGTGTTGAAGTATGACAACAAGGAGTGTGTGTTTGATGAGTACACATTCGCGTTGATGCCCTGCCAGATGATACCATTGGTCAAGGAGACGTATCCAGATCGTTGGGAATCAATCTCACGCGATCAGATCAGATTGTACTCATTGGATTTCCTCAGACGTCTGGTTCAAGTGGACCCCAGTGTCATGGATTGGATTAAGAGTAACATCAAGTCACTGTCGGTCACACTACGCAGACGACCTGATCTATTACTTTGGCTAAGTAATCAGGGCGTTGGAATGATCGATGAGTTGGAGGTGATCATTCAGAAGCATGGTGATCCTACTGGTGTACTTGGTATGATTGTCAAGAAACAACAACAATCATTGCATGTTGTGCATCCAAATATGATCACTGCATGTGATATCACTGGTATGGCAATACAATAAAGATTGAGTGCGTGAGTGGTGATGATTTCACAACATTTGATTGGTAAACCAATCCAATCAATATTAGTCTTTGGGTCCTTGGTGGTGTGTGGGGTGGGCTTGTCATTTTACAAGGTGATCGCCTTACAAGAGAGAGCATATACACGTGCATACATACACATACTCGTATAACCAATCATTGTCCACATCCTTCCATCCAACCATCCACAAGTTGATCAACATCCACAAAGTATCCATTCGTGATTAGAGAGTTTGTTCATCGGACACTCTTCAAACATAAATAATGTATGTAATTGTATGTCTATGTTTGTGTGTTTGTCATTCAAATTAATGGTGTGGGCATCAATCAAATCAACTTGTGTCAGTTCATCGGTCACATCAACACACACTGTGTTGTGATCATTCACACACATATACACACAAACACATAAACATAAACAGACACAATTAAGTGACCAGTGGAAGTGTCAATGGATGTGCCGCGTGCCGTGTGTGGTTCAACTTATCCATCACTCACTGCGAGCTGCATTGGCAAATATAGATACAACACACTCAGACACACACACGATCACACTCGGCGATCCAGCTCAAGGGGTAGTGCCACCCTCTGCAACTATGTGTGTGAGTGACCACAGACCACACAAAGAGACACTCTCATCACATGATGATGTGTGCTGACTGGGGATTGATTGATTGATTGAATGGATGGCATGAAGATGAATGGCAAGATGGATGGCAGGATGGCGCGAGATGTATATACATGCCAGACATCTTGAGGAGATACATATCCGGTTCCCTCTCTCTTAAAACAAACAAACAGAGAGAGAGAGAGAGAGAAGAGAGGTTTTATTTAGTATTTACTGGTACGACACACATAACCAATCAACCAACTTCATCTCAACAACAACGCCCGCCCCCTCTAGCACTTCTCACAATCACAACGACCTCTTTCTTCAATTCATGTTTGATTGATTGACAGTGCAATTACTACTTCCTTACTTCCTTCATTCTTTCCTTCCTTCCTTCCTTCAATTCCTATCACATCACATTACATTACAATTCCATTCCAACTAACACCCCGATCACATCACACCAACCAGATAGTAGATAGATAGATAGACACGAACACTCATCTTTCAAACTCTCAACCAATCAACCAACAAATATTATAATATTAATTATTATTATTATTATTATTATTATACTTATTTCCACAACATTCAATCACAGACCATACAACAAACAGACAGTCGTCATTATCATCGCAGCGCATCATCCTCCTCCTCTCTTCACCTCGCCATCACATCACTTCTTTAAAGTTGTTGTTTATCTTAATCACACACAGAGAGTGCACACCCTTTTGATCATAATCGCACACCACCCCCCAACAACCACAACATACCTTAAACCTGGAAACAGGAATATTTGATTGTTCAGTGTGATCAATCTTTTAACATTCATATATACATTCATATATATATACTTTATATAATAATACATACAGAGAATGACAACAACATCAAAGATATTTGGAGTGGACCTGGAGACGATTGTTCAGGCCCAGGATGGAAAACAACCTAGATCAATAACAGATAACTCATCATTCCCAAAGAATCTACCATTTATTTTGATCGAGCTAGTGAATTGGCTGGAACATCATAATGCCTCCAACGAGGAGGGTCTATTCAGAATACCAGGCAACACTCAGACCATACAGGATTTGAAATCAGCCTACAACCAAGGCAATGCCGATCTCGACAAATACAACCAAGCCGATATCCACACCATAGCAGGATTGCTCAAACTATATCTACGCGAGTTACCAGAACCATTATTCATCTGGCGATATTATTCAACCTTTATAAAGGTGATCAGTATGTATTATTATTATTTTGGAAACAATGGAATGATCCCAGCACCTTCAAAATGTATTTACATAATTTTAAAATATTTGAGCAGAGAACCAGGATCATTTACAAAGGATGCTACATCTTAGGATGTTGGTATATGGACTTCCAAAGATAAATAGAGAGGTGTTATTATATTTAATGTCATTCCTGAATAGGATATCATTGAATGCCAATGTCAACAAGATGACCTCGGCAAACCTTGCAATGATATTCGCGCCCAACATCCTCCGTCACCAAAAAGAGAGTCTAAGTCAGATCATGGAGGATTCATCACACATCAACAGCATCATCAAATCACTCATAGAAGAGATATCATACATGTCAAAGGTAAGTATTAATTATTTCAAATTTTTGATTGATTGATCACTGACTGGAATTATTCCAATCACTTCCAAAATTAATCAATATTTATTTTAGATGACATCACATCTTGTATCATCACAGGAAGATGTTCCTGTACCTAAATTACCACAATCAGATTTACCATCATCGAGGATTGATTTGACGACAGAGATGGTGATCAATCAACAACATAATGAGTTTTTGTTTGCCAGAGCATTGTATCCTTACAAGTCGAATGGAAAGACACATCTACAATTTTCAAAGAATGATATGATCACATTGTTGGATATCAAGTCCGAGGATGGTTGGATGAAGGGAGAGTTCAGCGGTCGTGTTGGATACTTCCCCGCATCATTCGTCGAGATCGTCGCCACACCGCCACCAACAACGCCACAAACATTGTTATCCATATCCGAAGTGGACGAACAATTGCACGTCAGTCTATCATCCAGTTGTTGTGGCAACAATAATGGTGGCGCCACTGGCAACACTGTTACCAACACCCCAACATCATTATCGATACTCACTTCAAGCTCACTTTGTAGTTATGTAATATCCATTCCAACTCTATCCTCTTCATCATCAGCCTCACCCAACAAACAATCACCAACTCTCGAATCCAGTGGCGAACAAATCACATCACCTCTTATGAGTTCCAGTTCCGACGTCTCATCGACAACACCCCTCGCCAGTCAAGTCGCCACACCCACAGTCATGTCGGAAACGCGTCAACAACAGCCAACAGTATCACACTTTAGGAAGGCCACTCCCCACGCCACACTGATGCTCAATTTACCATTGCCACCTCCTCCACCTCCCGAGATCCAGCTTACTTCACCCAAGTCGCTCAACCTTCCGCCTCCACCCTCAGCCTTCTCATGTGGTGAGTCATTGAACACAAGCAGTAGCCTGTTGTCCATAAGCTCCGACTCTACATCTGGCTCATGTTCATTCTTGGTCGAGTCATTGCAGTCTGTCAGTTGTTCACTACAGGCTTCATCACAGGATGTATGTGACCTCAAGGAGATGTCAAGCGAGTTCAAGTCCGCAGACATTTGCAGGAAGCGCAAGGAGCGTGCCGAAGAGATGTTGCGCACAGAGAAGACCTACGTCAAGCAACTGAGTGTCATCTATGAACTGTTTATCGAGCCATCCAAGCGTACCAAGTCATTTGCATTGTCGGACGAGTTGCTCAACGTCTTTAGCTGTCTAGAGGTGATCATCAACGCACATCGAGCTCATATTCTCAAGGCATTGGACGAGCGAATGTTGATATGGGACGAGTGTCCACGAATGGGAGACATCTTCTGCAACAACACATCATTCATCAAGCTCTACAAACATTATGTCAACAACTACGACAAGTCGATCGCATCACTACAGCAGTGCAAGGACAAGAATGCAGAGTTCCGAAACTTTGTCAAGAGTTTGGATTACAGCGATCGTCTCTCTGGCCTGAACGTGGAGTCGTTCCTCATCCTTCCCGTTCAGCGCATACCTCGATATGTACTCTTGTTGCAAGATCTCCTCAAGTACACGAGCAGCTCACACGAGGACTATGTCCAGTTAAACGAGGCACTGTGCACGATCAAGGACTTTGCCGAGACCATCAACTTTAAGAAGAGCGAGGCCGACAACTATTTGCGCATTCAACAACTCCAGGACCAGATCAAGGACCTGCCTAGAGGCTATGCATTCGATCGCCGGAAGCGACTGGTACACGAGGGTCTGCTGCAGACATCAAAGAAGGAGAAGCTCTATGTTTATTTGTTCTCAGATGCGCTGATATTGACCAAGCCAGGCAAGGACAAGAACAGGTTCAAGTTGTTTATCAATCTCCAGACGACATCACTCAACACCACAGATGATGCCAATGTGATCAAGATCATCAGTCAGGAGGGAACGATCAAGTTCCAATGTGACAATGCAAAGGATCGCGAGTTGTGGACCAGGACGCTCAAGGAGACCATCGAGGCAGCACGCCAGGAGATGATCCAGTCAGCGTTTGGCGCCACTCTGTTGTCGTTGGGAGAGGGCAGCAAAGGCTTCAACAAGATACAGGACGAGAAGAACGCGCTCAAGAAGAAGAAGTTGGCCGAAGACTTATGCTCAAGCGAGTTGGAGTATGTCCAAGCATTGACCTACACGCAGACTGTGTTCCTTGGACCAATCAGACGATCACTTGGCACTTCCGCGCCACTGGTCAGCTACGCCGATGGTCTGGACATCTGTTCCAACTTTGAGACACTGCTCAACTGCCACACGACCTTTGCTGAGGTGCTGAAGGAGCGTGTGCAGGACTGGGACAACAAGCCAATCCTCTCGGACCTGTTCATCGAGAAGGCAGCCTTCCTAAAGCTGTACAACTACTATGTCCAGAACCACAATCTGAGTCTCAGCACAATCGAGTCATGCGTAGAGAAGAGTCAGAACTTTGCTATCTACCTGCGCAACATTGAGTTCAACGAGAAGGCAGAGCTGAAGCATCTGTTGGCTGAGCCCCTGCGTCGCATCTCTCGGTACTACCTCATTCTACAAGAGTTCCTACAGTTGACACGACCCAAACAAGACGATCATGACAACCTGCTAAAGGTTGTGGCGAAGCTTAAGGAACAGAATGACACCTACACAATCTCGACGATGCGCGACACCAGCGGTGCCAGTGGCAAGTCATCGCCACACAAGTCCAAGTCAATGCGAGTCAAGCCTCCCAAGTTGTCCAAAGAGGGCAAGATTAACCAGACTAGTTTCTTTGCTGTTTGATCGAATAAGGTTGCAATAAACTTGTTTATAAACTGTCCTGTATCCAGTATCCAATGTACATGTATGTTTGTGTTCCAACTGATGCATCAGCACTTGTTGCTTCGGCTCGCGGCGAGCGTGTATATACAATCCATGATCCTCCTTTTGAAATGTCTCGCCATTGCCATCGACAGGAGGAGGGAGGATGAATAGGCTAGGCTATGTATGCCCTGCGTAACTCAGCATAGTTGAACTTGGCACCACTTCTTGGACAAGTGATGATGTTGTCATCGTGTGCAGCCATCTCCACCATTGCATTGCGACAGTAAACATTGCCATTGGGTAATACCATTGGTGGATTGTCATCAGTCATCAACTCTCCAGTTATCCTACATATCAGACTTGAATGAGACTGCAATGAGACTGGCAGAGGCTCAGCCAACCTCGAGAAGTCTGCATCACACAATGGACAATTGACATTCATCGTCTCTTCGTCTTCGCATTGTCTGATTGAGAGAATGAATGAGTTAGTATGATTGATTGATTGGTTGGTCACAGTCAACTAACAAACGAACATACTCTGTCTTCAACACTGATAGACCAGACTGCAAGGATATGTCGATCAATGAACGTGAGGTGAGTGAGTTGACGTTGTAGTTGTCTCGCTTGAACTGTCGAATGCGATCATTCCAACGCTCCATATCAAATAGATCGGTGTACTTCTCATGAGAGGTGCGATCATGTCTGAATGCCAAGGTGGCCATGGCAACCTGTATCTCCTTGATGTTGGTGGCAGCGATTGGTGCCAAATGCTGTCGGGCGTATGATATTGCCGGGCCGACCTTATTAGCTCGCACCAACTCTATAAACTCCTGTATCCTAAGACTAAACTCCATTGTACTATCTATCTTCTTCAGCTTTGACCTATTCTCATTGCACCATGCCAATGCCTCTGTACAATCATGTTTCTCCAATCCACTAATCACCTTCTTTGACGACAGGAATACATCTATATCAACCAATTCCTTTGATTGATTAAGTGTCAGTATCAATATATGATTGATTGATTGATTGAGTGATTGAGTGAGTGATACTTACTGTTATATTTGAAGTGTCTGCCAACTTGATGGCAGTGTCATAGTAACCTTCGCGCAAGAGATAGTCCACCAGTATCCTATCGACACGCTTAACATTGAACTCTTGATTGATATATTGATCAGAATGATTGTTGCAAACACCTCTCAGATGGTCCAGTCTAGTCTTGAATCTCTTTATCTGTGCATCCTCATCATCTCTTGTCTCCTCAACCTATATTCATTATGTTAGTATTAAGTGAGCGAGCACTGATCAATCAATCAATCAACAACATACTCTTCTCTTCAATGTCTGCATCCTTGTCAATAGTTTATCGATTGTAGTCTTTGCATCATCCTTTGATAGGTTGTTCTTCTTCTTGTTTAGATCATTGATGGCAGTGACAACAGTGGTCATCTCCTTCTCCAACATCTTTTGTGACTGTCTAAACGACTTGTTGATCGACTCAACCGGTGCTTTCAACAAATGTCTCTCCAACTGTACCTCTGATACTATATTATATTCATTATCATTCATCTCTCTATCTCCTTATCTCTATCTCTATCACTATTATTACAAGTAAAATGAATGAATGAATGAAATGTTGACTTCCAACAACACTTTATTGGGTGATGGCGGCATTGTAGTTCTTCATCCTCTTTTGATTGATTACTGATGGATCGTGATGGAAGCGTGTATATCCATCGCTGGAGACATCAGCATAGATCTGGACAATCTCATTGATTGGTATACAATCAATGTCCAAGTCATGTGATGGCACCATCATATTCAAATCGATCATCAAGAACCTATGTGACTTCTTTCCAATCGTATCCGGTAACAGTACCGCGCTATAATATCTCGATCCCTCTTGTCTAAGATACTTGAGCATCCATTGATTGTGGCTGAATAGTATGTGTAATTGAGTGAGTGGAATGATTCCAAAATGATAGATTGATCAAAAACTAACTTACTTTGCTCTGCTGGTCCTCTTTAGATGCTTGTAGTTGCGATCAAGATTGACGACCATTTTGTCGAGGGCCGGACGATCGTAGGCCGGACCTTGCTTGGCAAGCGCACTCCTGATCTGGCGATGTACCAAAATGTCACTGTAGCGACGTATTGGTGATGATGCCCATGTGTAGTCAATGCCCAGACTAGAGTGGAAGGAGTGCTCGGTAGACATGTCGGCGGGCGGTGTCAAACTGGCCAGCTGTGATGACAGTGCGATGGGATGGTATTGGTCCAGACACTGCCATGGATAGTCGGCAATGCTACTATTCTTCTGCATTCTGAATGGGATGGCCAGCTGATTGTTCTTGGCAAATAGAGCGGCAGTGTTGTTGGCGCTGATCATCATCTCTGAGACGATGAGCTGGGATATGGAGTTGGGATCCTGGAACTTGAGTGAGATGTGTCCATTGTCCTTGTTGACCTCGATCTCTGGCTTGGGCAGGATTATACCAGCTTTGATCTCCGACTCGCGTCTCTGGCGACGAATACGTGCAAAATGATGCAATCTGTCCAACATCTGTTGTTGATCTGGCGTGTACTTTGATTCGCCCTTGCTCTTGAAATAGTTGTCGACGTCCTTGTAAGTCGTTCGCTGCATGTTCTCAATGTCCGATACAAATATATCTGGGTCGACCAGTTCACCATCATCCGTTATCCTAAACTTGAATGACATGCAATGATTTGTGCGGCCACCTGCCAGTCCAACCTTGAGCGAGAAGTCTTCTGGTAACATGAAGTGTGTCTGAGTTGGAAGGTACACTGATGAAGTCCTGATGAAATTGGTAAGTATGTGGTTGAATGATTGAATGATTGAGTGGAATGGTTCCAAGACCCAAGGACACACTTACTTGAGTAATCCCCAAGAGTCCATTGATGATGATGCTTCGATAAAGGCTGACACGTCAGCAATGTGAACAACACAGTAGAGGTCTTGTCCCTCTTGAATGATTCCAATGGCGTCATCAACATCCTTTGTCTTTACATCATCAATCGCCAATGACAACTGGGTGATTCGCTTGGCCAATGGTCTGGTCTGATGCGTGATCTGAGACAACACTCTCTTCTGATCGCTGAGGAGGAATGGTGGATCTTGGATGATGAGGTTGCTGTGTGTGCGCAGCTTCTCCTCGATGACGTTCAACTTTGGATAGAGCAGGGTCCGCAGTGCTGCGATGGTCTTGTCGTTGATGCCCATCTTGCCAAGCTTGGTGTACACCATTTGTCCAAAGTTTTGTTCGCGCGAGTATGCCGCCAGCTCTTTGATACCCAACTGTATATAGCCAAAGCACATCCTCAACGAAGCGTGATTGACGTATTGTTTTCCAGTTTCCTTGTCAATAAACTGATCATGGTCCATGATTGTGGGCACCGATGCATCGGCCATTAGCTCTCTACCCTTGACACTAATCATTCCTCCATTGTCCACAACCAATCCAAGTAAGTACTTTGCAACGATCCACAAATCTGTTGAATCATGTTTCATTGCATTGATTATTGATCCCAAGTATCTGGACTACATTGTTTGATTGTGAGAGTGAGTATGATGATTGATCAAGTGATCGAGGGATGAATGTGATTGGAATGATTCCAGAGTGTGATTGAAATATTGGATTGATTGAGTGATTGGAATGGTCCCAAGAGTGTGATTGAATGATTGAATGAATGATTGAGTGATTGGAATGATTCCAAAGTGATTGAGAGCGATACATACCCTTTGCTCTGTGAGACAACAAAAGTCTGACCTGCTGGTCATGATCATTGAGGTGGCATTCCAACTGATCTTCCTGTAGACGTCCAATGAATAGAAGATCTCTTGAAGGATATTGGTACTGGCCTCCTTGTTGGTGGCAAGCTGATTGTTGATCAATGAGTATATTGGTATGTGATCGGTGTGTGATTGATCACGTGACCAGACCCGACTGTCATAGAAGGACACGCCGCTGTGTGGCTGTCTGTACGTGTTCTGAATGTTGTAGACGTCCCATGACTTGCGCGTGCGCACGTTGAGCTCCTTGAAGTAGTGAAGGATGTTGTCAAATTGGACTCGCAGCGGATGGTTCTGGTAGGAGTGCCACTCCAAAGGATCGCTCAGTATCTCTCGCTTGTAGACGTGCCTATCCACGTCGAATGGAAGCATCTTGTTGTCAGCAATCTTGTCGTTGATCGTCTTCATGATGTATTGCAGTGTGGTCTCGTTGCCCGTAGGTATCGTGACACAAAGTGTGCTCTTGGATGTTATAAACTTGTCGTTGAAGCCCAACACCAGGTATCCATTAGGATACACCTTGCTCACAATTGCCATCTCCACAGAGTTGAATCGATCATTATAAAAAGCGATGATGTCACCGCTCTCTGGTTCGAATCGCACGTCGAATGGTCGTCTCTCGCGTCCATCCCTCGTCAGCTCTTGTTGCAGTCGATCCTCCATAATCCTGAGTGGGTCAGTTGATGTACTTGTGCTTGTGTTTGTCAATGAGTCTGATTGCGCAGCAGTAGCGGTGGCAGCGTCAGTGTGAACCTTTCTCTCTGCTCGCAGGTATGACATCAATGGATCAAAGTCATAGGTGTAAGGGTTTATCGTTCCAGATGGTACAGGTTGAAGTGTAATGGTGGCGGTGGCAGTTGCAGTGGCAGATTGTTTCTTGTTATTGATCAATGCATTGTTATCATTCGATATTATTGTACCCAATGGATGATGAGGTAGTATAACATTGTTGATGTTGTTGTTTGAAGTTGTTGATGATGTTGATGTTGCTGAACAATAATATCTACAACTACTACTACTTCTAATAATGTTATATTTTAATAAGTTTGTAAGAGTAATGTTACAATTATGTTTAGATAATAACATCATCATCATTCATATATATTATTATATTATTATCTGTTTGAAGATTGACCCAACACCATTGAATTGATTCAAAGTTCGTTTGGCCTTTTGCCCGACACCAAAATCTGACGACTATTGCAAACAACTCCAACTACAACACACTTCGAAGTGTGTCAGGACCAGCTTGTCAGACATTGAGGACAAGTTGGAACGTCGTCTATCTATCTACTCCTCGTGGCAAGTGATGTAACACTGATGGTGCTATTACTGTCTCAAAGAGTATATGTTGTCGAATGTATTCGGGTTGTAAGTATCAAACCTATGTTGTCGGGCTAGGAGATGCGAAGGTTGCGGGGAGATACTTTACTCATTGTCTCACCATCCACCTATCCATCAACAAGAGTTACATGATTGAAAGTCAATGATTGAATGATATTGATTCCACCTTGGTAATGTAAGTCATTTGAAATGAATGAATGAATACTAACTATCTCTGGCATTCGTCCAAACAAGCCGCCCCAATAATACAAGAACATGCTTGAAACAACACTTATTGGGCATCGATAGCATCATTAGCGGGTCATTAACGGACCTCTTTCTCTGAACGTCTAAGACATTCATAGTCGACCGAACCCATCTTTGTTAATATCTATCTATCTCTCTGTCTGTTTGATTCAATCACAACAAACATCCAACATCCACAATATGTCTCTTCCCGAAACATATAAATACCTCAAGACTTGAGTCTCGGAGTAATCATCAACAACTCAATCTCTACTTGTATCTCTATACTTAATCAATCATTCAAACAACTCATCATCAATGAAGAGTATAATCGATCGTGCTACATCCATCATTTTGGAACAAGACTACTTGTCATCCGATGAGAAGTTCTCATGTTTCCAAGCCATCGAGTCAAGTTCCAAAGCCAACCTACTCGTGGCTGCTTCATCTCTCGGACCCCAATACATTCGCAAGTACATCCAAGAGAACCTACTTCCAACTTCCAAGATCTCCAACTCCAACTCCAACACCAACACTGAGTGCGAGTCACCAAAGGAATGCCCTGTGCCAGCTCAGTTCATTCAGGTCCAAGAGTCAACATACCCTATACCAGAGTATTGTAATGACTCTGTCCCTGACTGTTCCTCTGGTCCAGACCCTGCCATGTCCGTTGCCAACACCAATGTTCGACGTGAAGTCACTTCATCGCCCGCCGGAAGACCTGGTGTTGGAGCCACTCAAACTCAATGGCTCAATGTCAAGGCATATGGAGCAGTTGGTGATGGTAACGCCAATGATACCAATGCCTTTGCTCTATGTATTGCTGCCGCACATTCAACACCTGATGCAAACTGTATCTATATCCCTGCTGGTGGCTACGTCGTCACATCATTGCCCGCACTTCAAGACTATGATGTAGTCATTGGTGATGGCAGTGACCTGTCCACCATCATCTACCAGGGCACTGGCACACTGCTCACCATGACCAACCTCTCAAGGGTGGCCTTCAAGAAGATGCAGATATGGACTACCAGCACGGGCAATGGTGTCCGTATCTCCAACTGTTTCAACTGCTCGTTTGAGAACGTTGTGATCCGTGGCTCACACACCAGCATTACCTACCCGACCTACATCAACACGATCGGTGTAGTGCTCGATGCCAACAGTGGCGCAACAATGTTCAACAACTGCAGCTTCCAGAACTTTGGCACGGGCCTGCAGACCAAGTGCATCCAGAACTATGTCACCAACTCAAAGTTCACCACCAACTACCGCAGCGTCGTTGGCACTGGCAACAATGACAATGCCGGTCTCTCACTGGTCAACATCGACTTCACCTCGGACAACAATCCAAACACGACTGTCAATCACATCTACATTGATGGACGTGCCAATGATTGGTGGCTCAGCAATGTCTGGTTCGAGGGCTCTGCCAGCGCTGTGGTGGTCGGTGTCGCAGGCACAGGTGGTCCCATGCAGTTTGGCATGGTCAACTGCAAGGTGGCCGCGCGCAACTACTGCATTGACATCCAACAATGTCGCCAGGCACACCTATCCAACATCATCTTTGACAATGACGGTACACCCAACCCAACGGAGCTCCGCATCAACTCGACTTACGCATCGGAGGGCTCGGCCATTGGCATGATCTCCAACTTCCGCTCGGACATCCCCGCCAACACTTACCCAGCCACATGGTCCGTGCTCGGTCGCTTCAACACTCAACTTCCACCATTCGCCACGACGCTCAAGGTGCGCAACAATGGATCAACATCCGATTTGCTCACGGCACAAGATGTCAATGGCAACTCACGCGGTGCCATCCTGTCCAGTGGCGCATTCCTCGCTGACAACTCTGCCACTGGTCTCATCCTAAAGTCCTCTGGTGGTACCTACTACCGACTGACCATAAACAACTCTGGTGTTGTACAAGTGGCCAATCTCGGATCGACCAGACCCAGCTCCTAATCAATCATTTCGTCTCTCTATTGCTACAATAAACAACAAATATGCTTGCACCTATATCGGGGCATTCATTCATTCAATCAATAACCACGTCGTCTTCTCTTTTGTGTGAACACCTTCCACCACAAGTGCTGGCTTATTCATTCATTCATTCATTCATTCTATCTTTCATTTTATTATCTCGTTATACATACAATGTCTAATACTACAACTACTACTACAACAAATAATACACAGAATGAAGGTATATCCCCATCACCATCACCATCACCAACTTGGTGTGAAATAAGACAGATAGGTGATGATTGGCCAACTGGTAGATACGCACATACTGGTACACTGATAGACAATAATATTTATTATATTGGTGGACAGATAATGAATGAAGTACGATGTAATGATATATATGTCTTCAATACTGTAACTTACACATTCGAGAAAGTGACAGTTGCCGACCATGTCCCAAACATGGCCAAACACTCTGCAGTAGCTATCGACCATAGGATATACACCTTTGGTGGCTATGATGGCTACAATACTATTCATAACCTATGTTTATTTGACACAGGTAATGAATCAATCAATACGATCAACAAAGTATCTCTCTTCTAATGAGTATACTTGACACAGTTGAATGCACTTGGAGATACATGGAAGGAGAATGTAGTGGGGACCTCCCAGGTCTAAGAACAAATCATTCAGCTTCAATGTTGGGTGGCTACATGTATCTATTTGGAGGATTGAGCTTTAACGAAGATGCTCAAATAACAGGATGCTATGATGACTTGGTCCGTCTGGATGTCAATACTCTAAAATGGACACTATTGAATCCAACTGGTGACATTCCATCAGCAAGATGTGGCCATAGAATGTTGACAGTAGACAACAAACTTCTTTTATATGGAGGAGGATTGAACAATGGCACTGAATGGGTGCATAAGTATAATGACGTTCATATCTATGACCCAGTGATGAATCATTGGACCAAGTGGACATTGACTGGCAATACCAATGGAGGTGTAATGAGCACATGTGTCTGCGATGGTGCGTACCTCTATTCACTAGGTGGTATTAACATCCACTCAAACACACTCAATGAAGCACTTTATAAGTTGAACCTTTCAACCAAAGTATGGAAAGAGGCAAGCACTGTAGGAGCCGCTCAAGATCGTCCATTCCATTTAGAGCTCCCATGTGGAACACTTGTCGGCTCCAAATGGTTCTTGTTTGGAGGAAATGAGGGACATGATCCAACCAATACCATGCGCTGTCTTCAATTGGTGAATGATCTATCAATGATGGAATTCGTAGTAGCCAGACCGAACAGAGCATCAATTGGACAAACCCTCCGCCAAATGATTAATCAATATTATGGTGTTGGCCAACCATAATGAACAAAATTGGTACTATTCCATCAAACAAAGTGAATGTCAGATCAATTTGAACTTCGTAATTTAAGATCAAACCCTACAATAAGGTGAAGAAACGATTGGCGTTGAGAACCACGAATGAAACTAAAAAAATCTGATAGTTGAAATTAAAATCAATTTAATGAAATGCCCCAAAAAAGGGGAAGGCTAATGGGATGAATGAAGAATGAGTGTTGAGTTGGACCTTCACAAGGATGGATTGTGATGACGAACAAAGGGTCAACATCTTGTCATTGTTGTTGTTCTTGAGTAAAGAACAAGATTGGGTCTTTGCAATGCTGACCCCAACATGATCATGTCCCAAACCAAGCAGTGTACTTACTAAAACACTATTACCAAAACAAACAGTTATTATCAGTTCAAATATGTAAGTAAACAAATAACATGATAGTGTGAACTAGTTCTGATCATTGTGTGTGTGAGGGTGAGTGGGATGGTGTGTGTGATCATCAGTGAGTGACCTTCAGTCACGTGTTCTGCAATCACACACAAGGACTGTCCATCGATTAATATGTATATATTAACCATATATATGTTATGACATAGAAATAAGATAAGTTAAGAAAAGTAACTTTAAAGTTTAAAGTTTATTATTATTATGTGTGGAATACTTGCCATCTTGGGTTCTTCAGAGCCCGCTCAACAATTAAGAAGAAAGGCTTTGGGCTTGTCTGCAAGGTAAGTGTTATGTCCATGATGATGATTGATCATCACTCAATCTTACTCAATCACTCACTCACACATTCAATCATATATATAACAGAATCAGACATAGAGGACCAGACTGGAACGGTGTGTTTGCTTCAGAGGGAGCTATTCTAACGCACGAACGTCTGGCTATTGTCGATTTGGACAGTGGTGCACAACCATTGTTGAACGAGGACGAGACTGTTGCTCTCACTGTCAACGGTGAGATCTACAACCATGAGGAACTACGCTCATTCTATCTCTCATCTGGCAAGCACACCTTCAAGACTCACTCTGATTGTGAGCCAATCGTTCATGCTGTACGTGTCTCAACAGGTTCGATCACACTTTGAACGTTTGGAATCATTCCAATCCTCAATCTATCCAACAAACAATCATCCTGGAGCTATTCCAGTCACTCATTCAACCGATCAATCACTCAATCACACCATGGAATCATTCCAATCAATCGTTCACTCAATCAATCACTCAATCTGGAATGATTCCAAACGTTCAAAGTGTGACGTCACCAATCAAACATACTAACCTGTACAACATTCAAACAATCATTAGTATGAGGATGAGGGAGACAGCTTTATTGACAAGCTGAGTGGAGACTTTGCCTTTGTGTTGTATGATACAAAGACCAAGTCATACTTGGCCGCACGTGATCCAATTGGTGTCGTTCCAATGTATATTGGATGGGGCAAGGACGGTGCCGTCTGGTTCTCCTCCGAGATGAAGGCACTCAAGGACGATTGTTTCCGTTTCCAGGCCTTCCCACCAGGCCACTTCTACTCGAGCAAGACCAAGCAATTCGTGCGTTACTACAACCCCAAATGGTTCGACGAGCACATCCCATCTTTCCAGCCCGAGGCTGAGGTGCTGACACAGGTGCGCGAGTCCTTTGAGAAGGCTGTCGTCTCGCGTATGATGTGTGATGTGCCATACGGTGTGCTGCTGTCTGGTGGTCTCGACTCGTCGCTCGTGGCATCAATCGCCGCCCGCCACGCCGAGAAGCGTGTTGAGGACAACGAGCAAACACGTGCCTGGTGGCCACGTCTGCACTCGTTCTGCGTGGGTATCAAGGACGCACCCGACCTGAAGGCTGCCCGCGAGGTCGCTGACTACCTGGGAACAGTGCATCACGAGTTCTACTTCACAGTGCAGGAAGGTATCGATGCGCTTGCAGACGTCATCCGCCACTTGGAGACATACGACGTCACGACCATCCGTGCCAGCACACCAATGTACTTCTTGGCGCGCAGGATCAAGGCCATGGGAGTCAAGATGGTGCTGTCGGGTGAGGGCTCTGACGAAGTCTTTGGCGGCTACCTATACTTCCACAACGCTCCAAGCGCCGAGGAGTTCCACAAGGAGTGCTGTCGCCGCATCAAGGCGCTGCACTCATTCGACTGTCTGCGCGCCAACAAGTCCACAATGGCATGGGGAGTGGAGGCACGTGTACCCTTCCTCGACAAGCACTTCCTCGAGGCGGCCATGAACGTCGACCCCTCGCACAAGCTGTGCAAGGACGCCGACGGCAAGCCCAGGATGGAGAAGTACATCCTGCGCAAGGCGTTCGAGGTGAAGGAGGGTGAGAAGCCATACCTGCCCCATTCTGTGCTGTGGCGTCAAAAGGAGCAGTTCTCAGACGGCGTCGGATACAGCTGGATTGGTGGACTGAAGGACTACACAGAGTCGCAGATCACCGACGAGGAGTTTGAGAAGCGCGAGTTCATGTTCCCAGACGACACACCAACCACGAAGGAGGCATACTACTACAGAAGAGTGTTTGAGTCGCTGTATCCAGGTAAAGAGTGTCGCGACACTGTTGCACATTGGGTACCAACCTGGGGTGCTTCCCAAGATCCATCTGGAAGAGCTCAAAGTATGTTATCATCAATCAATCAATCAATCTTATTACCTTTTGTGGATTGATCATTCTAACAATCTTCATCCACTCACTCTATCAATCAATCAAACAGAGGTTCATTTGCAAACTACTTTGTAATAATCACTCTACATATTTACAAATGAAGTACTCATTATGATGGATGGAATCAATCCAGATGGGTTGTTCCAACCAATAAATCATTGCCTGCCGAATCTGGCTCGCCACCAAGTGACAACACCAACATACCACTCCACTATCACTAACATAACATCACATACGACAGACATAACATGTGTTGTCATTCTACGATGGACTGTTCGAGGTGGACCCTCACGGTCCATGTTTGTCCAACCCAACATCTGGCTTGATTGGTTGTGTGAATGCAAAAAAGGGGATCATTTGTCAAATTCCAGTTAATTTGTTCATCCATCAAACAGATAAACAATGTCCGACGACACTTGCACAAGTACAAGTACAACTACAAATGGTAGTAGTAGTAATGGTGATTTGGATCCAATCGATGTGGACACTATTACTACCACTTCCACTACTACGACGACGACGACGACCACTTCACAATCCTCAATGGTATTACCAATGACAATGACTGAGTTGTTGGAAAGATGGCATGGTAGACTACTGAGAATACCAGAGTCAAGACTGCTACAGTATGCTGTGGTACATTTACCATCATCAGTGTTCAATGACGATGCATTCCAGTCAACAAAGTTCTTCTCACGTGCTCTCGAACAATGCCCTGAACAATTGCTGAGGCAGGGCGACCCCGACGCCATGATACCTCGTTCACTACATGTTGGCGACACTACTCTACTCAACATTATGGACAAGATCAAGGCGAATGAGTACACTCCAAGCAATGGAGGTGGCACGACATACATTATGGATATACAATCGATCACCAACAATATTGATTGGGACAGCGATCAACACCAGTTGGACGATGTAGCCATCAGTCTACTACAAGCAAGCGTGAAGAGACTGTCAAATAACATTCAAATGGAGTTGTTTGACCTACAACAATCACTAAACAGAAAGAAAAGGCCCTCTAAACTATTGATGAATTCAATAGACGTGTCTGAGCGATCATCAACCAACAAGTCCGACGTTCCCAAGGAGCGTGTTGCCAAGAAACCCAGGCAAGGCATGATTGGACGTGCTGCCAAGGCCAAACTAGAAAGGCAGACACGAATCTTAGGCAAGAAGAAAGAGAAGTACAAGCAGCTCTCTGATCAAGATGTATGTCATCATTCATTCATTCATTCATTCATCGTTGTGCTCGCTCACTCACTCTCTCGATCACTCAATCACATAATAGCAACAAAAGTTTAGCCTTGACTACATCTTTAAGTCAATAGAGATGCCTCAGAGGACGTTGATGGACCAGGTGTATGGCATGAACCCAATGATGAGCCTGTACCCATATCAACAGAGTAGTTTGGCAAAGATGCTTCAAAGAGAGACATCTCCAAAGATGATCGACAATGCATTATACGTTGCAACAACAGATAATCCTGTCAAGTACAGGAACATACTCGATGTTAATCATATAGTTGATCAGATGCCACAAGTTGAGGATGTTCGAGGTGGTATACTATGCGAGGAGATGGGTACTGGCAAGACTGTTATATGCATTGGTATGTGAGGGGCTAGATGGCTGGTGGGCTGTCAAGATTGATGTGACTAACATGTACAACAACATGATGATGCAGCATTGGTACTCTCAACACTTGGTAGTCAGGCACAACCACCTCAATGGATGTTAGATGGAGTCGGAAGTTCAACAGTTCATGAACCACCAATGGCCAGCACTGTCGACAACTATGGCGAAMCCTCTACCTCCAATCGACTTGGACAACGTTGTCGCGCCCAACATTGAACCAAACGAGATGATGGATGTTGCACCTCAACCTTTGGCTCAGTCACATGTTGGCGGTGTGCCATCTTTGTACTTCTTATGTGCGCGACGACTCAAGACCAGTGGACTACCTTATCAAACATTTGGTCTACCAAGCAACATGACAGAGTTTATCGAATTGGTGCCCAATAGGACAATGACCATCGTCAATGAACAGTTGTCAACCAGGGTCAATCGATACTTTAGGAACATCATCATGTCGTCATCAACATTGATCATTGTACCTTCAAGTATCCTGCAACAATGGGCTCATGAGATCATGAGGCATCCCACCCTGACATTGGTGACAATATCAAGCAATGATGATATACCACATGCCCACCAGTTGGCCGGCTACCACATCGTACTGTTGTCACACTCTGTCTTGTCGTCAATGCAACAATATCGCTCAAATGACCCTATCCTTGGTGTATACTGGCTGCGCGTCATTGTGGACGAAGGACATGTCGTTGGCAACTCCAACACGAAGTTGACATCGGTCGCTCGCTCGATCTATGCCGAGCGACGATGGGTTTGCTCGGGAACGCCCATCTCTTCGTCGGTGCTTGATAGCGAGTTGTCCAACTTTGGATCGATCGTCAAGTTCCTCCATCTCCAGCCCTTTAACAAGTCGGATGTCTGGAAGCGTTTGGTGGCGTCGCCAATCAGACAGTTCAAAACGGCAGGCATCGACACGCTGTGTTCCATGATCAACAGAGTATCGGTGCGCACGCCCATCGACACCATCTATCGCGACATCAAGATACCGACGTTGACCATCAACAAGGTGTACATCAAGCCCACGAAAGAGGAGACGATCAAGTACAATGAGATCGTGTGCCAGGTGCAGACCAACTTGCTCGCATCGCAGTATGAGGGTCCAGACTCTCTGTTCTCGTCGAACAATCAACGCTTTGCCATGGAGGTGTACACAACGCTGAGGAAGGCATGTATATTCACTGAAGGGCTGTCCGAGGACCAACGCATAGTCTGCAAGGAGGCCATCATCTCTGCATTGATGCTCGATGACTCTGTCATACCAAGGAGTGACAAGCTCAAACTAGTTTCAATCTACAAGTTCATGGAATCTATATCACAGTTCAGACATGTCGTCAACCAGCAGGTAACTAATGTTGATGGGGCTCAGATTCCTCCTCAACAGGTGTCGCCAACATCAACATCCCCAGTCAGGGTCAGGACTGTTCGATTCAACGATGACGTTCAAGTCAAAGAGATACCAAACAACAACAACAACAACAACAATAACAACAACAACAACAACAACAACAGCACCACAAACAACAACAGCAACAACAACTCAACAGTGTTGGGAATAAGGACAACAAACAATCCAACGAATGATGTACCGCAGAAGAGGAAGGAAGACTTTGTGTCGTCCAAGTTGAAGTACTTGGTGGAGAGGATCCAACAGATTGATGGCAAGATCATCGTGTTTAGCCAGTTCAACGAGGTGATCTATGATATCATCTTCACATTCAAACAAGAGTTGCCCAACCTCAAGTTCCTGGTCTACTACACGCACGTCACACAAAGAGAGCGATCCAGTGCCATCATGACATTCCAGTCCAACAAGGACATCAAGGTGATTGTGATGAACACTGATCTGGCAGCGTATGGCATCAACTTGACAATGGCCACACACATCCTCATCGTCGATCCCATCACCAGTTGGACAAAGGAGCGACAGGCCATCAAGAGAGCGCATCGTATCGGTCAGCAACATCCCGTCACTGTCGAGAAGTTATTGATCAAGGGTACAGTCGAGGAGATCATCGATAGGAATACAGACAAAGGTAGTAACATCAACAATGGCAACAATGGCAACAATGGCAACGACAACAACAATATGGCATCGTCATCAGTATCGATTGAACAAGAGGACTTCTTCAAGGTTGAACAAGAGTTTCTGTTCCAGGATGAAAGGAAGGAGGAACAAGGCAAGCAGATTAGGAATGTACTGAGGGATATACAGACACTACCATCAAAGCATTTGAGAGCCATCACTGATCAAGAGTATGAGCAGTATGTTGACACCATGTTGAAGTCAAAGTCCACTACACAACCAAGTTCATAAACATTGTCATTTGAATACAATATGGATGATAGTAGTCGTCAAGTTACAATCATGTCATCTGGTTGTCAATCGAAGACCATCTCAAACTCTTGATTGACAAGTTCGCATTGTTGTTGTTGTGTTGGCAACTCTGAGACAATTGTTAGCTTGAACATCGTTTAGATCGATCTCTAACAACAAGGTCTGAACAATTGATATCCATCCTCAATGAGTGAGGTGACCTGCACCAGTGTGTTTATTTAATACAACAATCAATCTTATTGACCTCAGTAGATTGGTGTTCTCTTGTTGGACAGAGGTCATCTGATCATCCTCGATACTGTCTCAAACTCTCTTCTTCTTGTTTATTGCTTGTCGTTCCTTGTATTGTTTGATTATTGATTGAATCGGTGCATTGGTCTTGTAGTTTGAACATGATGCCACACCTTTAAGTTGGAAGGTTGCTCCAATGTCCAAGAGATGTAGTAACATCACAATATCATTCTTCTTTATCAAATCAATTGTATACAATGGTAGTAATACTGACTTGATTCCTGCTCCGACCTCCTCACTCGCATGCTTGAGTAAACAATCCAATATTGGTCTGCCATCTTTACGATCCACAATCGCTGTCTTCAAATCACTATATATAGATGAGTTGTTGGAGAAGTCCATCTTTAGAGGTTCCATTCCAAGTAAGATGGCCAGTTGCTCCAAGTTGCCCTTCACAATGGCCAAACCATGATATTTCTCAAACTTGGTAGTGATCAAACATCGATGATTGTTGTAGAGGTGAGTGAGAAGTTGGGTCTGATTAGATTTGATTGCCTGTTCAAACATTAATGAGACATGTACATCCAATGATTTAGTCCCGTTGGATGATGATCGTTGAACATACTCAATGGCCATGTCTGCCATAATAGTGTCACCAATTTGACCAATTCGCTCGAGGTATGATGTTGATATTGAAGTGTGATGATCCATCAGCCATTTGAACATGTCATAATCTGGACGCCCATCCATTGTCAGCTCAAACAAGTATTCACTACTGTCAAATTGCCTGAGTCCATAGATGAGTTGGACAATGTCATGTTGGTGAAGCATCACAGCAAGTTGAATTTGTAGATTGTGATTGATCAATAATGGTGACTTGTCGAGAACATACTCCAAGTGTTTGACATCAATGAACAATGGTGTGAACTTGACGATCTTGTTGCGGTCGGACACCAGGAATTCGAGCATGTCCATCGAGCCTTCGAATATCGATTGACCATTGGGTGCTTTGTCTAACTGAATATTGTGATCGTTGAACATCATGAGCACTTCCAGTTTGAGTGAGCTGTTGTGTGATGTCATGAACACAGGGTTGAGTAGATTATCACTTTTGCGGTAATTGCCGAGGTCTTGGAACAAAGACTCAAGCTCTGGTTTGGATGCCATAAATTGAACTAGTAGTTGGGCTTGGGCCAGAGTGCCATGCTCGACTATGCAGCAGATCAATGAAACATCATGATATTTAACGGATGCCAAGAATGGAATGAGTGCCAGATCTCCACTTGACAGGTAATCGTTCAACATCCGAATAATGATCTTGTACGCATTGTCATACTGATGGTTTATAAAGAGTAGGAACTTGATCATCTCCAATCGGAACTTGTCATCACATGTGTCCACGCTGTCTCTGTTGTCATATGACAATGCAATCATTCTCCAGGCATCCTCTTTGGACTTGTTAAGTGCTTCCGTGGCCTGTTGGTCAGTGATAAGTTGTCGGTTTATGAGCTTGAATTGGATAAATCGCTCAAATAGTGTCATGTGTTTCTCCAGTGATGAATTGTGGTGAGAGAGTATGTCGCCTATCAAGTAATCACGACTCTGTTTGGGCAATTCATTGATATTGAGGTTTGGAAACAAGTCATCAATTAGACTTTGATCGCCAGTCTCTAGGATAGCGACCCTGTGCTGTGGCAGGAGTGATCGGGCAAGCTCTGAGACTTGAGTTGAGACTGATACTGTTTCCAATGTGGATGAAGATGATGATAATGATGAGTCGGGTACTCCCGTCACAAATCTGATCAATTCGCTCGAACGAGACACGATGATCCAGGTGATAAACTCGGTTTCTTTGGCGAATGAGGATACCAAGTTTGGATAATCTAGGAGGAATTTGATCATCTTGACACTCTTGGCTACAACAGAGGAATATAGTATTGTTTCCAAGTTAAATTTGTTGATCTTTAACTTTAACTCGACTGGATGTGTTTGATCGAACAATGTCTGTGCGATGTGAACGTTTCCACTTTTGATTGCCCATCCTAGGATGAATTCATGATCAAAGCAGCTTTGAAATCGAGTGTAGAACAAGTCGAATGTATCATTATCCATATAGTTGCGGGTCAATATATCATCTAGATCACCAAACTCTGGTTGATCGAGGTGTAGGCCACGTTTGATTCTGTCGCGCAACAGACCATAATGTCCATTCAACACAATTTCTCTACAGTTGGTCCAATGTCCATATTTGATTTTGTTAAACAAAAATGTGGTCCAATCTGGTGAGTACACGTTCTTTACTCTATTAATAACTGATCTACGAAAATGATCATCATGTATCTTATGGACTTGATACAAAATAGACTTGACCAATATTCTATTTTTGAATACAGACATAACAACTTTAGTTGTATCTATATCACTCATATTTGTTATTTTGTGTATTAACATATTTGTTTTTATTATTTCAACAATCAAATAATAAAAACATCTGTAATGCTGCAGTCCTCCTAGGAACAAACTTTTGTCGTCCATCATAAAAAGACAAGTTCGAACTCCGATTGGTCAACCACACATGAAGTCCCTAGTACACACTTATATTTATATTTACAAATAATACACGTTCAGGGAGGTGTTGAGACGAGTGCAGGAGGTGGAACATGCGGCGGCCTCGGGCCAGATCAGCTTTATTGACCACATCTATCGAACGTCGCCACAGTATATAGAAGTGACTGCCTCCTTTTGCGCAGCTGGAGCTGGCCAGATGGAGGTGATCAAGTACCTCCACGGGATCGATCACATTGACGACACCCCGCTCTTTAGCGAAGGCACAATGTTTCACGCAGCACTCGGTGGCCAGATGGAGGTGTTGCTCTTCCTGCACAATTGTCGAACGGAAGGGTGCACCACCAACACCATGGACCACGCAGCAAAGATGGGTCATCTGGACATCGTGCAGTTCCTTCACGCGAATCGCACAGAGGGGTGTACAGACGACGCCTTGGTCTTTGCGGCGCGGAGCTGCCATCTTGACATTGTCAAGTTCCTCTATGACAATCGAAGCGAAGGTTGTGTTTGGCGAGCATATGCCTATGCGTGTGATAGCTCTGACAATCGTGATGTCTGCGAATATCTCTCTGATCTTCCATGTAGAGAGCATTGTCCTCATTGCCACAACAGCCATGACATGGAGCTCTTCTATCAGTTCGTAGATGAGATGCACCGACTAGATCATCTACCGGATTAAGTTAACTCTCTATCGTCATCATAAAGGGACGGACAACCAGATATTCCTTTTCAAACTGGACAAGAATGTTGGAGGCATTCCAACAACAGTAACAGCAACAACAGCTGTCAGTCATCTTGTCAGCCAATAAACAGTCGACTGCCTGACAGGCATGAATGGCCATGCGTCAACATAGTCAACGTGTCATGTCTTGATTGTTGTGGCAGTTGTAGTCAATGTTGTGGAGTTAGAGATGCACGCTTCGTTGGGGATGTTTGGCGTTGACTGTGTGGTCGGGGCAGCTCTCCGAAGCCATGGCACGTGATATCACATCACTCCTATCCCTGCGCGACTGCTGTTTCTGTTGCTGTTGCTATTGTCAAAGTCCACTACACAACTAAGTTCATAAACATTGTTGTCATGATTATGTCGACCAGCGAGTTCGTGTGAGTTACAATCTGATAGTTTGATTGGGAAAAACGACAAAGTTGAAGATTGATTGATTGAACAGATAATCATCATTCATTGTACATACATATACTACATACAACAAACAAACAACATATAAGATGTCAACAACAAACAAACAACAACAAGAACTTGCAGTTCCAGGTTTCTTCCCAGCTGTCACTTCAGAATGTAAAGAGGTTGCAGCAAAGTTCTTCATCTGCATAGAGAAGTCGATGGTGTCTCACAATGACGAGGTATGAATAGTCAAGTTGTCATAGAAGTATGATTTGTATGTACGTGTCAACAACTAACTAAACATCATTATCATCAATCAATCAATCAATCAATCATTTGTTTGAATATAGGATATTGATGCACCAAGAAGAGGTTTAAGATACTGCGAGAAACAACTGATAGATTATACTGTATGCATGGAGCAGTCATTGGCAAAGGGATCACCAAATATACATTGATCAAGTACATATATAATATATACAAATACAAAGTAACTTGAAGTTAGCAAGAGAAGAGAGATGCGGAAATGAGGCAGATTCAGTTGAGTGGATGAAATTAAATGAAATGACCAAGAAGTGAGTGAAAATGAGTCACTTTGGGGCTGGTGAAGATGAACTTGCACTCTTGAAGGGGCTTAATTAAGTCATTTGATTGATTGATCTACATACTTATAATATATATATATTAACTGTATACATACATATAAAACATAATAATAAGAGATGGAGATAGACAATAATAGCAATAACAACGATAACAATAACAATAACAATAATAATAATAACAATGCAACACCAATGACAACTACAACATCTGGCAATGATGATTTATATAAATTATCAAGGGAGTTGAGAGGTCATGAGAAGGATGTTCGAGCTGTTATAGCACTATATGATGGTAGGATAGTGTCTGGTTCGAGAGACAACACTGTACGCGTATGGGATATCTTCAAGTCACAGAATCAAGAGGCTACATCTATTGTGTTGCATGCTCATCAACACTTTGTTGGCGCACTCACTCAACTGAAACCAAACGAGTTGCTCCAACAGAGATTGTTTGCCTCTGGTGGCAACGACAAGATGATCTGTGTCTGGGACAAGAATGCTGTGCCCCGTGGTGACAGCGGCATTCCCTCTGGCTCGCCCATCCTCATGCTTCTCGGACACACCGACTCAGTGTCCACTCTCGGCACCACCCACGACGGACTGTTGATCTCTGGCAGTTGGGATAAGTAAGTGGCACCATCCATCATCTCATCAATGTACTACATGTTACTAACACGTTGAAATAGGTCTGTAAGAGTATGGGACAACAATGATTGTGTGTGTACATTGGAGAAACATGAGGCTGCTGTGTGGAGCGTGTTGGGCCTCCCTAATGGAGACATTGTCAGTGCCTCAGCCGACAAGAAGATCATTATTTGGAAGCGTGTGCAGAATGACACCAAGATACAGTTCATTCAGTACAAGGTGTTGACCAAGCACACTGACTGCGTGCGCGCCCTCTCGCTTATCCCCGAAGTCGGCTTCATATCGGCCGCCAACGATGGCAGCTTGATCGTGTGGACATTCGACGGTGAACCCCTGCAGGAGATGACCGGCCATCAGGCTTACGTCTACGGCGTGGTCTACATCCCCAACTATGGCTACGTGTCGTGCAGTGAGGACCGTTCAATCAAGGTGTGGAAGGACGGAGCTTGCCACCAGACCCTTGCCCATCCATCGGGCGTGTGGTCGTGCGCGGTGCTGCTCAACGGCGACTTGGTCAGTGGCTGCGCTGATGGCGTGGTCCGTGTGTGGACACGCAATCCCACCCGTGTAGCTTCCGGTGCCGCCATCGAGAACTACCTGCAGTCAGTGGCCGCTCAGGAGATCTCGTCAGACAACGTCGGAGACATCAAGCTCAACGAGCTACCGGAAGCAGCCGACGCCCTGCTCGCACCCGGCAAGAAGGACGGTGAGATGAAGGTGGTTCGCTCAGGCAAGACGGCTGAGGCGCACCAGTGGTCGGCTGCCGATCAGCGCTGGATCAAGATTGGCGACGTCATTGACTCCAACGCCTCCAAGTCCAAGGCACTTCTAGACGGCAAGGAGTATGACTATGTGTTTGATATCGACGTCAACGAGGGCACAATGTACAAGATTGGCTACAACAATGGCGAGAACCCTTGGACTGTGGCGCAGGAGTTCCTCTGGAAGAACGATCTGGATCAGTCGTGGCTGGAGGAGATCACAAAGTTCCTCGTGCGCAATGCCAACGCGCCAAGCAACATGACCCTGGGTGCAGCCCAGCCCACATACTCGGACCCATTCACAGGAGGCAGTCGATACGTGCCTGGCAGCGCACCCACTCACCAACCAGCGAGCACACCATCCTTTGCCGAGATACAGCCAAACAACTACATACCCCAAGGCGTCTACACTTACTTTGACGCTGCCAACAGCGACAGTCTCGCCCCCAAGGCACTGGAGTACAGTCAGCAGCTCGCCGCCGACACCGCCACAAAGGCATTGTCATTGGACCTCGAGGAGAGGGAGGACGTCGTCTTTAAGAACATCCTTTCCACGCTCAAAGACACTTCAAGATATCACTCATCGACCTTTAGCGACGTACAGTACAAGACCCTGCTCAAGATGTTGAAGTGGCCAGTCGACAAGATCCTGCCATTGCTCGATGTTCTCCGCACGCTGATGCTGCACTCTGGCGCCTCAAGAACCTTTGACCAGATGATTAACATGAAGCAGTTCAACGTCGTGCAAGCCCTGTTGAACCTGCCAGCCACGGCTTCAGACATCAACAACCAGATGTTGATTGCCAAGGTCTTCTGCAACATGATCCGACACGAGAACATGAGACAACACGTTTACAACTATATGCCAGCCATCCTTGACCGCCTACATCCATTCTACGAGACTGTTAGCAACAGCAATGCTACCTTTGTTACCTCATACTCTACACTTTTGTTAAAGTATGTTAATGTTGATGTCGGCATTGATGTATGATGATACTAACCTCTATTCATTCAATCTATCAATCAAATAGCCTATCAGTGTTGACTGTATATAAGAAGGACTTTATTGCCAAGGAGAACGTGGACAAGTTGATCAACTGTGTGTCAGCGATGATTGTCAAGGAGCAGACCAATGCTGATGTGGTCTTTAGATTGGTGATTGCCTTGGGCAGTATATTGATCACATTCAGACAACACAAAGTGAAGAATGGCAAAGAGATCGAATCAATCATCCAAAAGAGCAGCGCAACCAATGCCAAGCTCCAGGAGACCAGCACACTGGCTATCAAATTGTTGCAATAAAGTAAAGCTCGTCTGTGGAACCATACCATTTAAACGAATGTGTGTACAATGTATTATTATTGTGGATTGTGTACAATGTATTATTGTGGATTGATCAACCGACAAACCGTTTAAGGAGTGCCCCATTGATCTCGTTGGCAACAAGTAGTGCAAGTCCTTGGAATTCACCAAGCTCGAGATTGGTAAACGCTTCAAAGTTGACATGTGAAAGGAGTTCCAAACATTCTCTCACATTCATCAACCCATTGCCATTAGTCACTGCCAGGTGACCTGGTGCTGGCTTGATAGGTGAACATATATCAATGATCATTGATGTATCTGGAATTGTCTCGTCATTGTCCACAATGCCAGTATCGTCATCATCAACATGGACACGCTTCTTTGATGTGGTGGACTTCTTCTTTGGTGATGTGTATAAATGGTTGAGTGCTTTTGATGATGATGAGGATGATGATGACGATGATGATGATGGTGTTGATGTTGCTGATGACGATGATGTATCTGTTGATTTTGTTGATGATGTGATGTTGTTAGGACACGTTGTCTCTTGACAACTTTGTTGTCCTTTGTGATGCCATTTCCATGATCTGAAGGAGCAGCAACATCCACCTTTGATGATGAGACAGTCGCGACTGTTGTTGTCTTGTTCGTATGATTCGAGACAACTCCATTAAAGTCTTTGGACCAAAGGAAGGGTGGGTAAGAGTGTTAGCAATCATACCGCCAAAGGGGAGCAGGACACTTACAAGATGGAATCATATTGATTTCCGGTAAAAGTTGGAGTGAGTCGTGGAAGGAACCGAGAGTGGCCGGTGGTAGTTTGGTGTGTGAGTGGTCAGTGTCGTTGTCTTGGTCGGCAAGGTTGTCTGGCAGATTGATTGATGATACTCTCTTGCGCACGGCAACCAACGTCGACCAAAGTTCCGGCTTGTAGCGCAGTCTCTTTTGCGCGCCAAACACTCCATTCCAAAAGTCCAGCGTCTTTTCAGCAATCAATGATTGTTTGGAGAGGAATGCGCAGGACAGCATATCGCTCATCGCATCGAGCACTGCATCGCCTTGATCGTACTTGGTGCCAATCACTCGCGTGGCACTCTCAAGCAGTGCGCACCATAGCTGATTGAGTGACTTCTTGTATGAGGCCAGCAACTCTTTCAAGTCCTGGGAGAGCGATGAGCCCGATGGCTCTGGTCCAATCGTCTTGAGAAGTGATGTAAGTGCGCCACTCAACTGAGTGCACAAGCCTACCAACACCTTGGCACTGGGCATCTTCTTGACAACCTGCGCCAGAGCCGCGAGCAACTGCTGAGTCGATGTTGCCTGGGTCCCAGACGAAGCCTCCAGCAAGCTATTGACAAATGTGAACACTGATGCATGGCCACTTGAGCCACTCGATGCGTCAAGGTCCATTGACGCGTCGTTTGATCGCCTGCTGACGGCAGGCGGTGCCAGTGATATATCAAGTGTTTGGAGGGCGATGGCGACAACGCCCAAGGTTGTCTCGAGGTTGGAGACGTGTTTCCACTTGGTGCTCGACTCTATCGATGACAAAAGTTGCTCGACGAATGGATTCAGCGATGTTCTAATAGAGACGGCACGGTGGAATGATTGGAACAATGACTTCCACGTGATCAATACCTTGTCGCGCATCTCACCATCCCTATAATCACACATTGACAGCTGTCTAAGTGGCCAGGTCAATATAGCCTTGAAATTAGACAATGACTTGGTGTTCAGCAATGGCGTCGATAACAATTGATGAGACTTGTCGATAGAGTGTTGGGTAGTTGTTGCTAAAGGTGTGGCGGCGGTGGTGGTGAGGAGTATGAGTGAGTGGAATCATTCCAGGAGTGATCAATAATATTTACCATTCTGTATCCAGATGAGAAGTACAAGCTCCATGTTTGATGGAGTCGGACAAGAGTGTGAGAGGTATTCCCCGATTGTTTCAAGGATTGAGTGTATCTTTTGGACGAGGTCTGGTGAGTTGGAACAAGAGAATTGTACAATATCATTGATGGTTGGTATGATGAATTGGTCCATCTTCTTGCTGCTCACTTGTAATCCAGTGCCAACAATATTAATCAAAATGAAGTCAAAGGGAGACAGTTGTTGCTGCTGGTCGACTACATCCTTGGTCACCTTGATGTCGCTGGAGAACAATACCGACTTTGGCAACAATTGGATAGTGAGTTGGTGCAATGTCTTGATGAATTGCATCTCGTATAGTGTCATCGATGTTGCCTGCGAACCACCCAACACCCGACTGCCAATGGTCTCCAACGCTTTGAGAACAAGCTGGATCAGCTGTGGGTAGTGTGCGTCCTTGTGATCGACATTGGCCACGCGCTCCAACAGCGCGTTCCACAGGTCCGAGCGCTCTTTGAGGTAGTTGGGCTGTTGCTGTTTCTGCGAGGTGGACGAGTCGAGTGATGTGTCCAGGGACACGTCGCCAGGGTTGTCCTGCTCCTCATCCTCGCCCTTCAATGTCAGCACATTGACAAAGGTCTTGAGGTTCTGGAGCAGCCACTGACCGCTCAGCTCGGGCAGCGGTTTGATCGAGCAATGGTATTGCTCTTTGAGATGCTCGCGATATGATGTGGCCAGATTCTCCTTGAGCAGCAGACACACCATCAGACTGAAGCAACATCGATGGAATTGAGCATCCTCAATCAGACTTTGAATGATCGTTGTGAATACAGAACCAAACATATTCACGAGGTTCGTTGGGCCGATGCTATCCAACAAATGAAGCCACGTTATCAAACAACTGGCCTTTGAGTTTGCGTCATTGTCCTTCTTGAATCCAACACTCAATGGCATTACAATCAGATTCAATCTCTTGGCAATCAACAACGAATGTCCACTCAATGCATCAATCAAGTATCTCCACGACTGATATGTTTGTGATCTGATCATATCATCACTACCATGAATGAAGGATTTCTTGTTGGGTGTGTTAGGGCGAGGGTTGAGAGTTAGAGCGAGGGTTCCTGGATCATTGACATACCTCTGGAAGCTTGAGGAAGCTGTTGATCAGATTGTTGGTGAATAGTGCCTCGCCAATGAAGTAGATATAGTATCCCCATACTTTGATGGCAGTTACCTCTCTTCCATTGTCATTGATTTGATTGAGTCTTTCAATTATATCAATGTGGCACTCAACCAATCTCTTTGTCAATTGTTCATTCTTTGTGTTTGTCGATGTCCATGTTGTGATCGTGGCACGTATAATCTGTTCAGCCTTTTCAAAGCATCTATGTTGGGTTTGGTGTTAGCTCAATCATGTTGTTGTTGGCGCACGTGTGTACTTACGCCCTGGCGAGGTCTGATGATGCGCCACTTGATGATTGACTGGTAATGTCATTGTCGAGCAGTTTGTCAAGGAGTGAGGGTATCCAGAGATGTGCAAGGGGTGCGAATAGTTGTGGATTCTGTACATTTATCTTGGAGAATGATACCAATACCTCATGTTCAATTGTCTTTGAATTATAAGGTGTCTTCTCCAATATAGTACATAACGTCTGTGCTAACTTTGGACTGTCTGGACCCTTTGGAAACGACTGTGATGACAAACACCAAATAGCATAGTTACAAATATTCTATTTCCATTAGTTGATTGATCAAATGAGTTAGTGATTGAGTGATTGGAATTATTCCAGGATTGAGTGTGTGAGTGATTGTTGGAATGATTCCACTCCAGAGTGATGATCAATCATACCTTCTTCTTTGTAATCTGTATTGTATTATCGAGTAGGGTTGATATATCTCTGATCTGGCTGTCTGAGAGTAGTGCTACTATCTGTTGACTGAATAGGAAGTAGCCAAGACTACGCAATGAATGAATGGCCAGCTGATCATTGCCCTGTTGATTGTTTGAGAATGATATATTGTGATGAAACACTTTGATGAATGCCGTTACATTGGCACTCTGCTTGAGGAATGGTGGCAACTCCTCATTCTCCACGCACTCCTTCAGATGAGTGATCAGTGTCGTGAAGCATGTCTCCACCTCCTTGACCTGCACTGTCCTCCTGTTGGCAATTGATGCCTCCAGTGATTTCAACAACTGGTCCATGTTGATTGAATATATATATATATATATATGTATTGTGTGTTGTTGGTATATCTATGATTAAGACGATTGGACCGATTGATCAATCACATACAATGACATCCATTTCAAGGAAGTGAGCAATTTAAACATTTTGGCGCCAAGTTTAAACTTCACACTTGGCGCACTAGTTCATTCAGTCACTTCATCTCGCGAATCAATAAACACTTACTACATGTACACATATACATCATAGACACATATACATATACATATATAATACACAATGGCAACATCGACAAAGATAATTAGACCTCCCGAACCCTGGGTATCTAAATAGTATGCTAACTTCAACCTCGCCACAACCTCAACATCAACACAATACTAACTTTACCAACTATGTAGTAGGCCAAAGACTGTAGATGACGTATCACATCAAGATGAGGTTGTAAAGGCATTGAAGAGATCATTAGAAACAGGCAATGTATGTGACAGATTAAGGCGATGGTCAATTGATTGAATGAATGATGGATACTAATGAATGAATGAATATAGCTACCTCATCTATTGTTCTATGGACCACCAGGTACAGGAAAGACATCAACTGTCTTGGCAGTGGCAATGGACTTGTACGGTCCAGAGTTGTATAAGGACCGTGTACTTGAGTTGAATGCTTCGGATGAACGTGGTATCGAAGTGGTCAGAACAAAGATTAAGAGCTTTGCAAGCTTCACAGTCAATCAGCAGGCGACAGTAAACGGACGACCGGCTGCATCATTCAAGCTGATCATCCTGGACGAGGCCGACTCAATGACGCACGACGCTCAGGCCGCACTACGTCGCACCATCGAGAACACCTCAAAGACCACAAGGTTCTGTCTGCTCTGCAACTACATCACAAGGATCATCGAGCCACTGTCGTCTAGATGCGCCAAGTTCAGATTCAGATCGCTGGACGACACGGCAATGACTGAGCGACTGACAATGATCGCCGACAAGGAGGGCATGCGACCACTCTCCGATCCCGTCCTCAAGGCCATCCAACAAGTGTCCGATGGTGATCTTCGAAAGGCCATCACCTACCTTCAATCAGTCTATCGTTTCTACGGCAAGGACAAAGTACTAACGCCAGACACTATATTCAACATTTCAGGAGTAAGTACACGATCAGGCCATGGTCCTCTGGCCACTCACTCACTCAATTACTTCCTATCAATCACATTGACAGACTGTCCCCAACGAACTGATCGATGGACTGTTCAAGACATGTTTGTCTGGATCATATGAGAAGCTGGAGAAGAATGTACAGAGGATCATTGCGAATGGATATCCAGCGGCACAGATCCTATCACAGTTGTTTGATTATGTCGTGGCAACACCTGTCGCCACAAACAAGCAAAAGGCGATGATAACCATCAAGATGGGATCGGTTGACAGGAACCTAATCGATGGCTCGGAAGAGTTCCTTCAACTACTCGACGCAGCCTCCTACATCATGAACCAAATGACAAATCAATAACATTGTCTTGTTGTATCTTGGGACGCGTACTAGTCGTCATCTGACGACGATGATTAACATTTATTCAATCAATCAATCAATCAACAGTTGGAAGTCCTCGCTCTTTGACTCCAAACAGGCCAGCACCTAACTTGGTCAGTGGGAATGGGTCACTGAATGACGCCAGGATGTTGGACACGACTGCAGCTCTACTCTTGTATCTGTCATTGGACACGGTGGATGTCGGATAGATCTTGATGAATTGGGCCATGCGAGGGTTGGACGAGGTGTTGTTGAAAGATCCATGAGGCATGCGCTGGTCCCAGATCACCATTGATCCCTTGCGCATGGAGATGCGCTTGGCAAACTTGAACAATGGGTCCTTTGTCTGCCAGTTCCACGACGGCTGGCTATACTCTGGCTTCTTTGTGTTGAAGTAGTCGACAAAGTGATTCATGAAGCCTGGCACGACAACGTAGCCACCATCCTCCTCGTGGTTCTCGAGCAGATTCAGCACGGCTTGCAGTTGACGGCCGTCATGCTGACTTGGCTGGTTGTTCTCCTGTATAAACTCGCCAAGTCGGTCGTATCGCAGTCGATCCAGCTCCTGGCGACACATCGAACCGTCGCCCATCCAGTTGAATGGATTCATGTCCAAATGCACATTGCTCTTGGTTGACCACTCGGGCTTGCCCAGCGCGACACCCGGTGTGTTGACTGTGGGACGGAAGAAGCAGCAACGGTCATTGTTGACCATCAGGTCTGGGTTCTTCAGCAGCTCGGCAAACACTCGGTATACGCGGGGGTTCTGGCGGTTCATCAGGAACTGCCTAGTGAAGATGGGTGGTCGCGACGGGCTGCCATACTGCATGATCGACTCTTCAGTTGGGAAGTGGTCCCAAGTCGACCGGTCGTTGCGCTTGAATCTCGGAGACTTGCTCTCGATTATATCAAATATCTCTGATACGGTGCGATCACAGTCGTCTCCTGTGAGCACATCGCGTACAACTACAAAGCCGAAGCGATTAAAGAACTCTTGTGGATTATTCTGTACATTGTTGCCGGCTGCCACCATTGCAGTCTCATCAAACTGATCCAGTGAGAATGACCAACTGTATCCATCACCATCCTTTGGTACCTGATACTGTGTCAGTACATTGTAATCAAACTGTGGCTGCTGTTGTATCTCTTGTTGCTTCTGTTGTTGTCCTTTCATTATTATTATACACTGAGTAATTGTTATTATTATTATATTACTATACTATATACATATATTTATCATATCAATATTGCTTTGACAAGATGTCTGGATATATCCATGATCAATCATTCGTCAAACACACAGTGTTGTGTGAACTTGATCGATCACACGGAAATTTCACTGAAAGGAATCCAAGTGTTTTCTCATCATATCATTCAAACATATATCTTAACCAATGATCATTCCGGGGATTGACGAGATCTTGCCCTTGGTCCTGATCTGTTTGGGCTTCTTCCAGTTCTTCTTGTTGATTGCCACTTCATAGTTGGAATTCTCAAACACCGTCTCCTTGGTGATTGTGCAACTCAGGTTACTTGTCTGATCAAACTTGGCATTTGTAAAGTCACAATGTGCAATATCGCAATGTGAGAAGTCACATCCATAAAGTATTGCACCAATAAACTTGCTTCCTTTCAGATCAGAGCATGCAAAGCTCGTGTTGGACAAGTTGGAACTAATGAATAGTATGTCTGTCAGCGACTCTGTTGGTCGATCGAATGTATGTACTTGACTTACTTTGAGAAGTTGGTACAATATGCTTGGCATTCATATAGTTGATTATCTGTGAAGATGGCATTGGTAACCTTGGCTCGATTGAATACACAGTTCGATCCAATACAGGAGTCTACGGATGAAAACTCAAGATTGCATCCACTGAATGAAGCTTGATTGATTGTTGCCATCTTAAATATTGTCCTGGAGAGATTGGAATAGTTGAACAGGGCACAACTCAGATCGAGTCCCGTGAAGTTGAGTCGACTCATCCAAATTCCTTGAAGACGAGGATAGTCGTAGCACCTGGTGATGGATGTAAGTTATTCAATCAAACACTTGGTTGAAGGACCAGATCACACTTACGAGTTGATGATGTTTATGATATCACATCTGGTCATCTCGGGCTCGTCTTGGATCAATTGGACTAGTGGCTTGATGTTGAAGAATTCTGCCTCTTCGAGAAGTGCCTTGGTGTTGACGCCAATGGGTGCGTTGTAACGACTGGTGCGCAGGTAGTCAAGTAGACAACCAAAGTAGGTTGGGTTCCTATCAATGAATATGACCTCCTCCTTCTGTATCTGTTTGATCTGCATCTCGACCACACGACATAATATGCTCTGAGGACATTTGAATACTGTTGCCAAAGATGTGGCAAATAGTGTTCCACCAACATTGAAGTTGACTGGCGTTGTCTTGTCGATGGAGACACCGGCAACTGTGATCATATTGTTTGAAAMCGACGCCAGAATGTATATTGAACACGCTGCCTGACGAGCTGCTAAGGTCATCATCTTGTTGACGAACGCTAGTTGTTGAGCTGGGAGGCAGAGTGACTGTCATCAATCTTGAATGTCTGATTGAATGCACCAGCAACTCTGATTCCTCATCGAATACCATCCAGTATTGCGGCGGCAGTCTTTGTATTACTACCACCATTACTATTGTTGCCATTGGTAGTGTTGTTGAGGATGCCGTTTGATTTCTTTTCCAAGGCCAGCCTGTACACTGCTCCTAAGTGGACTGGTTTGAATTTCAATTGGTATTGGCTTTCTTTGGCTACGCAGTGGCACTGAGGATCCGGTATCATCATCATCGTCATCATCACTTCCATCGGAATTAGTTGCCAACTCTTTACTATTACTATTGATCGAACCATGTGAATATGGAGTCATATTTGAAGTTGTTGATCTATCCCTTAGACTACTGTTTCCACTTGTAATACCGCCAGTAGATAACAATGGAGTATTTGTACTATTTGGAGTACCATCACTAACTGATGACGATTGATCACTAAAGTGCAACTTGAACAAGTTGTCCCTACTTAACGATCTCAAAGATCCAACATTCTTCATATTATTGTTTGGGTGTTGTCTTCCAATACTCTCCATCCTTTACTAACTATCTATCTATACTATCTTATCTTGTTGTTATATATCTTATCACTATGACTATTGACTATGATACAACTACTACTGCTACGACTTGGCAAGTAGTAATCGCGTGTCCACCCCATAACACAACATCATCATTCTCGCCATGAGTGATTCAATTCAAGATGTGATGCGAGGGAGAGAGAGAACAGTGTGTTATGTGTGTTCTAGAGAAGAGGACAGATTATAATAATAAGGAGGTGTGTGGTGTCGCTTGTTTGATCAATGAATTACCTTGTTGTTGCAAGTATGAAGGTCTTGGAATAGACCATCTTTACATGTTTGTAACCTTGCAATTCATTTCACACCGTTCATTATTTACTCTTCATCAAACTTTGAAAAGATAATAATACTTATTATTATTATTTGTTTGATCACAAAGATTATCTGTATTGATTGCCCATTATCTAAATGTGTTGTGCAAATTTGAAACAATTGTGGTTGCGATCTTCAAAGTCTCTGTTCCTTTGTGCGCAAATCAATAAGTGCCTTATCTAAAGTTAGAAATAGAGATAGAATAGATATATAATTAACTGATGACGATGATGATGTTAACAAAACAAAGATTGATATCAAGATTATTTTCTGTTCAATCTTCATCATCATTGTCTACTGGATGTTATGCATCAATCACATCTACTTCATCACAACATAAAACAAAGTACTCTTTCAATGATTATAAAGCAGAACATAACAAAGCATTGAAGAATAAGGTCGATTATTGGGGTGATAAGGCAAACTACATTGATTGGTAAGATGTCCACTTGTCAAGATTGGTCGATTGATTGATTGAGTATACTTACACTCATTACCTTTACCTTGACCAAAGGAATAAGAAGTATGATAATGTATTGGCGGGAACAGCTGAGAATCCTTTGTGGTTCGAAGGTGGACAACTCAATATAAGTTATAATGCATTGGATAGACATGTGAATAATAATGAAGGAAATAGGATGGCATTGATCCATGAGACTCCAATGTTCAACAAGACCACAACATATACTTATAGCGAACTGCATGAGCAGGTTTGCTTGGCAGCTGCCGCACTGGCCAATCTAGGCGTGGTCAGTGGTGATCGAGTCGTTATCTACATGCCAACAATCCCACAAGCTGTAATGGCAATGCTGGCTTGCGCCAGACTTGGCGCAACACATTCAGTCGTGTTTGGCGGCTTCGCAGCACCACAGTTGGCATCAAGGATCGAACATTGCAAACCTAAAGTGGTCATTTGCTCAGACTTTGGTGTCGAGGGCAAGAAGATCATCCCCTACACGCCACTCCTAAGGGAGGCCTTGGCATCCATCAAATACAAACCCGAACATGTCATTGTGTATGAGCGAAAGGATGTCACTCCCGGTAACATGGTCATACCAAATATTAATGGCGCGTTGGATTGGAGCTCATTAATGCGCTCGGCACAACCAATGAAGGACCACACAGTCGTGGACTCATCACATCCATTGTACATTCTCTACACATCTGGCACCACTGGAAACCCCAAGGGAATTGTCAGGAGCACAGGAGGCTACGCTGTTGCCCTGGCACATGTAATGGGTGCTTGCTACGACTGTGGCCCTGGCGACACATTCTTTGCCACTAGCGATGTTGGTTGGGTCGTGGCTCACACTTTGTCCGTCTACGGACCATTGATCAGAGGCATGACATCAGTCATCTATGAAGGCAAACCAATACTCCCCGACTCTGGAGTATTTTGGAGAATGGTCCAGGATCACAACATCAAGTCGATGTTCACAGCGCCCACCGCCGCCCGCGCCATCCAACGTGAGGATCCAGACGGAAAGATGGCTGCCAAGTACGACCTGTCGTCACTCAAGTCGATATGGATGGGAGGCGAGCGAGGCGACCCCACAACCCTGAAGTACATTGCCAATGCCACAAAGGCACCGGTCTATGACAACTACTGGCAGACCGAGTCTGGATGGGCAATGATATCAAACTGTCGTGGAGCTATCCCTGTGCGCTATGGCGCTGCTGGTATGCCCGTGCTTGGATCGGACTTCCACGTCATTGATCCGGCCACCGGAAAAAGAATGTCCGATGGCAATATGGGAGAGGTGCTTGCGCCACTTCCCCTGCCCCCCGGCTACTGTACCGAGCTGTACAATAACAAGGAGGGATACAAGAAGGCGTACCTCACCATTCCAGGATTCTATCGTACTGGCGACGCAGGCTATGAGGACCGCGACGGTTACATTCATATCATGACTCGAGTCGACGACATTATCAACACGAGTGGTCACAGGATATCAACTGCATCGATCGAGGAGGTGTTGTACACCAATCCAAACATTGTCGAGTGTGCAGTTGTTGGAGCAAACGATAGTGTTAAGGGCGAGATGCCCTTTGCATTTGTCGTTCTCAAGCCTGGCTTGGCGTTCAATGAGGCCCTGGAGAAAGAGATCATGCAGATGGTCAGACAAAAGGTTGGCGCATTTGCATCACTCAAACATGCTCTGGCGGTGGACCGACTGCCCAAGACCAGATCGGGCAAGATAGTTCGCAACATCCTCAAGGCTATCTCCAATGACCATGAGCACTACTCTGTGCCGCCAACCATCGAGGACGACGCTGTTCCCAAAGAGATTGAGGCTCAGTACAAGAAGTTCAAGGCATCACTGGATAGATCATAAGGAAGACCTCCCAAACAAACAGATGTACAACAAATACAAACCGACATGGAACAGTTCCAAATATTGATATAAACGTTGTTTGTTTATTTGAAATTATAGGCGAGAGAGATAGTGAGAGTGGACATGATTATACCATGTTACGTAATATACAACCTTCAAATGCGAGGCCTGGACCAAATGCCAAAGAGATGGAGTATGGTGGCAGAGACTTGGACTTCCTGGCGTGGTCCATCACAAAGAGTACGGAAGCACTGGACATGTTTCCGTATGACTTGTAGATGGCCCAGGAGTGGCTGTTCTGCTTGATGGCATCGATCTCCAGAGTGTTCTCGATCGCGGTCAGGATGGACTTGCCACCCGTGTGAATTAGGAACTCAAACTCCTTGGCCGACGTGGACTGCGTCTGGTCCTTCGTCTTCTCCAAGAGTTCTTTGATGAAATCGCTGATACCGCCGCCAATATGGTCGGGGATCGAAGCGTCTAGACCCAGGTCCCAACCAGTGGAGCTGATTTCCCAGGTCATTGTCTGTTTGGTGCCTGGCACTGATCTATTCATCGAGTGAAGCACCTCAAAGTATGCAGTCTCATCAATAGTTGGATTACATCTATATGTTTGATTGAATGAATGAGTTAGTGATTGAATGATTGAGTGTGGGCAACACTATTTAACTTACCCAAGGATATAGGCTGCGGATCCATCGGCAAAGATTGTGGCGGCAACAATTTGGTCCATGCCACCTGTGGTCGTGAAGTGAGTAGAACAGATCTCGGTACACACGACGAGCACTCTGTTCCTAGGATCGTGGCATGCCAGGGAGGTGGCAGTGCGAAGACTGGAAAGACCAGCCAGACAACCCATGAAGTTGATGCTGACACGTTGCACATCCTTGTTGAGACCCAGCTCCTCGATCATGATGAAGTTGACATCTGGTACGACCACACCAGTGCTCGACACGGATACAATGTGAGTGATATCCTTGGCCTGGCCGCCCCAGTCCTTGATGGCCTTCTCACAAGCTTCCTTGGCCAGCATTGGCGCTGAGACAATGTACTGCTTGTTGACATCGTTGATGTTCTCATCCTTGCGACGCTTGAGTGAGGTCTCTGGCTTGGTTGGATTGCGGCTCATGTGACGAGTCTCAATGTACGACGACTTGAACATCCTCTTGACATTCTGCACAACTGCGGGATCATCAGAGTAGTCCTTGGCCATCGCCTCACACAAGTCCTCCTGTGAGATGGCTTCGTTTGGAACTGAAGTGCCCATGCCCAATATGTAAGGATTGTTGTTGAGGCCAGCAAGAAGGTATCTTGGTGATGGAGCCAGTCTGTTGGGTGAGAGGTAGCTTGGTGTACTGCTGAATCTGCGAGGCGATTGAGTGGACTTGACGTTGAAGTTGGAACCAATCATTGTGTCTGGACTGAGCATCTTGGGTGTGTTGCTGGCAGACTTGTTCAACAGCAACTTGGTCAGTGAGCTGGTGAGTGGGTTCAGACTCATCTTGCGGCCCATCGAAGGGAAGTTGGCAGCGGCGCCACCAAACATTGGCAGAGGCGTCTCAGAGTTCCTACGCAAGCCAACGTATGATATCTTGGTCAGTGGCGAGCTCTTGAATTCAACGTTCATCTGAGCTGATACCACTGGTCTGGCTGTGGCTGAGGATGTCTCGTCGGCAACCTGTCCCGAGCTGCCAATATTCTCAATCTTGTTGATCACCGTGCTGAGACTGGATGATGAGAGCTGGATATGCGAGAACAGGTTCTTCTCATACTCCTTGTCGATCCAGGACTTGAGCTGCACGGTCAACAACGAGTCTAGACCATACTCCTTGAGCTTGGTGTCAGGGTTGATCTTGTCGGCTGGGATCGATAGAAGTGATGAGACAGTGTCCGACACACGTTTGGCGATTGTCTCGTTGGAGGCAGCTGAGCTTGATGCGCGATGGCCCTGATCAGATGTGTTGTCTGCTGGCATCAACTTGTCCATCTTTGGTCGCATGTGTGAGAATGCCTCGTAGAATGGTCGTGGGTTGATTGGTGAGACGATCAACTGCGATGCACCGGTGTTACCAAGTGTGCACTCTAGTGCGCCAAACAACTTGGCGAGAGAGAGTGATGGCAGGCCTCGCTGGACAAAGAGCTCGGCAATGGCATCAGATTCGGCCACCTTGCCCTCGCCCTCGATTGGTCCCCAGTTGACGGCCAGACCGGGCAACTGGATTGATCGTCTAAAGTTGCAAAGAGCGTCGAGTACAGCGTTGGCAGAGTTGTAGCTGGCTTGTCCATGCACACCTGTAATGGCATTGATCGATGAGAACATGACAAAGTGGTTGAGCTTCCAGCCGAGCACGATGCTGAGGCTGTGCAGATTGAATGCGCCCAGCACCTTAGGGTCGTGCACAGAGTTGATGTTGTCCATGCTCACCTGGTCCAGTGGCACGTCATTGTACACCGCAGCCAGATGGAACACTGATTGAATGGGTGGTAGAGGCTTGAGCATGGTCTGTGCGAGCTTGGTCAGCGCGTCGTAGTTGGAAATGTCGCATTGGATGAAGTGGATGTTGGTTCGTGCGCCCTCCTTCTTCATCAGATTGATCAGACGTTGAAGACGCCAGTTGATAGTCGACCTGGACAAAACGACAATGTCGGACGCGTTGGATCTGGACGCGATCCATTTGATCAGCTCGAGAGACAGTCCTGCCTGACCAGTGACAATGGCAGTGTTTGGAAGATTGAGTGTGTAGTTGGGCTTGGTCACCATGTTCTCGGTTGGCGAGTTGAACAATGGCTCAAGGATGTCACGGCCAATGCTTGCACAATCAATAAGTACCTTTCCAATGTGAGTGCGATTGTTAAGCGACTTGATTGCTTCTGACACCTGAGTGACAGGGTACACCTGCGAGGGCACGAGCTGTAGGTCACCACTGGCAATCCAACCATAGATGTTGGTGAGCATCGACTTCACGAGGTGGGGCAGCTCATTGAGTACGCGCTCAAAGTCCACAGCGTAGTATGATTGATCTCGCTTGAAGTTGCCGAGGTCAAGAACGTCGTTGGAGTAGATCTGTGTGACTGAGATGTCGGCCAGCTGTCCAAAAGATGCCAAGGCCTGGAAGTTGGCGTTCATAAAGTCTCCAGCGAGTGTGTTGATCAAGACGTCCACGCCACGACCCGTGTCCTGCTGGACGCGATTGGCAAACTCCTTATCCTTGGAGTTGTAGATAGCTGTGATCATGTCGCCATACTGCTGAGTGAGGTAGTCCTCCTTGTCCTTGGAGCCAACAGTCGCGAATATTTTGCCCTTCATCGACTTCATACGCAACAGATTGAGTGTGGCCAGACCCACTCCACCAGTGGCCGAGTGAATCAGTACTGATTGATCGCCACACTCAACGTCCAAATGACACTTGTTGAACAGACAGTAGTAGGCCGTACAGTAGATCACTGCCACTGAGGCAGCCTCCAAGTGTGTGAGCTCCTTTGGCTTGTGTACGATGAGCTGGTGATTGGTGACCACGTGGGAGCCGAGACAGTGGCGGGCGAAGCCAGCCACCTCGTCGCCAACCTTGAAGTCGGTGACATCTTCGGCGACGCGTGTGATCAGTCCAGAGCACTCGACACCAAAGGGTGGGTTGAACATGTCGCCCTTCCTAAATACCTCGGCGGGGAGCAGGCCGCGGAAGAACATGTTGTCCTTGAAGTTGATGCCCACTGCGCGCACAGCAATCTCCACCTCGCCTCTCTTCAACAGAGGTTGGCGGGCCACGCAGCTGAATGTCAAGTCAAGGTTGGAAGTGCAGCAGACTTGATTGATGTCACGCTCAAACGCAGTGCTAGTGCTGAGTATCGTCTCCTTGGGGACCTGGCGCATTCGCGGCACACAAACAGTGCCATGGTCCACAACGTACTCGCGATCTGAGAGATTGGCCGCACGATTGGTCAATGCGAGCAGGGTCTTGAGGTCTGGTGTGCTATCCTCATCAATGTCCACACTTGTGATGTGCATGGCAGGATATTCATTGATGGCTGTGCGAGTGATTCCAATCAGTGAGGCATTGCAATAGTTGCTGCTCCTTGAGGCATTCTTGGTGAGGACCATGATGCTGGGACATGCCTTGAGCTCGGACATTGATCGAATGAATGTCACCAAGTCGTTGGTCAATGATTTGTATGAATGGTTGTTTGATTGCTTCTCCAAACCTGGCAGGTAGAACACATTTGTGCACGACTTGAGGACCTGGAGGGAGGCCGGTGTCGACGTGTCCTTGGCCTGCATCAGCTCGACCTGCACGCCTGCGGCAGTCAGGTCATGCATGAACCTTCGTAGGTTGTGCTTGCTGATAAAGTCCACCATGGTCATGCCATTGCTGTATACCAGTCCAACGCGTCCATCGATCTGGGGATCTTGCTGGAAGTGACCCAGAGCGGCCTTCTGTGAGAGCACAACGAATGAGTGACCGCCGTACATCTGGCCCTGCGACGTGGGTGGCGAGACAATCATCGTGCAAGGGAAGCCGTGTTGCGAGAGCAATGTGGTCCATTCGCGAGGGTGCATTGAGCAGTGATCCTGGCGCATCGAGTCGTTGTAATTCCACCATTGAGGGAAGCATCCAAACACAATGTCAATGAATGCCACGCGTCGTGCGGGCTCGGCAAACAGCAGCCAGCCGTTTGGCGCCAGCACTTGGTTGAGTCGATTGGCAGCCTGTCCCAAGTCGGGCAAAACATGCACAACATACATCATCAGGACGACGTCGTATGTGCCCGAGAGGAAGCCTTGTGCCTCGAGGTCCTTCTCGAGGTCTAGGGGCAGGTACTTCATTGTGAGCGACATGTTCTTCCAGTTGGGATGACGGGCGTAGCGCTGCTCGACGGCCTCGCGCATGGTCTTGAGGAAGCTGGTCGACACGTCTGTGAACGTGAAGTCGACGTCGATGTGCTGCTCGGCCGAGCCCAGAAGCGCAGACAATGTGTGGAGCACTCGGTGTGTGAGACTGCCCGTGCCACCGCCAATCTCGAGAATCTTGATTGAGCGGCGCTCCTTGAGCTGCGCCGAGAGACCCTTCTGCAGTATATCCGTGATCTGCATCATGTAGTAGGTGACAGCAGACGAGCCCTGGTAGAAGCGGCTGAGCAAGTCGTCATCAAACAGCTTGTGGCAGACTTCATGCTCGCCCTGAAGCACGCGTGGGATGATTCCAGCCGCTCGCTCAATCAGATCAAGCTCCAACTCGGCCTTGGGATAGGTCTCGAGGATGCTTGATCTCAAGAGTGATAGGTCGATGATCGACTCGCCAGCCTTGTCCAGGTCATCCTCAAACTGAGCAAGAATGTCGGTCAATCTTGTGAAGAATCGTGTGAGTGGGCGTGATCCAGAGTCGATGTTTAGGCTGGCCATGAGTGCGCTGGTCACAGGCTGGCCGAGCTTGAAGCCCGGCAAGTCTGTTGTCAGTGCGCTGTGGACGAGCTTGGCTGCGTACACGCTGACCTGGTTGTCCATCAACACTTGGCTCTGTTTAGCGTGGTCACTGAACAACTCGGGCACTATCGACTTGGGCGAGGGCATCATTGAGTTCTTGGTTTGCCATTGCATGGCAAACATCTCGTGGGTGGGACACTTGAGCTCGCCTGCGTCCTTCGTGCGCTGCATCGACTTGACCACGAACTTCTTCATCGAGACCATCGTCTCGCCACCTGGTGTCATCAGCACGAACGATCCAGTGATGTTATAATTGTCGCGCTTGATGATCTTGGTGTAGAGCAGCAATTGGCCACTATGGGGCATGTCCGCCATGGCGAGGGTATTGATCAACATGTCCTCGATCTGGCCCACGACAAAGTGACGTCGCTCATCGATGAGGGCGAGCAGTCCATGGAAGCAGCTGTCTAGGAGACAGGCATTGAGTATGTGGGTCGGGCTGCCAGGGGCAACGTCCATGTTCAGCACCGCCATTGAGCACTCGCGTCCAATCTTGATCGACTCCACACGCTGGAACGTCGTACCATAGTCCAGTCCCAATCGCAGGATCTTGGTGTACAGCTCACTCTTGTTCAACTCAATCAGGTCACATGTTTGATTGAGTGCGGCCACGTCTTGGTGCTTTGAGGCCGAGAGGTCCTGGATGGACTCGGCCGTCACAAGTCCTTGGCATGTTGTGGTCCATGACTTGTTAGAGTCGTCGCCATCCTTTTGTAAGAACTGTACGCGTTGGTAACCTTTGTTGGCGTCGCTGTACACTGTGTTGAGGTGTTGATGCTCACCCTCGAGCAGGAAGAATGGCTGGAGGTATTCGAGCTTGGAGATGATGATTGAGTTCTTGCCAGAGGGCATGGCGTACGTCTGAATGATCGCATCAATGTATCCCGCGCCTGGGAACAGTGGCTTGCCATTGACCTTGTGATCCTTGAGGTAGGCAAAGGGCGGGCGATGAATGTCGATCACCTGATCAAACGACGGATGGCCTGTCGCGGTGGTGCGCGTACCGCTGAGAGAGGTGGACGGGCCAACCAGACGCTCGCGCAGGGAGATGGCCGACTCGCTCCAGTATGGCGCCACGTCCCATTGATAACGCGGCAAGATTGTAATATTGTCTCGCCATTCTGGATTGCGGATCTCGCTGTCGGAGAACTGCGCGCGGAAGTTGACGTTGACGCCATAGCAATGCAGGCGTGCGATGGACTCGCTAAACGATACCAGTTCGTCCTTCTTGGTGTAGAGCGCTGAGACTGGTGCGAACTTGGTCGATGTGACACATCGGGTGATTGAGTGCGAGAGCACAGGGTTTGGCGCGATCTCCAAGAACACCAAGTTGCTGGCCGATTGTCCAGCCGCGGCAACAATCGAGTTGATGGCACCATGGAAGTTGACGGGGTGTCGAAGGTTCTTGTACAGGTAGTCCGCGTTGTATGCGCCCGTGTGTCTCTTGCCCGTCACGGTGGAGAACAGTGGTATTGTGGGCTCACCATTGGACTTGAGCGACGCGAATGTTGAGTAGACATCGGCCTTTAGACACTTTTGATGCGAGGTGTGGAATGCGCAGGGCGATGTGAGGATGGCGCGGAAGACACCCTGCTTGGCCAGCTCCTCAGAGAGCTCTGTCAGCTTGCTCGTCTCTCCAGCGACCACGATAGAGTCTGGCGCATTGAAGCATGCAATCTCCAACTCTGGGTATCTTGTGGCATACTCCTCCGCATACTTTTGATGTGTGAGTGCGATGGCCATCAACTTGCCGCTGCCCACGGTCCTATTCTGGAGCGAACTCCTATAATATACAATCATCGCGGCAGTGTCCAAGTTAATCAATCCCGAACAGAATGCGGCAGTGACCTCTCCAAAGCTAGATTGTTTGATTGATTGATTGAGTGAGTGAGTATGAGTGCACATGTGCGAGACCGTCGATCTATCACGATCACTTACCTGTGTCCAATGATGTAGGATGGCTCGACGCCCCAGTGCTTGTAGAGATAGATCAGACCGACTTGGAGGATGAAGATGTAGGGCTGAGCATTGATGGGTAGATGGATGTCGGTTGAGTCCTTGGGCAAGCTCTTGACATGCTCAAGTACACTGTATCCATAGTGTGACTTGAGTAGACTGTCGACATGATCAACAGTGGTGCGGAACACTGGCTCTGACTTGTACAACTCGTCGCCCATTCCAATCCATTGAGGTCCCTGTCCACAAAAGACAAACACTATATTGTTGTTGTTGTTGGTGTTGATAAAGTTGTTGTTGTTGCTCGATGATATTGATGATGATGATGATGATAATGATGATACTGATGACGATGATGAGTTGAGGTCTGTTGTTGTCAACACCTCGGCAGTGTTGGTGGCAGTGGTGGGGACTTCTGATGATGATGATGATGATGAAGGGAGTACACTCGCCAGAGAGTGCTCACTGATGAACTCTTGCCAATCCTTTGCCAGGAACACTTTGCGATGAGACATGTGAGACTTGTTCAATGACATGTGTAGTGCCAACTCCTTGAACAACACAAAGCGATGGTAGTTACTATTAGTCGTGAGTTCAAGTAACATCTTGTCCAATGATGCCTTTGACGCGGCACTCACCGGTACAAGATACCTATGCTCACTATTATCTTGATCACTACATATGATTGAGTTAGTATATGATGTTTGATTGAATGATAAGGTGATGGGTACATACCATTCATCTTGTTGCTCCTCTATCTGTTGAAGGTCTGGCTCGTATTCTTTGACGATCAAGTGACTGTTGCTGCCACCAAATCCAAAACAGTTGATGCCAATTTTGATGGGCATGTCTGGGAATGATTGCAAACGTTGGACTACTTGTAACTTCCAATCATCAAATGGTATCTTGGGATTGGGATCATTGAAGTTGATGCTTGGCACGATCGTGCGATGCTTCATCATCAGGGCCACCTTGATCACTGATGCCACACCAGCTGCCGACTCCAAATGTCCAATGTTGGACTTTACCGATCCCATCCTCAAAGGATAGTCTGCAGTGTGACTGGTTGTGAATACCTTGGACAGTGCCTCCGCCTCGATGGGGTCGCCCACTGGGGTGCCAGTGCCATGTGCCTCTATGTAGTAGATGTCGGACGGATCGATGTTCGACGTGTTCAATGCAGCAATTATGTTATCTGCTTGTGATCTTGCTGATGGTGTCGTCAAACTATTCTTGTTACAGGCTCCATCTTCATTGTTTGAGCCACCACAGATGACTCCATATATCCTATTACCATCACGTTTGGCGTCGTCCAATCTCTTGAGAATGATCACACCAACACCCTCACTCCTAACATATCCTTTGCCACTTGCATCGAATGATTTACATCTTCCATCTGGACTCAGCACGCCCAGACTTGAATATGCCATACTTGACTTTGGATCAAACAATGCGTTTACTCCTACAATATTTGATTGATTTAGGGAGTGAGTTAGTAAGTAAGTGGTTCCATGAATGAGTGATGGGTACATACCTCCACATACTGCCATATCACATTTGCCAGTGTTAATGTCGGTACAGGCAAGGTTAATGGCAATCATGGATGAGGAACAGGCAGTGTCGACTACGAAGGATGGTCCTCGGAGATCAAAGGCGTAGGATATTCTATTGGCTATGATGGATGCATTGGTTCCAGGCATGACATATGGTGATACATCTTGGGAGACGTTGTCGTGGAAGGTGAGCTTGAGGTAGTCGTGGTTCGACACGCCCATGTATACTCCAGTGCGACTACCACGAATGCTTGATGGTGGTATCAATCCGTCCTCGAGCGCTTCGGACACGGTCATCATCAGTAGACGTTGCTGTGGGTCGAGTATAGGTGCCTCCTTTGGTGAGATATTGTAGTATAATGGATCGAATAATTTCCAGTAATCAAGTGGGATGAATCCACCGTTGTGATTATTGATTACTTTGTGCTCGTGGAATGATTGTGACCAACGATCTTTTGGCACCTTGGTCACTCCGTCAAAGCCTTGAGTGAGTTGGGCGTAGAACTCCTCCGGTGTCTTTGAGCCTCCTGGCATCCTCAGGCCAATACCAACAATGGCAATATCATGGAATTGATATCCAATATTAATATTACTATCGTTACTCATTTGTAATATAATATTATTTTATACAACTAAATTAAATATAATTGATTGATTGATTGATTGGTTGGTGGAAATAATTAATTAAATAATTAATATTAATAATTTAAAAGTTAGTTAGTTAGTGTACAGTATAATTATTATTAAATAAATAATAAATTATATATCTTGGAGCATTATGATTATTATGATAATGATTATGATGATGATGATAATGATCTATTGTTTGAACAAACCAAACCAACTAACGAATGAAATGAAGGTTATATATAGGAGTTGTTGTAAACTGAAAACAAAGAAACCATAATATATGGAAAGGAATCTCCATTTGTGTAGACATAGACACCGAGGGGTGGGGCACGGCCACCGATACACACACAGACAGACATCTCGACTTAGAATGACAGGCTCCTCTACGTCACTTTTTGTATCAAAGGTGAGGGGTGGTGCCTGTTCGAAGCAATAAATCCACCTCATTCGAAGTTTTGTCGACAACATTGTTGATGTTAAAGTGGTTGAGGGGTGGATTGCTTTTGCCAATATGGAGATGGAGAACACCAAGAAAGGAAACACTCTTGGAAAACAGTTGTGGACAAAACAGTTGGCAAAACAATTGGCAGAATGTGTGGTGAGGGCGGAAAACCCAAGAGTGTCCAAGGAGACACACGGCAACACTATCCTAATAAGGTCATTCGCCTAATTAAGACCTGACACTCAATCAACAAATTGACAATGTTAGGGATCAAGAACAACAATACACAACAACCATGAAAAAGAAGTAAACCAACTATGCTTCCAGAGTATACTCTGAAAAGTAAATATACATTTCCCTAGAGTTAACGTTCTCTGGCGAGAGCTGGCGAATGAATAGATCGATGATTTGACTAATTAAATACATGGATGATTCATAGGGTACGGTGGGTTGGTTGGTGGTTGAAGGAATGAACATGATGATGAACTAGATTTATATCGATAAAATGATTTGATGAAGATGTTACCTCCAACTTAAGTGTATAGTGCTATCAATTACTGCTCCTTCCGCTCTATAACCGATAATATAGTTGTTATCTTATAAAAATTATTATTCTAAATATTAATAATATTATATGTAATACGAGTGTGTAATTTTAGGGAAATTGTAGTAGTAATAAAGGAAATTGAGTTATATATATATGAGATGGATGAGGATGTGTAGTGCGATTTGGGAAACTCATGAGTGACATTCACTCATACATTCATTCATTCGATCGAATAAATAAATAATAATGTGGTAGCTGCGGAGGTGTATTTGTGGGGATGGTTTGATATCAATCTTGACTATCTTAATACAACACAAGTCGACTGACACGGATATATTCAATTAAATACCTACAACCAGGGTGACCGTCCAGTCATAGTCAAGTCCCTTCATAAACCATTTATACAATGACACATCACATCATACACACAATGAAATTTGTTGATAGAGATACACACTCCCACTCACTTAATGTGATGTGATTAATTAATGAACACGGTGATGTTGTAGGTAGTGTATGATTTGGATGTTTAGTATTTAAATACATACTTTAATTATTTAATTGATATGGTTAATATACTTAAGTATACAAATTATATCTATTGTTTTTTGGATTATATATATATATGTATGTATGATTGATTATTATTATATTATATTAGATTGATATGGATAATACTAATTATTATATATGATGATTAAGGTGATCTTGTAATTATTATGATTGTTATTGGGATTAAGTACCCTTTGGTTAAAGTTCCGGATTAATATTGAAGTTAATCTACGATCTAGTGAGGGAGAGAAATGAGGAACTTATGTTATTTACAAGTTTACTAGTAACTTGGACAAACTAAATTTGAGTTGATGAGGGCAGGCCTCAATTTTTTTTTTAAATGTGACAGAAGTCTAATAATGGTTGATAGAAGAATCGAAACTTTACTCAAATTTAGTTGAACAACAACAACAACACATTGCTGATCAAGGGATGACCTTATCTTCCTCAATACTTTCCTCACACAAGTACTTGTCTTTGACAATATTGTGTGAAAATTGGTAGGGTATGAACTCTCTTGATCATTGTGAAGTCTAGTGGGATGCCCCTACCCTTATCACGACTTTTGGGGCCTGTGACCTAAGCTGACTTGACCAATGAGCCCCCCATGGGGGCCATCACATCGGGGTGGTATGGTCAGGTGCCACACCACGGTCCGGACCCTTGATATCAACAACTCTTCCCTCCATCACAATGAACTTAGATCGTTATGGATGGCCTGTTGAAAATGAGGGGACACGATCAAACGAAACATTCCAACGACACTCAATTACGAAAATGGGGCATCTCCCTAATCGGGATTAATCTTGAATTCCTCTAGTCTTGAGAGGACGCCTCAACTTTTGATGGTGGTTTGGCCCGGATCGTAGTGTTTCAGGCTGATGTAATGTCCGAACCATCTTGTGTTGCAGTTGTTGATGTAGTTGTTTGTATATCCTTTCAATTAATCTTCATAGCATGCTTGTAATATTGATCATATAATACTTAAGTAAAATCACCTAATAACTACCAGCAGAGCATCGTACTTGCTATGAAGATAACATAAGTCTGCCTTAGGGTATGGGTATGGGTATGAATGACTCATTCAACCAATGACATTGAACCTGTGATTGTGCGTGAGTATGTGTGATGAGTGTGTGGGTGTGTGTTTTGATCAATCAGAGACCTGGCAGGTCACACCTGGATGGTATGGAAGTGTTATGGAGATCCAATCACCTATTCATCAATCATTGGTTAGGACGAACGATGAAGGTCGATCCAAGGATGGTGCTTGAGTGTGTGTGTATAAGTGAGTTAACGTCTTTCTTCTACTTCTTCTACCTTCTTCAATCACTCCTCACTTCTCACTCTCTCCTATCTCTCCTCAATTATTCATTCTTTCTTTACTTTGTCCACCATGAAGTTACAATAGCGTCTTCATTGAAAACACCAAGAGTTGATGATTATGGTGATGGTGATGGTAACCCATTGCTATTGTTGTTGCCACCATGATGTTAAAGGTTGAAAGCAAAGATGATGTGTCCAGGTTATAACAGTCTATAACTTGTACAAGTCAACGACGGTTTGATCGTTTGATTCGATTGATTGTATCGATTGATTGAATCGATAGACTGACTAGCAAAGGAGGAGGAGGATGTTTGATTAATGCCCAGGTGGTGGAGGCGTGTTTATTGCTCAAGAGGATGATGGATGATGAGTTGTTGAGGTTGTTGAGTAATGATGGTCTATTGTAATATACGCAATAGTAGTAATAGCTTAGGCAGTGGAGCTCTGGAGGTAAGCGATGACATCAGCTCTGTCTTGCTCGCTCTTGAAACCTGGGAAGGCCATCTTGGTCTTGGGGATGTACTTCTTGGGGTTCTCCAAGTAGTCGAACAGAGTCTGCTCGCCCCAGAGGATACCAGCGCTCTGGTTGGCTGGGGAGTAGGAGTAACCTGGGACGGTACCAGACTTTCTACCAAAGAGACCGTACAAGTTTGGTCCTTGCTTGTTTGGGGCGTCCTATATTATTTGATTGATCATGAGTGCGCAAAGCATGATGATATTAGATCCTGCATCCTTGTTGACTGATTGAATCAATTCGCACACCTCCATGTTGTAGTTGATGTAGTTGATGCTGTTGTATGAACATGATGATCATGATCATTGTATGAATGTACACTGCACTGCACCTGCACTACACTACACTACACTACAATAAAAGAGGTGATGCGCATTATTATTGAGTGAACCATACCTTGGCGACGGTGTGGCACTGAGCACAGCGAGCCTTGAAAAGCTTGTCTCCGTTGGCAACGTTTCCTGGTGGGATGGCAGACATTGTTTATATGTTTATGTTGTTATATATGTTAGGAATATAAGTATGTGTTTGGGGTTAGGTCAGACTGACAGACTTTGACGTCAAGGTTGAACGAGTCGATACTCGGGTGTGACTGGTGTGAGTAGCGTGAGTGAGTGCGTAAGTGATGATGCTGTGGCAGCCCAGTGTTTCATTCATTCTCTTTCCTCCTCCAAGTTTTTCAAAAATAAAAATCGAGTTAAGACCTGAACTTCATGAAGTTAGTTAGATTGATCGTTGGACTTGTAGTCTTTTTGATTGATTGGCTGATGTCATTCTCATACTGCTCATCGTAAATAAGGTAAACCATGGAACAAATATATACAAGCTAATAAAGTTGGTTTGCGTAGGTTTATTGGATGTGTTGGATAATCGTGATGAGTGTTTGTGATGATTGATTGGATGTGATTGATGTGATGTGTTGAGATGAGTGATGTGATTGGGTCTTGCAGGACTTAGATATATATAATTATAAATTATTGGTAATATAGTAGGTTGGTGGTGGAAATGAATTTGGCGATATTTTGTTGGATTTATGGATGTTGGATGGATGGATGTTTGGAATATATTCGATAACTCAATCAATTAATAATAAATTAATTAATTGGAGTGATTGTTGTTGTTGTTGTTAATGTTGTTGAGGCTATTTGACAATGATGATGAGGATTGAGATGTTGCATTGGTGCTTCCACTCAGTGCAGGACTATGATGGGTGTTGAGATTGTTGATGCTGGCGGTCGGAGAGGAGTTGGCGGATAAACTGCCAATGTTGCTTAAATAGGCTGGTAATTGATGCGAAGTGAATTGCTGTTGTTGTTGTTGTTGTTGTTGTTGTTGATGTGATTGTTGATGTGATTGATGTTGTTGTTGTTGTTGTTGGTTACTTAGTGTAAATTGTGATTTATAAATATGCGTGTTGTTGTTGCTGTTGTTGTTGGAGTTGGAGTTGGAGTTGGTATTATTGTTGCCGCTACTATAATATGATGATCCATACATTGAACTTGGATACTTGTTGCGACTAGAATGTTGTTGTTGCTGTTGTTGCTGTTGTTGGGAAGTATGATGATGTTGTTGTTGATATGTGTTTGGGGATGCTGCCGAAGTCTGGCCGTAGAGGTTGGAGGGCCCGGCACCAAGACCTCGAGGTGAATGTGGCTGCAGCTGCAGTGGAGGTGGCGAGCTGGTGAGTGACGACTGCTGCTGATGTGGCGGCAGTTGGAAGAACTTGGGGGAGGCGGAGGAGTAGAAGATGTCGTCCATCAGGGTGGGGAACGGCGGCGTTGGCGGAGCGCTGGGATGCATCAAGGGGGAGTTGAGTTGCAATGATGACATGATTGAGCTCATTGGCGATACCAATGATGGTGAAGTGAGTGGGCTCTGGAAGCTGTTCTGAGAAAATGATGGTGTCGATGATGATGTGGACGATGATGGCGTTGTGGCCGCCGACGTTGAGCCCGATGATGTTGTCTTGTTTCCGAGGCCAGATGAGGTCGGTGTGCCAGATGATGTATTGTTGTTGTTGTTGTTGATGTTGTTTCCATTGTTGTTGCTGTTCTTTGGATGAGGTGATGGGTAGCGCGATGATATCAGAGGTGTCGACTTGTTACTACTGTTGCTGTTGTTACTGCTAGAGTATGTGTCTGATTTCTTGCGACCATGTGACGTGGTGGATGGTGACTGCACTGTCAACATATCCGCCTGTTGTTGTTGCTGTTGTGAGGAGGACGATGATGAGGAGGACAATGGCTTCATTGAGGGTGAGAGTGCTGATGATGACTTCATAAGTGGTGATGGCAACATGTCCATTGCACTGCCAGTTGATGTACAATAGCTGGCCAACTCATCGTACTCGAGCCATCTCTGATCGATCCTCTGGATCACTCTAGCATTGATATAGGCGTCCTCCTTTGAGAGGATACCACGAACCAAATATCGCTTACAACCATCCTCATCTGACACTTGATGTCTGATTACCAATGCACTGTTTGATGATGATGAAGTTGGGTTAGGTTAGATTGATTGATGGGATTGTTCCACAACAATTGTACAACATACCAGTCAGGGTCCTTCTTGTTAAAGTTCATGCACATTGGGACGAGGAGGTCAATGTTCTTGGCGCCTTGGACATCGCGGTGCAGCTGTGGCACTGCACAGCGAGGGTTGGCACGCACACGATTGATGGCCAGGTCGATGCCCTGTTGGAAGCGAGCGCGAAGCTCACTCTCACTGCACTTGACATAGTCGAGCGGCAGACGATCGATCTTGGACTGCGCCGAACTCTTGATGATCTCTTCAAAGTTGATGTGCGACTTGTCGATGGGCACGGCCGGGTCAAARGGCGGCGAGGTGCGCGCCCGTCAAAGAAGTAGTAGGCGCGGTCGGGCAGATCGAACAGCATGCCAATGTTGCCGCCATACTTGTCGAATGTGTCGTTCTGGCTGAATGCAGAGGTCGGCAGGAACTCCTTCAAGATCCACTGGCGTTCCTCGCAGCGCCTTCCGCCGCTCTCTTGCTCGCGATCCTTCATCGAGGCCACGCTGATCGATTGCAATATACAAAATATGTCCTCATAGTTCTTGGTCAAGAGGCCAGTGTTGAACACGACCAATATTGGTGACACTGACTCGGCTGGTATATAGGCCACCAGCTTATTCTCTTCGACCAATCGCTTGAATGTATTGTCCAGGTATATCCTAAAATTGATTGATTGATTGATGGAGTGAGTATGGATGTCACGTGATTGGATGTCACGTCATGTGATTGACGCGTCCATGTCAACATACTTTAGCACTTTGAGCTCCTTTCCCCAAGGCTCAGGCTCGGCAAGTACATCCGAGAGATATTTCAGATTGCCAACACGATAGTAGACCATATTGTGGAAGCGTTGACTTGATGAAAGTGTGTCGGAAATCCAACTCTGCCATCCATTGTGTCGGCCATAGTTGTCCATGTGGGACAGGAGAGCGGACATTGGTGACTTGCGCTTTGGATCGAACATCCATTCAATTGAGCCAACATTATGATGTTGTTGTTGTTGTTGTTGTTGCTGTTGTTGCTGCTGTTGTTGCTGCTGCTGCTGTTGGTGTTGTTGGTGTTGTTGGGTCCTCTGTTGTTGTTGCTGTTGATGAATCGGTCGCATCACAGGAGACTTGGAAGAGGCCCCAGGAGGGCCTCCACCATTTTCACCCTTATACATATTGATTTAGATTATCTCTATAATTGTCCACTTGTGGAAGGACTTGGAATATGACTGATTGATTGATTGAATGGTTGAATGGTTGGTATGATTGATTGGAGATGTATGAATGACTGACTGATTGATGGAATTGATTGACTTGACTTGACTTGGATTGAATAGATTGATTGATTGATTGATGATGTGTTGGGGGTTTTACTTTATGTCCACACTCTTTGATTAGTAGTAGCAGCGGGATCTGGTTTGATTGATGATGCAGCAGCACGGAAACTGGGGGGATCAGGATATTGGGAAATCTCTGCGCTTGTGTTTGATGTGGTAAATGTTTGCTTGAGGGGGTAGTGGTCCACAACAAACACGGACGGACGGACGGATGAGGACCTCCGCGATAGGGGTGGGGCGCTGGACACCTTTGATGGTGTGTGTGTGTGTGTGTGTGTGTGTGTGTGTTTGGTTTGTGTGTATTTGATTGAGAATGAATGAATGATGCGCTGATTTGACGATAAAATTTGGTGTAATGGTGGTGCTGGATATGATGGTTGACGACTTGATGGACGGCCCTGTCTGATATTGTCGGCGCGCCCAGGTCCACAAAGATATACTGTCTCTGTGCCTTCACGGGGTTCTCTTCTTCAAAGACCTTCAAGCCTGCCTGTCTGTTTGTCTGTAGTTGAGTGGTGTATTGTTGTTGTTGTTGTTGTTGGCCCTGTCTGACTTTATTCCAAAGCTGGTGGATGGACAAACTCCGGAGTGGTCGTTGTTGGCGTGAGTTGTGTAAGGCGTTGTGCTATACGATGTAAGGTTGACGATTATTTAGATTGGTCCAAAGAAAATTCTTTGGATGAATTATATATTATTATCTCTGTCTGTTGTTGTGTTGTTTATCCGGATGATGATGAATACTGTCAGGTAAGAAGTAAACAAAGATGATTGATTTGATTGAATGAATGTTAATAATGATATTATATATATTATCACAAGGTCCAAACATACAATGAAGATAGTGGAAGAAGAAGAAGGTTACACAATAACAAGAGGTTGGTTTGATTTGTTAAGGTGTACCTTTGAGTAGAATGGCGTGATCAACACTGACGTGTTTGGGTTTAGTTTAATACTACTAGAATGTAGAGTGTAGTTGACACCTTCTGGTGCGTGTGGCCGTGTGTGGGGTTCTGTGTGATTGATTAAGTAGTGTGTTCGTGTGTTCGTGTTGTTGTGTTCGTGAGTGTGTGTGTGTTGGAAGGAAGTGTGATGACGATGGTAACTTAGTTGGAGTGAAGTCGCCTGACACTTTTGATTGAATGCAGTAAGTAGTAGTAGTTGGGTTGGAAAATGGTGTTTGGTTGGACTTGCTATGGATTGATTTGGGTTGGTGTTATGTTATCTGACTGACTGACTAACAACATAACCTCAATCAAGTTCAATCAATCACTCTCACTCACTCTTCTGCTGAACAACAACAAGAGGTAAGGAAACTAACAAACTAAACTATCTAACTAACTAACTATACTATATTCTACTCTACTCTGCTACAACAACTAACTAACTAAACGATTAAAAAAAATAGCAACATCAACTAAACTATCTAACGTTAACTAACTACAATACATGTAGTGTAGTGTATCAAAGTATCAAGACTTGAGGTGCGGGGCAGGACAGAACAGAGAGAAGGGTTGGGCAGAACGCCACCGGACAAACGACCGCTATTATTGTTACTCAAAATCTTGATTCTTGCCTCTCGTCTCTCGTCCAAGCCGGTGCTCTCTCTGTCTCCATTTATTAAGTGGTGGTGTCTATCCAGGACACCTGCTGGGCCGGCAAGGTGTGTATGTACCTGCCATCATCATCATCACACATCAACATGGAGTGATTGATTGAAGTGAGTGTGTATCATCAAGGATGTGATGTAACATTAAGTGCATAGAGAGGTATTTCCTTTTTTTGCACATCGCCGCGTCGCCATGTTCTTGCAAAGATACCTTGTCTGTGAAAAGGCGATCGCCTTTTATTCAAGTGACGTAAAGACGTTCGACCTGCAACAAACTCATCATAAACGACACCACACATACACACACTCACCTACACAGGCAATCCTCGACATTGAAGGCCAAGGTATCGCATTTGGTTGGCCCTCCATGTAACCCAAGCATGGATATGCAACAACAATGATTTTGTGTGGTCTGTTTCCAGACAACAATCCTCCACTCCTGTTACTCCCTCGGCACCATCATCTACGACGACGTCAGTAACAACACCCTGGAAGGTCACATTCTACCACATTCAGTTAGTTGTACAACCATCCATTCAACTATCAACGTCGATCCCCCCTTTTGTTGCTTTAAACAACGACATCGATTGATGATTCCATTTAGAACATACATCCATCAGTCAGTCGACAACACAACTAGGATTCAATGGATTGATGGTCCGATTGGTCAACAGGTTAGTTCCAAACAATCACAACAACCAGGTGGACGACGAGTCATTGAAACTCTCCTCCAAAGATTTGATTGAGATAATGATCGATACTTCTTGTTCCAACAAGATATCCGGATTCTTTCATGCCTCACAATCCCATTAAACTCTTTAAAACAATAATAATAATAATAATAATAGGACAAACGATACAGGCAAGGTAATATAGATGACAATGACGGTAAGTCACTTGGATATAAAATTGATGAACCATTAAAGTTACTACTCCTCAGTGATCATCCTCCAGGATGTAACGATCGTTACAAGTCCATGTCAATGAATGTGTGACACTCCCTGGAACCATTCCAATCGTTCATCATCGATTCGATCAGTGGCACCAACTTGCATGGCACCAAGTATTGGCAAGGCTTGGGCTCAAACACATTCCAACTCGACTCCCACCCAAGCGAATCAATCAATCACTCTTTATATCTTTAATAATATTGATTGAATTTGATGGGTCATCATCACGGTCACAGATAAATAATGCTGGGATGTTGATGCAAGCATGGAGTGATGTGCGCACTGTTGTTGTAGAGTTGTCGAGTCCAAGGACTTGGGCCAGATACTCTGTGTTCACATCACCAACAAAAAAATAAAAACATTTAAATCAATTAATTATGCCCAACAAACATTCAATGTCCATTTCACCCACACACACATTCTTGGACTCAAATCAGGCGTCGAGATCAACAAGGTCCCCAGCCGTCAGGGACCTCCCCTTTGTCAACATTTATTATTATTATTATTCTATTCTAAACCTACACCAACACCATCTCATAGGATTACTCTATTACATCTACATCTATCTCAATATATATACATATATTTCTATTTATCTAATCTTATCTGTAGTTACAGCATTGGATTGACACATAGACATAGACATAGAACAGAGCAGAAAGAATAGATACACAGAAGACAGACAGATCTAGATCATTCGGATTGTCACTCTCTCTCCCTCACTTTGATCACACTTGGTATTCATTCATTTCATTTGGTTCAATCAATCAATCAATCATTTGTCCGAAAGAGAGTGAGATTATAATACAACTCTAGATGCAGAGAGAGACAAGTCGATCGATCATTGATGTCACAAAAGTAGTAGGAGTAGTAACAACAACACAACACCAGCAGTAGTAGTAGTAGTAGAAGTAGATAGACCAACGACATCATGTAAGAAGACATACTCCTTTTTTTTTTTTTATCTTTATGTACAACAAAGGCAGTGACAGTTGGCGGCAACAACAACAACAACAATGACTAGTCAGTCTGTCACTGTCAAGCAACGTCATACAACAACAGAATCAAAGCTGTGACTATTCCACAACATCCGCACATCCATACAGCCTCGATTTACACAGTCGTATCAATTGTATCGGTGACATTGTTAACCTCCGCACGCATCCATCAAACCACGTCCATCCATCCATCCATCCACAAACAGCACCTCACACACTGCACACATATTCCCTCCGCCCGCCCGCATCATCAACAATATAAATAATTATGTCCATTTGTGTCCATCATGATGTATCGATGTTGATTGGTGTGGTTACTTGTGTGGTTATTGCTGATTGATCAATCGCACTCACACACACATACACACAAACACATATTCATAAATACCAACAAGCCAAGCCAAACCAGGCTGCTGATCAACAACACTACCTGATTATATGTGAATGAATAAGTGAGTGAGTGAATGATTGAGTGAATGATTGAGTGAATGAATGTACGTGCTTGCTATCTTGCGCGGTAAACACATTAGTGTATGTGATTGTTATTGTGATTGTGTTTGTGTTTTTGTTGTTGTTGTTTGTTCTTCATCTAAGTATCTATCCACAACATTAACATCAACATCAACATACCAGCAGCAGCAGCACTACACAACATTACTCACATCACTACGCCACTACTCTACACTACCCTACCCTATCCTACCACACAGTAATTATTGATTGATTGATGATTGTGTTAGAGTGATCAATCAATCATCCGGCAACAAGACAGCCATCAAGTCAATCAATCAATCACTCACTCTATCAATCTATCAAATCACTATCATTCCTTCATCATTCATTCATTACGAAGTCTCAGTCTCAGTCTCAGTCAGTCAGGGCAGAGTGATCATCAGTAGCATCAACACCAGCAACAGCAACAACAACAACAACAACAACAACAACATAATCTCCTGGCTTAAATCACTTTACACAACATCTATACCTTACTTGTGTCCACAACTCACGCATAATAATCATCATCATCATCATTATAATCTCACAGTGTGCAAGCAATCGGCGTCGGCTATCATCACAACAATCACAACAATCAATCAATCAATCAACAATCTCATCATCATCATCATACTTATGATTATATCTCATTCGTTGTCTAGATCATAGCATAGCATAGCATAATATATATTATATATTATACAGCAGCAACAGAACAGCAGCAGCAACAGCAGTAGCACCAACACAACACATTACATACCACATATCGATAGCAGTCATAGCAACCGCAGCATCAACATCAGCAGCAGCAGCAGCAGCCACAGCCACAGCAGCACTGGATACCCTGGCTTCGAAAATGCAACCTGCACACAACGACAAGTACTCTCTGCTCAGATCACTCTTTCTCGATCCAAACAACAAACAATGTGCAGAGTGTAACTCAATCGTATGTACACTCGTTCAAGCGATGACCTTGACATCTTGATACTAACTACGTGCTCTGCGACCATCTCTCTAGAACGTTCCCTATGTCTGTATTAAACTCGGTACCTTCATATGTCCAACATGTGCACACTTCCTGTAAGTATCCTCCCTTACTCGCGACTAGAGCGACTGACTGGCTCACTGACTGACTGACTGACCATATTGGTCAATCATTATTAGGAGTACACTCGAGTTTAAAGTCAAGCCAATCATGGGCAGCTCATTCTCTGAAGACGATATAAAGAGGCTACAGGCCATTGGCAACCTTGTATGTATCAGCGATCGAATGATCAAGCGAGTGAGCAAGCGATAGAATGAGGACTAATTAGCATCGCCGCGACAATAATAGGTTTCGAAACAGTTCTGGTTGGCCAATTGGTCACCGGCAGAGTTCATCCAACCTCTGCCAGACGATCCAAAGCTCGAGCAGTTTCTTAGGATGAAGTACATTGAGAAGCGCTGGATCAGCTCGCCACACGATAGCATCAGTCCTTCGACGGGAAGCTCGCCACTGTCAGTGTCGGGCGGCAACCAGAGCGAGCCCAACGGCATGAACATACCGATGGCCACGACCAACACTTTATCGACGTCGCAACGACTGGATCACTTCTCGCCGTTCTCCTCGCCACACACGTCGCCCAAGCCTACAAAGTCGATCTTTGACGAGTTGGTTCCGCCCAACCCGCTCAAGACCAGCAACGGCATTGCCTTTACCAACACAAATGCCAACACGAGCAACCTTGGCTTCGACGCCTCGCATGCCATACAGATACCGGCCAACAGCAACAACAACAGTGCACAGCCTCTGCCACAACCTGCCGGATTCACTGGCAACAACAACAGTTATCAACACATCAATGGCTTCGATCCATTCTCTCCGTTTAAGACTTATGATGTTTCCGGAAAGCAGTTACAGGATCAGCAACAACAACAGCAACAGCAACAACAGCAGCAACAACACCTGAATCAATCAGTTCCAAAACATACAGCTTCAGCAACAGCAACAGCAACAAGTACAACAACAAGTACAACAGCAACAACAGGTACAGCAATCGAATCACATCGAGAACGGCTCGATGTTGTCGTCGTCATCGAACCAGAACAACTTTTTGGAGATGCTTGTAAAGAGCACGACTCCTTCGAACTCCAACACGCCAACCGGCCTCTCACCGCAACACAACGTACCGTCCGACTTCAAGGTGCACATGATCGACATATCGCAATCCTCTGGCGCGACCAACCCATTCGCACTTCCTCAGCAACAACAACAGCAGCAGCAACATGTTGACCAACAGTTTGTCTCGCTTATGGATCGAAACATCATCGATGATATGTCAATGGGCGTGGCCAAGCAGCAGCAGCAACAGCAGCAACAGGTACAACAGCAGCAGCAAAATACCAATCCATTCATTGACGACCAGACCGGCCTGCCAATGCCAAGCATGAACAACAGCGGGCCACACTTTAGTCAGCAGCCCCCTCTTCCCCAACAGCACATTAACAGTATACTGTCGCCTACGGTATCACCGTCGCCATCACCAGTGCTGACAAACACGCCACACAACATCGTTGTTCCTCCAGCCAACTACAGCAACCTGAACAATGGATACCATGTAATCTCGCCCTCACCGTCTCCCATGCCCTACCAACAGAACCCGCCAATACCCTCTATCAACCCCTTCAACAACGCTGCCGCCGCCGCTCTACAGCATCCCAAGCCACAACATCCAAATGGACAATACCTGACGCAGCAGCAACAGCAACAAGTACAGCAGCAACAGCAACAACAGTATTTACAGCAACAAGCACAAGCACAAGCCCAAGCCCAAGCCCAAGCTCAGGCTCAGGCTCAAGCACAGGCCCAGGCCCAAGCTCAGGCCCAGCAATACCAAATTCCACTTTCTTCATCAGCACCTGTACAACCACCGCACCATTCACCTATTCCAATACAACCGCAGGCTCACTCGCAGTATCTGCCTCAGCAACAGTCACAACAACAATGGATGCCATTCCAGAGTGCGCCAATGCCAGTCCAGCAACAGCAACAACAGCAACCAATCCAGCCACTGCAGCAGGCTCAGCCACTGAATCTGCAGCAGTCGCAGGCACAGGTGCCAAACTCGCAGGTGAATCCACAGGCCACACCTCAGACCGAGGAGGAGCAGAGTGTGTCGGACATTATCAACCTGAAGAAGCTCTACGACTTGGGCATGATGGACAAGGAGGAGTTTGAGCACCGACGACGACAGATCGTGGACAACATCACTAAGACGACTTCGCCGCTCATCCAGCAGCCCGCTCAGACACCAGTCCAATCGCAAGTGCAGTCCGCCCCAGCGGTCGTCCAGGCCCCACCATCCGCGGCACCACCCGTCAATACCGTGCCCGACCAGCGTCTGACTGGCACCGAGCGTGTGATCAGACATAGGTTCGACGCCAAGCTGGGCAAGTGGGTCCAGACCGCCACCATTGTCATCACCGAGCAGACGCCATTCGCCGAGGGTGCCATGAGAAAGGCCTTCCGCATGAAGGACCTCTCTGCTGAGGGACCCACATCGCAGATGGTCGCAAAGTTGTTTAGAGACACGAATGAGGACCGCATGGTCTACTTCAAGGATGTCGAGATGCAGACATACGCACGAGAGATTGCCGAGCGATTCAACGCACGCAACCCGCCCAAGAAGATCGACTTTGTGCCAGCGTTCGTGATGGAGCTGATCGAGCGACAGGGCAAGCCGTTCTGCGCGGTCGAGTACTTCATCGAGGGCAAGTACGAGAAGCACAACAACAACTTTGGCTTCAAGAACGAGTGCGACAGGAACACGCCACAGGCATTCAGTCACTTCTCCTACGAGGACTCTGGCTGCCAGTTGATCGTGGTCGACATCCAGGGAGTTGCCGACGTCTACACCGACCCACAGATCCATTCGTCGGACGGCCAAGGCTTTGGCAAGGGCAACCTTGGCATTGAGGGCATCAAACGATTCTTCTCCACACATCAGTGCAACGCCATCTGTCACCATCTGGGTCTGAGCTCCGTCAATCCCAAGCCACTGAGTGAAGAGTCTGGCACTGTGCCTCGTCCTCCCAGCCAATCATACGTGCATCCATCATTTATATACCCACCGAATCTGCAACAGTCGTTTAATGTTCACTTCCCGCCATTGAATCCACAACCACAACATCAATCACAACAACAACAGCAACAACAGCAACAACAAGTTCCACAACAACAACAACAACAAGTGCAAGCACAACCACAGGCAGCATCAAGCAGTCATATTCCTCCACAAACTCCACTGCCACCAGTACCACAGAAAGAGAAGCCAAAGATCGAAGCCATTGGTGATATCATCAGGAAGATTATATCCTAATATGACCTCCATATCCTACTTACTCATTCACTCCCACAACTTCCAAACTTCCAACTTCCACCAACATCCAACAACACCAAAACAACATCATATGTATTACAACATCCCAGCAACATCAACATCCCAGCAACATCAACATCAACATCAACAACATTACATTACACTACACTCATACTTCCATGGTACGATTACTCAGATTGTTTAAATACTATTCTGGACACAATAAACTTCTTCCTCTCTATTATATACACATCACACCCTGTTAGCTGATCATCATCATCATATCCGATGATCAACTAGAGTGTTCTTCTTAATCTTTAATACTATTACTATTATACGCTCGTGCGTTATCTATATACATTGTGTTCGTTCATTCATTCATTCATTCATTTGGATGTTGATTGATGATTAACCGCCACCTTATTAGCATTCTCTCTGTTCAACATTGATATGTTTGATGTTAGTCATCCATCCCAATCCATCCAACAATATCATGTCAATGTCATTGGCGATATACTTACATATTCTTACATATTACATTGAGGGATGTTGTCAACTTTGTCAGATCCTCATCACGTTCGCGCACTGATTCATAGACGTTGGTATTGAGATCGTCTTTGCCTAGAGAGTCTACATCATGGAATTTGATACGTTCAGAACCTATTGACACTTGTTTGACTGATAGCTGTGCCTGTTGCTTCCTTATCTCTTGGAACTCCTTCAATATCCTCTGTTGATTCAGTCCAAATGCCTTCATCTCACCATTCTCAAATCTCTTATTTATCTTTGTCAACTCTTCATCCAACAACAATGCATGGCTATCATTCATCATCCTTGTATCCCTGTTCTTATTCTTATTTCTTATTCTTTATAAGTAGTACTTGTTACTTCCAGATCGTGAATGTTTAATTGTTAAATCCCTTCAGATGCATTGGTGGTTTGTTTGTTTCCAAACCGACATAAAGTGAGCAAAATTGTACAAATGGCTCAACTTTGACATTCTCCAACAACCTGTGTACACTTTGAATGTATGAATGAATACCAATACAATTCATTCATTCATTCAACAATAATATCAAGAACAATTAAAACATATACAAGCATTGAGCACCTTTGCTCAATCTCTCATTTCCATTGATGAATTCTTATAATAACAACAATGGTAGTGGAGGAGTAGGTGGCAATGGTAATGGCAATGGCAATGGCAATGGTAACATCAATGGAAGTAGTGGTATAAACAACAACAATCATGATTCAAACTATCATATAATGGTTGGTCATCAACTGCAACACCAACAACAACAACAACAACAGCATCATGGAAATGGACATGGTCATGGACTTGTGCATCATAGCCAACAATATCAACATATACTACAGCAGCAACAACAACAGCAACAGCAGCAGCAGCAACATAGCAATCACATACTCCAACAACAACATCAACAACAGCAACAACAACAACAACAACAACAACAGATACATAACATAATATCACCAACAAGTTCAATGTTGCATCATCGACCTCCAATGTCTATACCTCCATTGGTGTCAATGAGTTCGCCTCACAGTGCAGGCACATCGACGAGCAAGTCCCATGCATCACTCTCCCCTCCATACAAGTACTCGTCGTCAGGCATTGTCCTGCCACCAATCTCATCACCTAGCCATCAGACACCTGTCTCGACAACCTCGTCAATGTACAACCCATTGAGGATTCCAACCACAATGCAGGTACAGCAACAGCAACAGCAACATCAACAACAGCAGCAACAACAAATGCAACAACAAATGCCCTATGACTACAACAACTCAGACACATCGTTGGGATCATCATTCATTGAGCCACGCTCGCCAATATCTAGCCAGGTCAATGCCTCGCCTGTGCACTTCAATGACCCGCCTCCATTCAAGATCCCACTGCAACTGCCTCTGATCAACTCACCATCACAATCAATGAACTCACCCGACTCCCTACATCTAATGCGCGACTTCTATAGCAGGACTTCGCCCACGCCATCACCCAACAAGCATCTCTTTTACCAGTCCCAGCAGCAGCAACAACAACAACATCAAACGCAAGCACAACACCAAGTCTACCCCCACACACAACAGCAGCAACAGCATCATCATTCCCCGCACAACATGTCACAAGAGTCATATTCACCAAGTCACATGGGCCACATCAATCTGTCGAGCACGCCAACCTTTCATTCCAATGTATATCTATCACCTCCAACCACATCTACATCCACATCCAACTCCAACTCTACATTCAACATCACATCCCCGCAATCACTTCCAAGTGCCAATCCCTTCCAAGGCACTGGCAAGATTGGCAACAGCAACGGCTCCAGCAGCAATGTATATTTGAAATCATCGACACTATCACCTCTAACACAATGGACTTCATTATCAATTCCCCGGCAGCATTGGCACTGGCACTGGCACTGGCACATCCACTCCCACTTCCGTCTCCACTGGACATCATCATCATCATCCAAAGTATCTTCCAATCTATGACACAAACAAGTCAACATCGACCACTACTACATCAACCAATGGCGTCAACAACAACAATAACAACCACACAGAGTCAGTACTCAACTTCATTGACAACACATTGGTGGTGTCCAATGGCAAACCGAATGGCAACACTGGTGGCGGATCTAGGAAGAGAGCTGCAACAAATGGCGGCTCAAAGAGCAGTACGCCACCATTGAGATCACAGAAGCAGGTGCCAATGGCAATCGCACCGCTTCAGAAGTGCCCCAGTGTGTACAACACATACATGGACATCACTCGGTTGGGGGACACGTCGCCCGAGTTCAGCGACGAGGAGTTCCCCGAGATCAAAGCTCGTTTCAAAGTCATCGAGAAGATTGGCCAAGGCACATTCAGCGGTGTCTACAAGTCAGTGTGCATTCAGGGGCCTGATGCGGGGCTGGTCGTGGCGCTGAAGCGAGTGGCGCCCACCTCATCACCAACCCGAATACTCAACGAGATCACCAGTCTTCAGCGCGTTGGTGGCTCCAGCCATGTCTCCAAACTGCTAGGTGTACTCAGACACATGGATCAAGTCACACTGATCCTGCCCTACTTTGAGCACGACTCATTCAAGGATTACTTCTTCCGATTGACGCCAGACGAGTTGAGGTACTACCTCCATGCTCTATTCACTGCACTCAAACATGTACATGCACATAACATTTGCCATCGTGATGTAAAGCCAACCAACTTCCTTTACAACCAACATAAGAACTTGTTTATGTTGATCGACTTTGGATTGGCACAAGAGGTATGTTGTTGATGATTGTGCGATTGCTGGAGCTGGAACCATTCCACATCACTCCATATTAATCGATCATCATTCAATCAAACAATCCAGATGCTTCCACAACCAACACATGAGCCAGAAGAGAGGAAGAAGCGCACAAGGGATGATTCCAAGTCAAGGGGTAAAGCCAACCAAGCTGAATCAAAGTATGTATATCAGCGAGGATGGTCCATCCACTCAATAATATGATCAATCATTCAATCATTTACTAATACCACAAACTAAAGGACACAACAACAACAGCAACAACAACAACAAGCTCCAAGAGCTGGAACACGAGGATTTAGAGCGCCAGAAGTACTGCTAAAGTATAATAAGCAGACGACCTCTATTGATATATGGTCGGTTGGTGTCATCCTGATGAGTATATTATCAGGCCGCTATCCATTCTTTATATCTCCGGATGATATTACCAGTCTGGCAGAGATTGTGTCGATCATTGGAACACGCAAGATCACCGAGTTGGCCGGTATACTGGACAAACAGATTGCCCTGTCGGAGCATATCGAGCCCACCAGCTGGACGGCCTTGGCTCGACGACTGCGTGATGAGAGTGGAGATATCAAGTTATCGATGCCACATGAGGCCTTTGATCTGTTGGAACGCTGTCTCGATCCCAATCCATTCACCAGGATCACAGCCAAAGATGCACTATCTCATCCATTCCTCCAATCACTCAACTTCAATATCTCTACATCATCATCACTTCACTCCAACAACAACAACTCATTTGCACATATATTATAAGGAGAAAGATAGGGTCGAGGAATAAAGATATATATATCCCTTGTGTACACAAAGTAGCTGTCGTTACATGTGATATCTAGGCAATGGGCAATTACAAGGTATAATGAACTTTGGCACTTATGATCAGAGGCAAGTACCAAGTGCCATGACCATTCAGCGGGATGATAATCTATTGTACTCATTAGTTGTTGAATATATACATGTACTTGTTTTGTTGTAATAATGAGTTCTCACTGACGTACGTCTACACTCATTCATTCTCTCATGCCAACTCACGACTACACACACACTCTCCAACTCGATAATCTTTCTACAACATTACATCCAACACACACTGTCATTCATCCACTCACTCTGGTGTTGTCCTCTCTGAGCAAACAACAACAACAACATGAATAATGATGATGACAGTGAGTGTAAGGTTAAGCATATATTATAGACAGACAAGTCATACATTGATACTCCGATTCGTTAATATATACCACTCCACCTACAGACATATTATATTTATTTATTATCTCTCGAACAAAAACAAACTAGTTAGATTTAGAATCCAGGTCTTATCAATCAATCCTAGTACATCCATCCATCCATCCATTCAAGGCCAATCATTGTACTCCATTCAAAGTAGGTCAACATCATAATCATCTAGGTAGAATGAATGAATGGATAATACTCAACTAGTCTAAATGAATGATTGAATGGACGATGAGGGATTAGTGACAGCATCAACTTCATGCCAATGGATTAAACTTCCAACAATAACGACAAAACAACCTCCATCTTCAATGCATCTCTAATTGTTGTTGAAGGATGAAGCATCTGCTTTGCTTTGAATGTGTGTGTGTGTGTGTGTGTGTGTTTGTTTGTTCCCTAATATGTGTGTGTATTTGCGAGAACCGTCAATTCTTTAATTGTGTATCGCTGGATAGTGAGAGAGTTTCCAAATTAAATAACAAAAATTTTAATTAATACAGGGAGCTTCACACTTCAAACAAACACACACATTCAACAACCTTAACAACCACCACACACCCTCACACACCATCTCCACTTCAATCCACTTCCAGCGAACTTGCATTGCGCATCATCATAACAACAACAACAACAACATTAACAACAACAAAACCATCTTATTACTTCACTTCCCTTCCAATATGCTCATATTCCAACCATTCAACTAACTCATTATTCATTCATTCATTCATACATAAACGAACAAAGAGAGAGAGAGAGAGAGAGAGATACAGATAGTGCAAACAATAGGACGTCGGAAAAGTGACATATATAGCTCAGAGACAAGGACAAAGAAAGACATAGATTATAATAGGGAATAGGATAGGAGTGTGATCCCGACAGATAGCATACACACATATACATATACCAACAACAATGTCAGTCACCAGCGCACCACCAGGCTCCGTCTCACAAAAGAGCGTTAGCCTCGATGAGATATGGCCTGAGCTTCACGATGGCATGTACAAGATCATCACAGACTTGTATAAGGGCTTTCCCCGAGAGAAGTGGATGTTACTATACACGTAAGTGTCAACTACAACAGCAAACAACAGGTCCAGCAACAGCATATTGATATCATATGTTATGTTATGTTATGTCTAGACATGTTTACAACTATTGTGCAGCTTCACAATCCAAGTCGGGAGTGATGAAGGTTAGCAGCACGACAAAGCAGGCGGCACCTGGCGCAAACTACGTCGGCGAGGAGCTGTACAGCAACCTTAATCACTTCCTCAAGGGACACATGAAGGATCTGCTCAAGGTTGCAGAGACCAAGATGGATGAGTCATTGCTCAACTATTACTATTCCGAATGGGATCGCTACACTTGTGCAATGAAGTACATCAACAATATATTCCAGTATCTGGTATGTTCATTTCAATTCATTCATGGATGATGTGCGCGTAGCATGTGCACAGAGACTAACATGACAGTCACTCACTGTAGAATCGATATTGGATCAAGAGAGAGATAGATGATGGAAAGAAGGAGGTCTATGAAGTGCTGGTCGTAAGTAGTCCATCCAACTTCAACCTTTTGTATTATATCTTGCTCTAACAACTTGGCCACACAACACATACTTAGTTGTCATTGGTTATCTGGAGAGACTGTTTGTTCGGACCCCTGAAGACCAGGTTAACCTCAGCTCTACTGGAGCTGATTGAAAGCGAGAGGAATGGATATCAGATCAACACATCATTGGTCAAGGGTGTGATTCATGGTTATGGTATGTTGTTGCGTTGTGTTGGATACATGGTGGCTGGATGCTTGATGGATTACTAACTTTTGGTTGAAATACTATAGTGAGCCTCGGATTGAACCGCGAGAAGCCAAAGGAAACTATACTTCAAGTTTACAAGTCTAGCTTTGAAGAGCAATTCTTGGCATCGACAGAGAACTACTACACCAACGAATCAATGAAGTTTATCTCGGAGAACACTGTCGCCGACTACATGAAGAAGGTAGAGTCGCGTCTTAACGAGGAAACAAAGCGAGTTCAACAGTATCTACACCAAAGCACAGAGACAGAGGTATGTTTGATTGATTGATTGGCATGCATATCCATGTGTCTGACCCCTCCCTCCCTCCATTCAAGCTGATTACAAGGTGCGAGAAGGTGTTGATTGAGAAGGTTGTGGAGAACATTTGGGGCGAGTTCCAGACATTGTTGGAGACCGACAAAATATCAGACCTCACCAGAATGTATGCATTGTTGTCTAGAATACCAAGAGGTCTCGAACCACTCAGAGCGACCCTTGAGAAGCATGTTCAGAATGTCGGACTACAAGCCGTGTCTGCGATTGGATCTGCTGGCACTGTTGTAAGTTGATTGGATTGGATTGATTGGATCGGATTGATTGAATGTGACTGACTGACACCTACAAAACACACAGGACCCAAAGCTGTACGTCGACACACTGTTGCAGGTGTTCAAGAAATATAATGATTTGGTCACTGGAGCATTCAGGAGCGACACTGGATTCGTCGCATCACTTGATAAAGCCTGTCGAAGATTTATCAACGAGAACGCTGTCACACAGGCCGCCAAGTCGTCGTCCAAGTCACCGGAACTGTTGGCTAGGTACACGGACTTTTTGTTGAAGAAGAGCGCCAAGAACCCCGAGGAGTCAGAGATGGACCATCTGCTCAACGAGGTGATGACAGTGTTCAAGTATATCGAGGACAAGGACGTGTTCCAGGATTTCTACTCCAAGATGTTGGCCAAGCGTTTGATACATGGCACGTCGACATCGGAGGACCTGGAAGGTGTGATGATTGGCAAGCTAAAGTCTACGTGTGGCTACGAGTACACATCGAAGCTCCAGCGTATGTTCACCGATATGTCTCTAAGCCGCGAGTTGCTGGACCGATTCAACACGCACGTGGAGCAGGTCGAGCAGACCACTCTGGGCGGCATCGACTTTAGCGTGCTGGTGCTGGCCACAGGATCGTGGCCGCTGCAGCCACCCGCCACCAACTTTAGCATCCCCAAGGAGTTGCAGTCGTGCGAGCAGCTGTTCCAGAAGTTCTACCAGGTGCAGTACTCGGGCAGGAAGCTGAACTGGCTGCACCACCTCTCCAAGGGTGAGCTCAAGACAAAGTATCTGCCCTCCAACAAGACCGGTTACACACTCCAGTGCTCCACCTACCAGATCGGTGTGTTGCTGCAGTTCAACTCGGTCGAAGAGCTCACCAACGAGGAGCTACAAGGTTCAACTCAACTGACCGATGGTATTCTGAAGAGTACCCTTGTTGTAAGTTCATTCAATCCATATCAATCAAGTCCAATCATTCACACTAACAATAACAACAACAACATCATAGACACTGTTGAAGTCAAAGATATTGGTATCAGATAATGATGGCGAGGAGGAGTTTGGCAAGACAACCAAGTTCTCGTTGAACAAGCAGTTCAAGAATAAGAAGACAAAGATATTCATTAATGTACCCGTGCTCGCCCAGGTCAAGGAGGAGATTGACACTACACACAAGACGGTGGAGGAGGACCGCAAGCATCAGATACAGGCGGCAATCGTGCGCATCATGAAGATGCGCAAGCAGTTGTCCCATAGCAGTCTGATGTCCGAGGTGATTGCTCAGCTGCAGACGCGATTCAATCCCAAGGTCAATGTTATCAAGAAGTGTATCGATATATTAATTGAGCGAGAGTATCTCCAGAGAGTGGAAGGACAGAAGGATATGTACAGTTATGTAGCTTAAGCGACACCAAATCCATCCATCCATCCATACTATCTCTATCTCTCTACCTCCATCATCCATTCAATCAATCAATCAATCAACTATGCCTACCTACCTACCAACATACCTTCACTCCCGACCCTCCAACCAACCTATACCAAGCTCATTCCCCAGGACGACACCAATCCATTCCATTCCATTCCAATCCAATCCATATCCACAAAGTAGTTCGTTCTTAATACTATCTCATTCAATCATCAGGCTACCCATTCATTGTTAATAAACATTCATATTCATATCACATTCATATCACATTACATCAGACCAGGTCACTTACAATCTTGAGGACCACTGTCACCCGCTACACCATCATCATCAACATCATATTTGGAACTTGATCACTCATTCCCTCGAATACACTCAACCAGGGCATCAGATGATCATCACTCCCCAACTCGCACACTAGAGTGATGGACCGGGAAGTTGGTCGCGGTTCTCAACATCCCAAGCGTCTCATTATTTTCACCAATCTTCACCATTTCTTGATCAGGTCGTTCGTTGTCCAAAGTTGATCAGGGTCAGAAGACCTGATTTGGGCATTGGTGCCCTCGCAAAAATAGCACCTGGTTCCCCAGGCTTCAAAAAAATTGAATGATGTCACACACTCTTCATGATTTGCCCACCCACCCCCATGTGTGTGAAAGTCGAAGCAACTAGCATGAAAGGGTCTTCTTCATCGTTCAAGAGTTGAACAAAACTAAAAACTAAAAAAAACAACAAAATATCACAAGATTTAATTAATATATTTGATAAATTTCAAGGTGGAGTTGGCTCAACCGTTACATTCATTGATTCAAAGTCATCATTCATCCTGATCAAGACACCTCAGCCAACTGCCGATTAATAACCATCATCGACTCATACCAATCATTCATTAATTCAAACAACCAAGTCAAGTATAAATATATATATCATATAAATATAAATTTAAATACAAATACATCGTTGTCAACATTCAATCATTCAATCAAATACACATATTGTACTTATAATCAAATAATCAAATAATCAATCAATAATAATAAAAGAATGAGCAACACAAACGACGGCAGAAGACTCTCAATTGGATCAGACTCGAGTGCTAGTAGTGAGAAGGTCAAGAAGGACAAGTCTGAGAAGAAGATCAAGAAGTCAGCTTCACCAATCCCTCACGCAAATACTGAAGCCACGACATTCACTTCGGAGCACGATCACGATGGATCGTCCGCTGACAACACCGAGCTGACGCTCTCGCACATCATCATCCGTTCGGACTTTGCCAACTCGTCGGCCGAGGAGCAGGCCCGCACCATCATCGATCGTTTCAATAGCGGCATCGACAAGGGCAAGAGCGCCTTCACCGACAACCCCCTGCTCGGTCGTGGTCTGAGCCGTGTGGACATCAGTCAGTTCGTGCTGGGTCACCGCAACCAGGTGGCCGAGCTGGCCGACCCCCGTGGCAAGCGTTTCGCCACCGTCTACACTCCGGACCCCACCGTCAACATCAAGTTCATTGGTGCCGTCAACAAGACCGCTCACTACTTTGGCGCCTATGGCAAGCACGTCCTCAACGTGCCCGCCGGTCACTATGCCAAGGCCTTCTCAAAGAACAGACCAGTGCTGTATGGCGAGGGTCCACACGTCATCATCGACCCCACCTTTGAGTTCTCAGAGGACAGCGGATTCGTCAACCAGAACGAGCCATACATTGAGCACAGCACCTTCAACATTCTGCGTATCCCCTCGGGCAAGATTGCCAAGGTCTGGTTGGGCACCCAGCCATTCATCCTCGAGTCGAAGCGCGAGCCATACGTCTTTGTCGACGCCCAGTTCAAGCTGGTGTCGCCAGACAAGGACAAGGTCAAGTCCAAGGCCAACCTGTTCTTCAGCTCAATCGACACCTACATCGAGCACGGCTCCATTAAGCGTATCATCCCCCACACTGGAGAGGTGGCCATCACCTACGACAATGGTATCCTGACCATCATCCCACCACCAAAGGACGGCAAGCCAGTGATCATCGACTCGCCCACCCACAACTTTGACGGCTTCATCTCCACCTCGCTGCAGACCTGTCTGTTCCCAAGCAAGGAGACCAAGAGCCAGGCCGCCGCCGACAACCGCCAGGCCTCATCCGATGAGATCAACCTCAAGATCTTCCAGACCAGAGACTCGCTGCGTGTCGGTGTCGTCTTGGTCGTCGCCTACAAGATCGTCGACCCAGAGATGGCCATCACCAAGTTGGGCAAGGACGGTATCGTGCCACACATTGAGAACGTGTCCTTTGCCGACATGGGTAAGGCCATCCAGCTGTCCACCCTCCAGGAGGTCATGTACTTCAACTCCACCAAGCCAGGTCAACAAGTTGAGGAGAGTGTCCAGACCATCCAAGATCGTGTCAAGTGTATGGATCATCACATCAATCAAACAATCAATCACTCATACTAACTCACTCACTCAACCAACACAATCAATCAACACAAACAGACAACTTGGCCAAGGACCTCAGTGAATATGGTATTGAGTTGGCTCGTCTCCAGATTGAGACAATCAAGGTGTTGGATAGTGAGATCGCCAAGAAGTTGGCCGGTCAGTCTGTGACATCGGCAGAGTTCACCACCAAGCAGGCAACATTGGTCAAGGAGTACGACATCAAGACCACTGAGGCCAGACTGAAGGCCGAGACCGACAACATCGCCCTGGCCCAAAAGAACCAGGCTGTCATTGCTGAGGCTCAAGCCAAGTTGCAGTCTGCTCAGCGTGAGGCCGATGCCCTGTTGGTCAAGGCCGATGCCGAGAGAAAGGCTCAAGAGATGAAGGGTGAGCTGTACGCCAAGTTCCCCGCTCTGCTCGAGCTCGAGATGGCCAAGATCAAGGCCGACGCACTCCGTGGTGCCACCATCTACATCGCACCCAAGGACGTTGGAAACTTCCTCAACAGTCCACTCGTCTACTTTGATCGCATTGCCAACAAGGACAAGTCATCCAACTAAATAGTTTGTTTCCATATCCATCACAGTCAGTCAGGCAGTCAGCCAGTCGTCCTTCCGTCTTTCTTTGTTGTGATATATAATCACACGATGTCCAAACATCAACATCATAACTTAAACAAGTTTATTGATTTATCCAACATTGATCAATCGATCGGATCGGGAATAGTCATTCAATCAATCACTGACACGACCACATCACATGACAGACCAAACTCTTCACACTAAAGGCTGAAGCATTTGATGGTGCCAACAAGGATTGCAAGAAGGAATCGGGTGAAGCCACTCGGGATGGTAATAGGATTGGATGTTTATTATTCAAGATAATATGCAGCATATGTTACGGCTGGCATTGGGTATGGATTGGGGTATTGCACGGCGTCATATGTCTCCAGATTGATCATCCAGAAATATGCACTGTCCTGTACATTGGGCTGGTTCGTGAGAACGGCCAACATGTATCCATTGATTGGGTCGAGCAGAAAGCCCATTTCGCTAGGCTGCACATAAAAGTTGGGTTGGACAAAGATGACCTTGGCGACATTGGCAGTGAGGTCCACCTCGAACAGGTACTGTTTGGGCTCCGCAACCGTGTCAAAGCTGCCAAGTCCGATGTATGGTTTGTTCTGATAGACTGTGAGGAATACTACACCTGACATGTCATAGGTCTGGAGTGATTCGGCCACTGTGATGTTGTGTGATGAGATCGTTGTGCCATCATTGGCATTGATGAGCCAGATGTTGAAGTTCTGGCCCTTAATAAACAGGACATAAAAGATGTTGCTTGTTGTATCCATGTAACACTCAAAGAGATAGCTGGTCATCTTGGTGGGCAATGGATAAAGCTGACTGCATTGGATTGAAGTGGTTGGGGAGAGCGGTCAACAATTGGTGATCGACCACACAGCCATCATCATCATGATCATATGCTTCCAACTTACAGAGTCTGCTCTTTGAAGTCATATTTCATCATGGCCAAGTTGGTATCTTCGTCTTGTCCCATGCCATACATCACATTGTCTGTGCCAACCAAACGAAGTTGTGACATAGGCTCATAGCCATATCCAAAGTTGTTGCCAGTTCCAATGAGATCTTGCGTGATGCTGTTGTTCTGGTGATTTGAGTGAGGAAATCGATCAATCAAACAATGGGTGACGCAACTAACTAACTAACGTACCTTGATATGATAGGAGCAGACGACTGGGAAGTTTGATATGTCATTTGTTGAGCTAAAGTATTGGACAACATCTGTGTTGGCAACACTTGGGTACTCTGGGTCGATACCATCCCAACTTTGGAAGGTTTGTGTCAACAAGTCATCTCCACTCGTAAGGTTGTGTCTGGCATAGTAGTAAGTGTTGGGTGATCCCCATTTAATGCCAAAGTAAGTGAATATACTTGGTACATCCTATATCATACATATGTATAGAGAGAGTCAGTCAGTCAATCAATCATTGACAATGATAAAGTATACTTACAGCAACAACTCGATCACAGAGGATAGCGAGGCATGACACTAGCATGCACAGTTGAATGATGAGTGATAACTTCATCTTCTTTGAGATTGAATATTACACTTGGACATACTGATTGATCACTTGTCCATTGCAGATGCATTATGAGAGAATGATTGTTTTCCCTCACTTCATTAATTGTGATATTGGAGTTCACAATGAAAAGTTTGAGGACTTTAGTCCATTACCTTTGTGAAAAGTTCGAAAATGATAACTTCACATTCATTTCGTGCATCCATTTAGGTTCATTTCATTTCATTCATAGAAATATAACATACAAGCACAATGACTGAAAGATATAGTAGTAGTAGCAATGGCAATGATAGAGCAAGATATAGAAGTAGGAGTAGGAGTAGGAGTAGAAGTAGAAGTAGAAGCAGAGATAGATATAGAGATAGAGATATAGATAGAGATAGAAGAAGAAAGGATGATGTTGTCAGAGATGTAGATGGAAATAGAGATAGTAGAGATAGAGATAGAGATAGATATAAAGACCGATCTGGAGATAGAGATAGAGACAGAGGCAGAGACAGCAGAGATAGAGATGATAGAGGTAAAAGAAAGGATAGTGATAAGGACAGAGATAGAGATAGAGATAGAGAAAGAGTGAAGGAAAAGGAGAAGGAGAGAGATAAGAAGAGAAGATATAGTAGTGATGAGGATTCGAGTGATAATGACAACGATGTAAAGAGAAAGAAGAAGTCATCATCATCATCATCGACTACCACTGCAACAATGGCCTCATCCTCATCATCATCATCATCATCGAATAACAAACAACAAGTTGTTGAATCAAAGGAAGATAGAAAGAAGAGAAAGATGGAAGCGAAGTTGGAAAAGGAACAAAGAAAGAAGAATGAGACGCCAGAGGAGAGACAGAGACGACGTTTAGAGAAGCGCGCAAAGAAGGATGAGAAGCGAGGCAAGAAGACTGATGGCAGCGCAGCCGCAGACTCACAGGTGCTGATGGGCTACTCCAACCAGGTCAACCCATTCAACGACGCCAATCTCACCGAGAAGTTCACGTGGAAGGCAAAGAAGGAGAAGATGATCCGCGATGGCATGCACCCCGAAGAGTACCGCCAGCGATTCGAACGCAACAGGTCGAGCGAGATCAGCGAAGAGCTGGAGAAGGCAAAGAAGAGGCGTGAGGAGAAGGAGAAGGAGCAGGAGCTGTGGGAGCAGGAGCGCGAGCGTCTGCAGCGTCTGAAGGACGGCGAGAACAACGAGGAGCTTGAGCGCAAGGAGGAGGAGTTCCATCTGCAACAGGCGCAGCTACGCTCAGAGAAGCGTCTGGAGGAGGGCCGACCCAAGCCCATCGACCTGCTGTACCGCGCGCTCAAGATGGACACCAAGAGCCACTACGAGCAGTCAGACCCATCGCAGATGTTCAAGCGCATGGACATTGGTGAGCTCGAGTCACTGGGCGACAACATTGGCGAGTTTGAGTATTTGGACGTCAAGAATGCAGAGTATTGGACGTCGGCAAGGACACTGTGCGAGCATGAGATCAAGAAGCGCAAGGGCGGCGACTCGAATGGCACTGGCGTCCATTCGTCACTCACATCGGACATTCTAAAGTTGCTACAGGGCAAGAAGCACAGCGAGCTCGTGGCACTGGAGACACAGATCACTCAGAAGCTACAGACTGGTGGCGCGATGAATGTCGAGTACTGGGAGTCACTGTTAAAGCACCTGCAGGTCTACAAGGCCATGACCTTTGTCAGAGAGACCTTCCTGACGAACCTCGAAGCCAAGATCTCTGACATGGAGACCGAGGAGTACGTGCAAAGGATCAAGAACGAGATGCTCAAGAGCGATCAAGACGCAGCGTTGGCAGCAGCGGCTGGTACATCCACCACAAGCACTACGACCACATCAACAGAGGCGACAGCAGAGGAGGAGGAGATTGTACAGTACAAGGACGACTATCGCAGCAAGGACCCAACAAAGAGCGGAGACAACGAGGAGGATCTGTTGAAGCGCGAGTCTGAGAAGTTCATGGATGAGGAGCGTGAGGAGAAGTTTGACATTGAGGTCGAGCTAGCTGCCAAGCACTACGCATGGCATGACAAGCATCGTCCCCGCAAGCCCAAGTTCTTCAATCGTGTACACACTGGATACGATTGGAGCAAGTACAACCGCACTCACTATGACTCTGACAACCCTCCACCAAAGATTGTACAAGGATATAAGTTCAATGTAAGTTCTCGACTCATTCATTCAATCGATCAATCGTTCAATCAGTTCATATGACTAACATCAACTCATCATTCACAGATATTCTATCCAGATCTCATTGACAAGACCAAGTCACCAAAGTTCTTCCTGCAAGAGTCTGATGATGGCTCGGATACGATGGTGTTGAGGTTCAGTGCCGGACCACCTTACGAGGACATTGCATTCAGGATCGTCAATCGTGAATGGGAGCATTCACATCGCAAAGGTTACAAATGTGTCTTTGAGAAAGGAGTCCTTCATCTCTGGTTCAACTTCAAGCGATACAGATACAGACGATGATCAAACCTGTCCAAGAATAAACATACATCTTCGTGTGCGCATAACACTTGTTGTTGTGTTGTTGTTGTTGTAGTATGTAATCGTTTGTTCGCCACCTGCTCCAGCTCCTGCTGTTTCTGCTTCGTCGTCGGTCGTCGCATCGTTTATTTCTTTGACTTTGTCTTCTTTGATGCTTGAGCAATGAAGTCGACCTTTTTCTTCTCCTTCTCTGCTGCTGCCTGCATCTTGAGTTTGGTGATCTCGCCTCTGTAGTTGTGTGGATAGGGACCGCCCTTTACATAGTTTGGTACCAAAGCAGTGACCGAGTTTTCAGTCTCCTTCTTCTTCTTCTCTCTTGCTGCCTTCATCTTATCAGCGATCAATTTAGGCATACCAGCCATCGCATCCTTTACTCTCTTTTCTCTGTTTTGTTTTGTTTGTATGATTGATTGATTGATCGATCATTAGTACATGTTGATGACATTGATGATGATGTGAATGGATGTGATGCATCACATCATACCTGAGAGGTGCTGAACGTTGCAAGATAGTCATCTGTGACTGTCTCTCTGGCTTGGCTCTGATCTCTGGTTCGGGCAGTGGCCATACGGCATCATTACTGCGCATGATACTCTTTTGTAATACATTGAACTGTCTCGCTGACAGCTTTGGTCTATTCCAACCATTGTTTGTTCTCTGTGGCAATGAGTACTTTAGCAATGCCTCTGCATTGATTGTCAGTCTCATAAGTGTTTGTGGAGCTGACATCCTTATATGTTTATGATGATGATTATGTATTTGAATAAGAATGCGAAAGAGTGCTCATTAACTAATCTCTTACATTCATTGATTCAGTGTGGCAACACACATTCGGGTTGGTGACACTTCTACGCGAAAGTCTGGACCAAGTTTTTTTCGAACCCTTGCCCTCTTACAAAGTTCTCTTCTTCAACAAACGAGAGATCGTTAGTTGGTTGGTTGGGTCTGGACTCATGATCACTTGAGATAGAGATGAAGATATCATTGATTCGTCCCACTTTATAAGTGATTGAGGGTTTTATCAATTGTTTGATTGTTCGATTGGTTTGAATATTAATTTGTGATTAAATGATTATTAACAATGAACAATATCATCATCTTACTTTTATTGTCACAGTCCAAAGTATTAATACATCTTTAGACAGAGATACAAACATTAATCTTATAACTTCATAATCATTTATCTTCTTCGAAAAAAAAATCTGAGTTGGACCACCGGTGTGTGGGAATGATCAGGCAAGACTAGTTTGAATGCGCCACTTACTTGTATTAGTTCAATAAACCAATCACATAAACATACATATACACTTACTTACTTAAAATACAAGACAAGATGCCTCCAAAGAAGAAGCCAGCAGCCCAGGTCCAAGCAGCAACAACTGCTGCTCCACCATCAACTACATCTACAACATCTGCCGCAGCAGCTACAACATCTGCCGCCAGTACATCCACAACATCAACTACATCCACCACTACCAACACAACCAGTAGCACATCCAAAACGATCAGATGGTATTGGGCCGCCGACAGTGGAAGAGGTACACAAGACACTCTGGAGGAGTATGACCGTACATTCAGCACGGCAATCGAGGCTGCCTACCAAATCTACCTCAAAGACAACACTCAGAGAAAGATCAAAGTCGACAAGGACCGCTACATCGACTTCAAATCAATGTCACAAAGACGCTACGATGACAAGACCAAACAAAGGACTGTTGAGAGAAAGGAAGAGTATGTGTTTGATCGAATGTGTTTGATTGATTGAATGGTGACTAACCCTGGCGCGGCCTACAGACTTACCAATTTGAGCTCTGGAGGTGATGCCCCTTCAAAGTCATTGCCAAAGAGAGAGTTGAAGGGCAAGAAGGCTCTCACAGCCTCAAAGAAGAGACCATTGTCTGATAGTAGCAGCAGTGATGATAGTGATAGCAGCAGCAGCAGCAGTGATAGCGATAGTGATGATGATAGTGACAATGAGGACTACTTCCCAATGTGGAGCTGGGCCGGTGATAGTGGCGGTGGTCCTGCCAATGGAGGCGGTCACCAGGACGTCTGGATCAAGTACGACCTGGACTTCTCCAAGAAGCTGGAGGATTCGTTCAAGAAGGGCGACGAGGAGTACAAGGTGGACTCGCAACGATTCATCGATCTCAAGAACATGCTGCAACGTCGCTATGACGACAACAACAAACGAAGAAATGTCAAGCGCGAGGACGCCAAGAAAGTTCGTCCAGTCAAGAAGAAGTCTGTCAAGCAGGCCAAGACCTCGTCAACCTCGACCACATCCACAACCTCGACGTCTTCGGCCGCGTCCACTGCGGCCCCCGCCACCAATGGCGCATCGGCTGCATTGGCAATCGCGCAAGCCATCAAGTGCCCCTCGTCATGGATCGACATCTCGATGGACTACAAGGAGGTGGACGTCTATCCCAACACCAAGGAGTTCATGTGGATGAGTGATCTGTTTGCGTCGACGCTCTCATCGATGCACAAGGGCAAGTCGACGCTGTCTCCCATCATCTTCAACAGCCTCAAGGTGACGCGAGTGGTGCGCGTGCAGAACCCCGTCGTGTGGATGCGCTATGAGCACCGTCGCCAAAAGATCCTGGATGATGCGGGTGGCAATTGTCCCAAGGTGCCGCTCATTCTCACGGACATCCCCAACGGTCCCGAGGTCAACAGCAAGGCGAACGAGACGTTCCTCTTCCACGGCCTCAACGTCAGCTCTATCCCGGGCATTGTCAAGTTTGGCTTTGATCCACGCTTCTGCTCGCTCGAGGGCATGTTTGGCGCCGGTCTGTACTTTGCAGAGAACTCGTCTAAGTCCAATCAATACTGCCATGCCGGCGCGTGCACTGCCAGTGGCTTCCAGTCCAACTCTTGTCGATGCGCCACCAGTGACGAGGTGTGTCTGCTCGTGTGTCGCGTGACACTAGGCGACTGTCTGGTGGAGAACGTGTTTAGAGGCAATGCTCCGGGCAAGTTCTGGTACGGCCGCAGGACGGAGCCAACAAAGCCCGATGGCAAAACCATATACAACAGTGTGATTGGCGAGTCCAAGTCAAACTATGGACCAAAGGCCGAGTTACAACTTCGTGAGTACATCGTCTATGAGTCCAGTCAAGTATATCCAGAGTACAAAGTGTACTTCAAGCGCGTAAAATAATCAATTAAATCAATATCAATATCAATTCAATTCAATCAGTTAGTTAAAGTGATCAAAAGAAGTATCATCATCACTCAAAATAGTGAGTAAATCGATGTAGACTTGTCTCGTCTCAGTTGGATCATTCATTCACATTGTCATTCATTCGTTGGACCCAACACACCCCTAACTGGATAGGGTCGGAGATGCAAACATTGGACAATCCAACCAAAATTGGAAGAGGGAAAACTTAAAAGGTGTCCATTGGCCCAATGTTCATCTTTGCAAAGACGTTGGAACACACAAGTCTGTCGTTTCATCTTCAATTCAAACATTGTTTGTTGGCCCTCTCACTCTCTCATCTCATTCAACACACAACCATCTCTTCAATGTCAATGTCAAACATATACCACCCCTCCCCTGTTCACCCCTGACCTACAACCACTCATTATCAACACACATCTTTGGATGTCAATGCCAGTTGTTTGTTTGTTTGCAAACATGAACCGATGTCAACTTGCTTGCTTGTTACTTCTGTTTGGTGTGTGAATGACTAACCAACGATCCATCCATCTATCCCTTGTCAGTGTGTGTGTCTCTGTCTGTAATTGAACAAAGAGCTCATTCTAATTAGTTGATATCACTTAATATCTTTATTGACAGATAAGTTGAATTATATATATATACATTGAGGATATTGTTAGTTTGTTGTAGTAATAATTATTAATATATATTAAAACAAAATGAGATCATATATTTCATTATTGTTGATATCATGTCTAGTTTGGACTGTTATCATTGGTATGTTGTCTAATCACATCATTATGTTATAAATCCACATCTAACATCAATCAATCAATCAATCAACAATATAGGATGCCCTGATTATCCAACACCTGTAAAGATCGATACTCAACACCCAATCCTCTTAAAGGCTTATGCTGAAGTAGATGCTCTACTTCAGGAACGTATGCAAGAGAATGGTATCAAGAGTTTCATGGCAACAATTGTATATCAAGATGATCTAGTATGGTCCAACACCTATGGCAAGGTTAATCCTCTCGATCCAAACTCCCCACCTCTGTCCATTGATAACAAGTAAGTCATGATATCATTACTCAATCAATCAAAAGTACATCAAATCCTAACCAATCGAATCAATAGTATTCGTATTGCAAGTATTACCAAATCCTTTGGTACATTGATGATGTATCAGTTGCGTGATAAGGGAGTTCTATCACTTGATGAGCCAGTGAACAAGTATTACCCAGAGTTCACAATTATGAACCCATTCATAACAAAGAAGGATATTACTTTCCGTCAATTGGCATCCCATCAAGCTGGTTTGCCACGTGAGGTGCCTTGCAACTTTGACATGCTCGACGATCCAAACGTCTGCGGTGAAGAGACCATTATGGAGAACTTGGCCAAGTACATCTTGATCCTACCACAATACCAAACAGCCCATTATTCCAATCTTGGTCTGGCACTCTTGGGCAGGACCTGTGAGAAGGCTGCCAAGCAAAAGTACGAGGACTATGTCGAGGAGAAGATCCTTTCCCCATTGGGCATGGACCGTTCTACATACAACTACAGCGCCGTAAAGGACAACATGGCTATCGGTATGCATCTTGACAATGGTACATACAGTGTTGCCAACATCACCCTGTTTGGCTGGGGTACACCAATGGGCGGCCTGTTCTCTACCGGTCGTGATATGGCCAAGTATTGCAGCTTCTGGTTGTCTGATGGAGGTGATATCCTCGATAGCTCAACGATGAACGAAGCCATTGTGTCCACAGTCTACCTTGTCAACGATGGCCAGAGCTCATTCGGCACTCCATGGGAGACAATGTACAGCACCGGTCTCCAGAACAACCTTTGGATCCGTATGAAGGGTGGCGCACTTGATGGATACCGTTCTCAGTTGGCCATGGTCCGTGAGTACGGTGTTGGAGTGTTCTTCTCATCGCTCATGTACATCTCCACCCCAGACCTCTTTGTCGGCGACGCCATGAACATCCTCCTGCCAGCCTTTGACCAGGTGCTCCGTGAGGCTCAGGCTCCACCCGAGCTGTCTGGTTACCCTGCCGAGGCATTCATCGGTATCTACGAGTATGAGGGCTCAATCTTTAGAGTGCAAATGTTGAATGGCTCACTCCAGGCAGACTTTGGCGACGACAACTACTTTAGCTTCATGGACTTCTTGCCAGAGTTCCCCACCGTCAAGAGGATTCAAATCATGAACACCAATCCGTACATGTGTATGTTTATCAACGATGGTGAAAACTATGAGCTATGCTACTTCACGATCTCTGGCGATCACGCCACTAGTGCTCTAGTCATGGGACAAGAGATGCTGTTGACAAGCAAGGACCCTACGATCCCAATTCACCCTAAGCGATCCCACCACCGATTCCTACTCTGATCAATGTAAGATAGAGTGTGTATGTATGTCGGTCAGTCGGTCGTCAACAACAATACAACACATTAACAAACATGGACAGCTCAACAAGTCAATCAATCACTGACTTGATTGTTGCATCCACGCATCACAATGTCAACTATAACAACACACATACTCCTCATGAATGTACATCACTACCACCATGTTAATAAAGTTAAAGAGAGAGAGTATAATAGCCATTATAATTGAATGAATGAAGATGGGAGGGATTATTCGGCGCCATCAAAGACGACTCGACACACCCAATTCAATCAATCAATTAATCAATCAATATCAAGGATGATTACTTTCGATTCTCATCACTCATCACTGACATCCACAAGTTGAGTTCACTAACTAATCAGCTTGGATTGGATAGTGGTGGGTGTTTGTGCCAGGCGATGTAGGGTGTCCTGGGGGTACCGATGTGATAGTTCATTCACAGGAAGAGGTGATGGCGATCACTCACATGTGTTATGGATCATTTACAGTGGCAGGATACGGAAGTGGAGGAATAAAGAGGGACGAGAGTGGTGACAGCCGGCCAAAGCCATACTGGAAGTGCCATCAATGAATTAAACTTGCGGGTAGATTACCATTAGCTGTATATTGCCCATTGTCAACACATCACTTAGAACTGCCAAACGAGCAAATTTCCTCACCTTGATTACAATGTTGTCAAGTGGTGTGTGAGTGATGCCAAAGTGGTGCGGATATTGGCCATCATACAATGGCAATTCTGGCTTGTTTGGCTGGATGATGACCATCTCCATGTGGAGTTGTCAATGCGACACCCCCATCAATCTGAGGGGTTATGGAAATTTTAGTGATGGGGACGACCGATTTCTGATTCCAGGTGCTCTGGATTCTGTATTTAAATCAATCAACTTCATTCATTATCTTCTCCTCCATTCATTTATTCTTTTTATACTATATTACTATATTTATATCTCTTTTATTTATTATATTTTCAAAWTAATTATAATTACTTATTTATTAATAAATCAAATATAAAACAAAACTAAATAATTTCTATGTTTTTAAATAATCCATTGGTAAACAATGATGATAACTTGGTACTTCCATCGATCATCGAGATCATAAAAGAGAGTATTGACTCTGTACAAACCATCGAGTGTACAGACAATGTAACTCCTCTACTCTGGAGTTTAAGTTATGTCCTGACCGAAATTTCTAGGATTGGTGATAAGGTAAGTGATTGACCATTAAGATACAATATACATTAATCATACTAATACCAAGAATGTATATCAATACTTTATAGGTTATCGAACAAACTGGATACATTAATCCTTTGCATCAAACATTGTTTGCTTCAATCAAAGGTGATGCACCAACTATACATATTAAGGATTACTTGATCAGATTGCTCAAGTTCTCAAATTGTTCAAAGGAATGTTTCATTATATCAGTTGTCTATCTAAACAGATTGATCACCAAATCCAAGTTCATTATCAACTCTTCAAACATTCATAGATTATTGTTAACAACAATAATGATTGCAAACAAATATATAGATGGTATGTTACTGGCGATAAAAATCATTATTCATAATTACCTATCTAACTCTTAAACCTTCCTCTTTATAGACATCTTTAATGATAATAAATTCTTTAGTTGTGTTGGTGGTATTCCAGGTGCAGAGATGAATAGGCTGGAGATTGAGTTCCTTACTCTTATCCAGTATGATTTATCCTGTTCCCTTCAAGAATACTCAGAGTATTTTTCATTTCTGAATGGCTTAGTCTCTCATATTAAGTTAAGAAGACCATCTTCAGTTATCAATCAACCTTTAATTATTGTACACAATGCTTCATTGTCTTTGTGTTCATTATCTTCATCATCATCAGTATCGACAACCAATCCAACTTCAAATAATATAGATATTGCCAACTTAATTGCAATACTAAACAACAAATCAATAATTATTAATAATGATGGTCTTCAACGTGTCAAAGACAAGCGTCAGAATGCCATGTTTAGAAAGTCCATCATCCAAGTGCAGTCCTTATTCTCCGTTCCAACATGTTAGACACATTCTGGAATTGGTCAACATCATATTCATGTAAATAAATAACTTAACTATTTCCTAATAATATATAATCAAATCAATCCAGTAAGGTCTGGAAGGATGGGTTTATTACTTCTTGGTGTTCATTGTCTGATACTTGACCTTCTTTGGCTTCTTTCTGTCTCTGTTTCTGTTCTTGACGTTGTGTGTCTCGTAGAAGTGCACTCCGACCTTTTGCTTGTTGGTCTTCTTTCTCTTCTCCTTGGGCGTGGACTCATCCTCCGAGCCTACCTCTGGATAGGACTCGACATAGTCTTTCCTTGTCACTGGCTTGGCCTTGGACTGCTCTTGCAGCTTCTTGAAGTTTGACAGCAGTACCAGATGCTTGGGCTCCTCCTCCTCACCCTGCTCGACCTTTGCCTTCTTGTTCTTCTTCTTCTTCTCGGCGTCGCTGTCGTCACTGAACACACTATATTGCTCCTCATCCTCCTCCTTCTTTGACTTGGACTTCTTTACAACCTTCTTCTCTTTCTTTGGCGACTCTGTTACCTTTCGCTTGTTCTTGCCATTGGCCTTTGTCTGTGGCTTCTCATCTTCCTCCTCCTCGTCGTATTGCAGGTCACCTCCTGCCAGGTCTGCATCCACGTCAAAGTCCTCGTCGTCCTCGTCTTCGTCAAAGTCCAAAGATCCATCATCTTCGTCGTCGTCCTCTCCCTCGGCCTTTACTGCATCCTCTCCATCATCCTCCTCATCCTCGCTGAAGTCCTTTTGATACAGCTCGTCCCAGTCGGGCTCATCCTCGAATGGGTCGACATACTCGTCTCCCTTGGCGTCCTCCTCATTGAACTCGGACTTGACGTTTATCAGCCTCAGACTCTGGTTCACCTTGAGGTCGGCGTATAACAACTCCTTCTTGACCTTTGATTGTGTGGCATCAGCCTCACCCTCCTTGCCAGCCTCGACGACGGCATCCTCTGTCTTGGTCTCGACCTTGACCTCTTGCTTGAGCTCTGGCGCGAGCTCGGGAGGTGGTGTAAAGTAGGGGATCTTTCCACGCTGGTAGTCGTACAGGATCAGCTTGGCGACGGCGTTGAGATCTGGCTTGTTCTTCTTGAGCAGTCTTCCAGTGCGCTCGGCCATCTGTGTAAGGAAGTCCTCGTGGTCAGTCCAGTCGGCAATGTTGTATGTCTTGATCAGGTACTCCTTCTTGATACGTCTCAGCACCTCGGGCACGTACTCGGTGGCGTCCTCTAGGTTCTCGACACGGACCACACCCTTTAGCACCAAGTCCGACTCGGTATCGGCTGTAGCTGGCACCACACCCGGACAATCAATCAAGTAGATTCTCTTCATCAAAGTGATGTACTGCCACACCTTGGTCTCACCAGGGATAGGAGCAGCCTTACACACTCTCTTGGACTTTAGTGTGTTAATGATTGAGGACTATAATATATAGAGTGATTGAGTTAGTATATGGAATCATTCCATTGATCAATCAAACAAACACATACCTTTCCAACGTTTGGATAACCGATGAAACCGACAGAGATCTCCTTCTTGTCGGAATGGAGCTTGCTGAACTGACGGAGAAGTTGGATGAGTGCACCCTTACCAAAGGGGTTGGTGATACTGGCGTGGAAGGCGAGGGTTGGGTACTCTTGCGAGAGGATCTTGACCCAACGAGCGGTGGCCCATGTTGGCACAAGGTCACACTTGTTGAGCACAAAGATCAGATGCTTGTGACGAGAGTTCTTCTTGAGCTGGGACTCGAGATGGCGGGATCGGGTGCCCATGGGGTCACGAGCGTCCAGCACCTGCACCAGCACGTCGGACGAGTCGACCACCTTGTACAGCTCACCCCAGATACGCTTGGATGTACCCTTGTCAAAGATGTCGAGACGACGAGTGTCCCTGAGATCGAGCTCCACCTTGATGTTGGAGTCCTTGGTTTCGTCGTACTTTTCCACGCCCTGGTTGGCCTTGTTGAGCATCGAGTCGTAGTCGACGAGGCCGCTCAGGTTTGGTCTCTTGCGTTGACGCTTGGGGCCGAACGTCTGGTCGAACGACTCGGTGGTCAGCAGGTTCATCTGCGTCTTCTTGGTCGAGTCCTTGAGCAGGCCGAGCGGCAGCGTGTTGGCCTTGAGCAGAACCTTGAACGGGTTGTCGACAGTGTTGTTCATCTCTTGACGGAAGGACTCGAGCTGGTCCTGGCCCACAGAGCGAGTGTTGCCAAACCAGCGACGGTCGGGAGCGATACGAGTGTCGTGCGATGTGTCCTTGGACATGTATGCTCCACCGATCAACTTGCCCTCGCGTGTCCTTATAGGGCGCTCGCTATACATCTGCAGACGACGAATAGTCGACCTTGATCTCATATGTGTTGCGCCCTTTGGCACCACACGATCAGGATTAGTCTGAACATTCGACTTGTTGACCCTGTTTGTGAAACTGTTTGCTTGATGTTTTCTTGGTGGTCCCATTATATTTATATTTATATATGTATATTTATATATATATGTATATGTTATAATGTGAAGTAATATATTTGAATGAATGTGAGTGATAGTGAGTGAGAGAGTTGATGTGATTGAGGTTGAGAAAGGGAATCGACCCCTCACGACCACACAAGAATCGTTCGTTTTTGAATTTTTTCATTTTATTTAATTAATTTACGCAAACCATGGTGTTGTGCGAGGGTATGTCTGTGAGGGTATGTCTGTCACTCACGCGTGAGGGCAAGGGTAGATCATACTACTACTTTGAAGATAGTTATACGATTGAGATATGTTATATTGACACCATCATCTGTGGGGGATTGATACCATCTACGACCTTGATTGATTGAGAGTGCAAGACCATGGGTGCGATCAATCATTCGAATTATCCTGAGATCAGTCTGTTCACGTACTTGGTATGTTGAGACGTTTGGAAATGCTTTGACCAACTTGCCAATCATTTCAAAGTTGCTATCAACGTATAATGAGTGAAGATGGAAATCACTACCTGTTTGTCCAAATTTATACAGTAGCATGCAGGCCACTTTGAATCGTTTGACTGTGCGTGGTATGACGCCATCTTGTAGGTATCGTAATGGTGCTTTAATGTCCACCAGACATTGTTGTGGAAATTCGACGACGTCTTGATTGTATAATGAACCAAGGGTGAGTTTGGTGAGGGACTGTGGCAGACATCCTGCAGGCAATGGTTGTGAATACTTGTAGGCAAACTTGAGCGTGGTCAATGATTGCGGTAGAGTGCCAGGTTGGATTGGCAACTGAAAATTCAGTCCAAACTTGATTGTTGTTATCGATATGGCCTTGTCCAAACCCCATAAGGACACTTTGTGTCTGGAGTTGTAATCAAGGTAGGTGAGCGTTGGTGGGATGGATCCAGGAATCATTTGTTCCCCACTTCTTCCAAATCCTTCGAGACAAAGTTTGGTCAAAGAGATTGGTAATACACAACCTTCTCTGGGTTGCTCGCATAGGGTGAGGAATGTGATGGAGTCTGGGAGGTCGGCCAGAGCAGCCGCATGTGAGTGTGATGTCATGCTGGCGAGTGACGGGGGCAAGCAACCCGGTCCAAGTTCTTGGTTGTATGAGTTGTTTTCGAGATTTAGTGTAGCAAGTCCAAGCGGAAGTGTACCAGGTGCCAGTCGTTGTTTGAAGCTTCGTCCGAGCTTGAGTGAGAGAAGTGATTCGGGCAGCACGCCAATCGCGATCAGCCGATTGAACCGCGGTCCCGTCGATAGATGAGTGAGTGACGAGGGCAGGGTACCCGGCGCGATGACCATATCATACTCTCTAAACTTCAATTTGGTGATCGATGATGGCAACATGTTTGGTTGGAGTGCCAGATTGAAATGATCAAGGATCAGTTCCTTTAGTGAAGGTGGCAATGAGGTAGGGATGATATCACGGGTCCAGATATCCAATATGCGCAGGGACTGTGGCAACACGCCGACTGGGATTGGCGGACTGCCCGGCATGTAGTAGGTCAACGAGGTCAGAGTGGATGGCAGTGTTCCAGGTGTGAGAAGATACAACCAGTACAACGAGAGTGTGGCCAGTGCTGGAGGCATATCCAATGGTATCTGGTGGTGATGATATTGAGGGTCATAATAGTCATCATCATCATCATCAATGTGCAAGTGTAACTCGGTTATTCCTCTCGGGATGAGTGAGTGATCAATGTCTTTGCTCCATCGCATCAACTCTAGACATGTCACTCTATTGTTGTTGAACTTATCACCATAGTCTGTCAACTTTGTTATATCCAATACATCTACACTGTCAATCTTATGTAAATGATCTGCTATTATTATCTGTTTGTTTATAAAGATTGTTAACAATCTATTACATGTAAGTGCCAAACATATCAAGTCTAAGTCATCCAGGCACTTGAACACTTGTACCAATACCAAGTCTGGTAATACAAGTATATCTTTATCTTTTTGTTGATACATTCACTCATTCATCAATGTATCAAATATTATTACATTCTTCAACTTTTACCTTTATCCTACCCTTACCCTCGCCCTCACCCCAACCCTTGCCCTCATTAGGGTAATTGATCAATCAATTAATAATGATATATTGGTACGAGTGATTGAAGTGAGATTGGCCTTCGACATAGTGGACATTCTGCCTTGCTGTTGCACCATTCTGCCAGACAATACCAACAGAATAGATGTCCACATACTGTTGACGTTGTGTTCTTCCTTGTCTCTAGACATAGAGTGCATTTGCCCTCACTCGAAGTCTCCTCCTCATCCTGTGCATTATATTGTGTTTCATCCATTGATTGTTGAGAACCATCTGATGATGTTGGTGAACTACAAGGTAGTAATTGATTGGATGAGTGAGTGAGTGGAATAGTTCCAATGATTGATTGAATGAATGGACTTACAAGAGTGACTCTATACTGAGATCCATTCGTTTGGAAAAGAATGAGTTCTCCTTTAGGTATATGATGGAGGAGACGATCAATTGAATGATGATCAGTAGTCCAAGGATGTGATATTTAGGACGACGTTGATCAACTTTGCGATTGAATATATAACGTATGTTGGAAAGACGTTTGGAGAACTCATAGTATGAGCCATTAAAGTAGAATAGTGCAAGATGTAATCGCTCTAGCTTGGGCATCAACTCTTTCAATGAGAACAGGTTGGGAAAGCGCATAAACACCTTTGGTATATATCTACGCACGAGGTATGGTGCCAGCAGCTGGAAGAACAGCAGACGACACCTATCCTTGATGCCTGGTATCGTGAAGCTGCTATCCTTGATCTGTCTCAGATTACAATACTCCTCGCCAAGTGTCTGCGCTCCAAGCATCGTCGTCAATATAAAGTAAGACAAGTTTGATGCGAACTTTGATTCATTCTGTCGATTGATCATCACTCTAGGGCCTGTTAAGAGTGCAATGTAGTTAACTAGTTAGTACTCCATTCATTCATTCATGTCAACCAATCAACCTTATACTAACCTGCTAGACGAGTCAAGATCTCAAAGACCTGCTCTTCAAAGAGACGCTTGTAGAAGTCATCCTTTTGGGATGCTCGGACAATATCGGGTTGGTCTGCGTATTGTGGAAAGAGTCCACTTGTCGCTCTGTTTAGTTGAGGTACGACAAGTCTACGTTGTCCACTACTAGGGCTACTACCACTACTACTGTTACCAGTTGCATTGTTGCCCGTTGCAACACCAACTCCTCTATTCCTATTTACAAGTGTATTTACATTCCTACTACCGCTACTATTACTATCTATTGTTCTATTTACAATTTGTGAAGGACTACTACTAATGTTGTTGTTGTTGTTGTTGTTGATCATTGCATTATCTGATGATGATGTTGTTGTAGTTGTTGGTACTGTACTAGTCGTACTACTATGTTGTCTATTCAATATATTAGATGATAAGAGAGTGTTTGTTCTATGTCTATAATCACTCATTCTCTATCTCTATCTCTTTAACTCCAATTCAAGAATGCATGAACATTCATTCAAACACAACCCAATTTGTTCTCGAGGGTCGAGGGTAGGGTAAGTAAGGGTTGAGGGCGAGGGCTGAGGGTAAGGGTAGGGTATTATCTCTTAAATATAATAATATATTCCTTTATTATTACTTGTGGTATTATCCATAAATAATATTGATTGACTGGTTATACACATGACGTGGAAATGGTACAGAGTTGCTGATTCACTCAACCATTATTGATTGATTGATTGAATGAGTACAGCGATAGTGATTGTAGTTGTTATAATGAATGATTGAATAATAATAATATGATATTATCTCTCCCTCCTTGAACTGTTGGTAGAGTATAGATCACTGAGTAGGAGTTCCAGTTCCTCTTTGGAAAAGTCACTCTTCTTGGAGAATGACTTGGCCCAGGAGAAGCCCTTCATTCGCTTGTCCAATGTAGGCAAGATAATGGAACCATCCTCATATATTGTACAACAGTATCTGTCATTGTCGCCGGCTGTACCACTGCTAATATGGCCACCATTGGCATTGCTGCTTGATGAGGTGATATTGTTGATATTATGGTGATGTTGTTCAGCGTTGGTCGATGCTGATGGTGTTGGCTTGGCGGCTACGAATGAGTTTGATACAGTTGCAGCGGTAGTGGCTGGTGCGGCGCTAGTGGTCGTGGTCTTCCAACAAGTGATCAAGAAGTTGTCCAACTGGATTGGATAGTAGAAACTATACTTGTTGGAACCAAAGTTCCTGCTACACTCCAACTCAAGTGAGCATATCAGTTCTTGTTGAGGTGGTACCATTATTGTGTATTGTATTATGTATGTATGAGTAGGTGGATATTAAGTATGTACAGGGATGCGTGCGTATGTATATATATTAATTAATAAATATGTATATGATTGATTGTATATATGTGTAATAATGAACAAAGTGATGGATATTATGATATCAGTGCCTGTTGTGATTCAGTTGTCATCTACGAAAAGAGATAATGGTTGGGGTTGAGGAGTGATGAGGTGGAGTGGTGGATGTGGATGAGGAGGCACCTTGTTGATTGGCTGGCTTAAGGTGATGTGATGTAAAGCCTAGCTAGGCACTTTAAACCTTAAAAGAGGGAATTTCCCTTGGTTGTTTGTTTGCAAAGTTGTTGACAAGTCAGCGAACAAGTGAGTGAGTGACTTATGATTGCGTGTGGTTGGTTGTTGTTGTTGGTCTACAATGAATGAATGAATGAGAATTGAAGTGATGGAGGTCCAAATATGTCAAGGTGGAGTCAAGGAGATGTTGTTGTGATTTAAATATAATTAAGTAAATGAATTATAATTATATGTTGTGTTGTGTGATGTTGTTGTTTGTTTGTGTTGTGTTGATTATTATATCTGTATCTGGAGAGACTTAAGTATGTTGGTGATTACTTCGGAGGAGGAGGAATCAAATTGAATGGGGTTAAGGTATTGCCTCTTGTTATGTGTGTCTTTGTATGTGTATGATTGATGATATTGGTGTGGCTGATGGATGACCCTTCATGTAGGCTGTCACTCTGCCTATTGGTACAATGTGTAACACACACTAAACCACAAGATAAAATCAGGATGATGATGGAGGTGTTAAATGTGATTGGGCATTATCCAATACAGTAACCACATCACAAATACTACAACGATATTTCCATTGATGAATGAATGAGTGATGAATAAAATGGGGAGCTAGCCCAAACACTCCCCCCTTTGGTATTGATACCCCAACAAACAAAGTACGATCAAGATGAGTGCCCAATGCAGGGATTGCAAACCATAAAAACACACCTCCACATCCCATCCAACACCATGCAAATAATTGAAGATTGTTTGATTTGGTTTGAAAGGTTGTGGTTTGTTTGTGTGTGTGTGGGTAAGTGATGACTTTCCAATCATCGACATCCAGAACTAGTTCTGCAGAATGAATGACACCTGTTTGATATCTATGTGTTCACCAATCATTCATTCATTCATTAATGAATACGATATTGATTGATTGATGTGATGTCCAACTGTTTGATCAAGGATGAATGAAAGAATGATTGAAAGAATGAATGATCTTAGACAATGCACAAACTTGTGCACTATTATCTTTGGGTCTTTACTTGGATCGTCGTCAATACCAAGACAGCATTGTACCATTACATTACATTACAGATGAAGTGATCCTAAATCCAGTTTGGTGTCATCGACAATGTCATTACGATTGATGTTGTGGTTCTGTCTCTTTTTGGCATCGGATGCATTCTTTTCCTCCTTCATCAACTGTTTCCTTTGTTTGTTGCTCATATTTCTTGTATCCACTTCCTTCTCACTTGAATAATCTTCCTGTTCCTTCTTCTTTATACCCTTATAAGGGTTCTTTGAAACTTTGGTTGTTGATGAAGTTGATGTAGTTGATGTAGTCGATGTCGTGGATGTTGTTGAAGTTGTTGAAGTTGTTGATGTACCATCATCAGTATCATTAATCTGTGATTGTAATATTATAAGATAATCGATTGCAGCATCTGGATCACCACCACAATCTTCCAATGCCTCTTTGACCATCTTTACACTGGTGCAGCCAGTTGCCTCCATGATTTGGAATACCTCATCATCAATATATGTGTTGTTCTTGCTATTTACAGTGTTGCCAGTTGCGCTCATGTTTGGCACGATTGCTGCGGGGGCATTGCCATTGTTGCCCACGTCAGCCATGCGCGCCACACCAACTGGTCGCACACTATTATAATGTTCATCATTGTGATATGACAGATGGATGGTCTTGTACTTGTCGCCCACATAGTTGATGATCTCCCAGCGCGGCTGGTTCACCTGGTGAATGGTGATGTTGATCTGGTAGATGAGCGAACAGACTTGTATCTCGACGTTGCCGCCCCAGCTGCCATTCTTGCGCATCTCCACGATGTAGTCCTCGAACGTCTCAAACTCCTCGTCATCGATGAATGGCGCGTACATCTCTTTGTTCTTCTCGATAAAGTTTACAATGTTTTGGCGGTACTTCATATGTTGCTCTGGATTGTCCTCCATCTGATCGGCAATGGATCTAAACAAACAATTACCATCACCTGCCACATCCTTTATAGTGAATCCCTGTGGTTCCAGTTGATCCATGAATGCTTTGAATGATTGTTTCCATTTAGCATCCTGTTAAAGTGATTGATTGATTGATTAGTGACATCATCAATTATAAGATGTGTTCAAATGTAATCTTACACCATGCTTCATGCGATCTGCACGTCGCCGCAATGACTGTTTCACAAGTCTATCATGTTGCTTGTTGTTATTATTGTTGTTATTTCTTGATTTGTTTCCCTTCCCCATTATGATGTATTTGTCACAGATATGTACTTAAACAACACTGTGATAAATAGATAGATTGATCGTATGTGATTGTATGAACAGAGAGTAGTATTACTAATAATAATGATTGATTGAATGAATAAGAGAGTGATTGTTGATGAAAGTTGAGAAAGCTAGAAGTTTGTCAAAAATGTTAATGAAAGAAAGAAATTTCAAAGAACCAACAGTCAGCGTTTTTCCAAATTGAATCACTTCCTAACTTTGGCGATTACATTTAATATTCGATTCCAATTGGAATTGTTCCAGTCAGTGCATCATAATTGATTATTAGAGATAAAAAAGGGTTTGGATTTAATGTGACGTCAACTGTTTGTTGGATGACGATGATTGATGGAGGCCAAGAGTACTGACCCGCCAAACATAACGAGTGTGATTACATGATATATATAGCTTAACGCAACTTGTTTGGCTGAGTAGTCAATCCCTCCTCAATTCCATCGAGCAGATGCATCAACTTGTTCGAAGCGAGGTTGGTGACCTCCTTTAGCTCCATAATGTTCTGGTTCTCGCCAGCCTCGAGCAGACCAGACAGACGCTCGGTGGTCTTCTCCAGATCAGACTGGAGGAACTCAAACAGGTTCTTCTCGGTGCCCTCGTCCAGGTAGAATCCAAACACGTAGGTATACTTGAGTGTACGACGGCACTGGATCAGGGTCTCGGTCGATGTCTCGATGAACTTGACGTCGATCCAACGCTTGTCCTGCTTGCTCTGCAGTGCCAGAATAGTGTCGAGGGCGTCCTTGCGAAGCTTGGTCTCAAACTTCTTGCTCTGCTCATGAGTGTTGTAACGATGAAAGTAGAACAAATATCTCTCCAACGCCTTCTTTGTATCAGACTTGTTGCTGTTTCCTTCCTTCTTGTAAGAGTTACATGAGCTATGTCCTTTCCAATCTCCCATACATATCCAACAGAATTCATGAGTACATTTCTTACATGTCTGGTTGTGAGGTGAGTGATTGGATGATGGGTCAGTGAGTGATGAATCATTGATTGAGCCTGGAGTCGAGTGATGTAATGTACATACCATATGATTGCAACCTCCATTCTTCTCAATGGCAGAGTGACACTTTGGACAATCTTGTGTATGAGTCTGGATCCAGTTGGCAGTCTCAGAGTCATCCTCATTCTTCTTCTTCCACAGCTTGATTTGCTCACAGCTGGCTGGTACGTGCGATTCCTGGTTGCACTTGAAACAGATCCTAAAGCCACATGTACATTGAGCAACAGACTCTGACTGGCTGTCACTGTATTGTGGGGGCGGTGTGTAAGTGAATGATTGATCATGTCCTGTCCTGACTTGTACTTACGCTTTCAAAGCATTTCCACAACCTGCAGTTGGACACCATCTCATGTTTGGATTCTTGTCGACGAATGTTAGGGCCAGTCTCTCCAGGTACTTTTGGTAGGACTCTGGTACAACTGTCTTGATGAAGCTGTCAGACACAATATGTGAGCACTTAAAACCAATACATGTGATGCCCATTGACTCTCCCTCTGCTATCTTTAAAGAAAGATAACTCTTCCAACATGTAGAGCATGCCTGTTGATGATGATGTATGATAGTTTGTTAGTTGAATGTTTGTCGAACTTTGATTGATTGAATGAATGATCATTACATACATAATGTTTACAAGATAGATAACAAGTGTTATGAGTATCCATTGTATCACAACAGACGATACATTCATGTTGTGTAGAGGTGTTGGCTACAAACTCCTCCTTGTCGGGAACGCCAGCCTTCTTCTTGACGCGATCGGGGTTCTCGTAGTACTGTTCGAGCAGCTTGTTGCCATTCCATTGGTAGTGCATCAACATGAGCGTGGCGGCACAAGGCGACGACTCTGTGATGTCCTCAATGCGATGGATCTCCTCCAGTGCCGACTTGATGAGATCGGCCGCCTGTAGAACAGTGTTGGACGTGGCCATGGCCTCAATGACGGGCTCGTCAAACTGATAGTCGTCGGCATCGCCATAGTACTCTTCGTCGCTGTCGTCATAGTCGCCTCCCTGGCTCGAGTCAAACGATGTATTTACATTGCTGCTCGTGCGCATTTTCTTTGATGGCTGTCTCTGTGACTGGGAGTGCTGCTGTTGTGACAATACTGATGTGCCCTGTCTCTGTAGTTGACTGACTGCTGTAGTTGTTGATGTCGTTGTCTCCTGTATCGTTGTTGGAGCTGTCGTCATTGTTGTATCTGGTGCAGATGGATTGGATAAACTATATATAAACTCAATGGCACGCTCTAATGACACACACTTTGTCTGTTCAAGTGCCAGCCTTGACACCTCTGCATCAAAGCCCATATCAATCAATTGGGCCATCAGTTGATCCATCTTCTTCTTCAATTATATATATATCTATGTTTCTTTGTTTATCTAATAATATACATGTACAGATGATAATGATTAATTGATTATTTGATTGATTGGACTTGAGGCGTGGTCTTGTCAAAGTTGCATGCTCCCCCATCTTGTGTCTCTTCCCCCACCTTTTCCAACAAGTTTCCTCAAGTCGGAGTGAATGCGTTAGGGCGAGGGTTAGGGTAAGGGCAAGGGCAAGGGCAAGGGCAAGGGCAAGGGTAAGGGTTCACATATTTAAAGATAGAGTAATCTCTTGTGGATATTACCAAGTGGACCTTTCTCTGATTCAATCCAAGAGGCATGATTGATGTCTCTTCTTTGACCGACAAGTTGGAACTCTGGTTCAAATTGAATCCTGGGTCAGTCTTAGATTGATTGGAATCAACATTACCAAGACTGATACAGTCGATATAATTACCAATATCGTCAACATCACTGATAACAAGTTGACTTAATATTATTGGTAGAGCATTAAGCATGCTTTATTACATGTAATAACTTGTGAATGGTTGATTGCATGATTGAATGAATGAATGAATCCGCGCAAGACTGATTCTTTTCATTCACGCAACGCCACTCATTGGCGGCGCACTCACTTGCGCACAGGAAGACCCATGAAGAAGGATCGTGCCAATTTGCCAGGGTTGTAGATAGCAATCACGTCTTGAAGCATGTTGGTAGTATGTGTAAAGAGGCTGCTAAAGTAGGTGGGCTCAATGTTGAGGTAGGCGTAGGTGATCTCGAGTTGTGTGGACACACGCAACAGTGGCGACGATGTAGACGAGCTAAGACTCTGGTTGCGACGATGTCCCGCTCCACTACCGCCCTTGGGCGACAACATATCTTGTTGTTGTTGTTGCTGTTGATGCAGTTGCAACAAGTTCTGTGGCAGTGGAAGTGTGGCGCTCTGATTCCTCTGATGGGTCACTGTTGGAGTGATGAGAGTCGTGGTCGTGGCCATAGTCGGGAGCGGTGATGTTGGATTGGTGAGTTGCTTCCCTATCGTCGTCGTCTGCAGGGGGGATGTTGGGAGTGATGAGTTTGGCAACTCCTTCTTGAATGTTGATGTTGTTGTTGTGGATGTTGATGATGAGGTCGAAGCCAGGGCTGAAGTTGTGGATGGCGATGAAGAGTCATTGTTGACTGTGAATGTCACGCCGTGTGGTAGGGACTTGGAATCGACCAGATAGATCACAATGCCAAACAATGGGAATGACTTGATCAGATGAAGTAATAATGAAAACATTGATAGTAGCACAGCCAGGCCAGCCTTGAACATTGCAAAGAAGTAATAATAGATGGACGTCGTTGGGAACAAGAAGAAGATCAATGTGAACAAGAGTGTGCCCAACAACAGCTGATATTGATCAAAGTCGCAGCTATCAGTTCTCTTTCGAAGTGGATTATACTTGACACCTGATTGATTGATCGAGTTAGTAAGTAACTTGATTGATGGGATGTCCGGACCATATATACCTCTGAACAGATTCCAAAGTGACTTGAGTAGGACTAGTTGAAGTAGATAGAACCTGGCAGAGACACTATAGAATACACTGATATGTAATGTAAAGATGGAGAAGAGGTCGATGATAACGCTGACCAGAACAGAGATACCAAACACGCCACTCATACACACAATCTTGAGTATGATGCCTCCATGTGGAGAGAGTGTAGTAGTGATCACTGATTGATTGATGAGTTAGCATGGACGACATGATTGATCGAATGATTGAAGAACTAACTTACAATTCCACTTGTCAATGTAATAAAGGATTAGACGTCCAAAGAACTTGTCGAGGTTCTCATTCAGTTTGAAGCCGGCAGGCCAGCCCATCAGCCATAGGATGAGGTTCTTTAGGATGTCGTTGGTGATCATGTTGTTCAATCCAATGAATGCGTCCAGTACATAAGGTGCGAATCGATGTAATATATATCCCGCAACAATGCCCAACAGTATATCATTGAGTAATAGCCAACATCTATTGTAGAACCTGAGTATGTGTAATGTGAGTGATCTGGCCTGGAATCATTCCCTTTGATTGATCTTCCACTTACTCTATATATAATGATCGATCTTGATTGTTGTTCAACCAGTACTTCTTCTCGCGGAGATGATGGTACTGTTTGATCAACAGTTTGAACTCGTCGATGCGACTGTCCAGCAGACCGCCCAGGGTCGTCAGGTCTTTCAGCTTCTTGTTCTTGAAGAATGGCGCGTCCATGTTGAGTATCTTGAGAAGCAATCGCTCAAACAGCTTGAACAATATGACCAAGAGGTAGAGCGGTGCCAGTAACAATCTGAACAGTCCTCCACCATTGTTTGGCTTTGACTTCTTATTTCCACCATCGATTACTACATTGTTGTTATTGTTGTTTGTAGTTGTTGACTTGGTTGTTGATGATGATGTATCGTCTGAGGTGTTGGTCTTTCGTCGACGCCATCGAAGAATAGAACTGTTGAATAGTGATGATGAGGATGACGATGAAGATGTAGTAGCCTCATCACTTGTCGATTGAAGAGGATGTGTCAAACGGTACATCTTAACCTTCTCCCCAAGTATCATCTTGATGTCATTTGAGCAGTTGATCTTTAAGTAAGAGAGTGTTAGTCCAGCTATGGCCCTGATTGTCGCGCTCCATCCATCCATCACTCACCTGCTTGAAAGTCGACTCGAGGTCTGAGCCATAGGATTGCTTGGGCTTGTTGTTTGTTGACGAGGACGGCCCTGATGTGGCCGAGTTGGTGACTGGGGAGAATACTGTGTTTTGAGTCGAGGCAGCTGCAGCACGGCCTGAAGCACTGTTGGCTGTGGGTGACTGACCGCCTTTGTTCAGTGAGCTGGGCGTGAAGCTGATGGGTATTGATGTGTAGTAGTATGGTGAGGAATCGTCGTAGAGCACGATCTGCGACGAAGTCTGGAACTTGTACTCATTGCAATAGATCTTCTTGAGACATGGCACGCCGTTGCTGCTTCGCTCCATTGATATCCAAATGTCGACGTCATGTAGGTTGCTGGGCACGGGTTGGAACGTCTCGCTGACGCTGCCATCATCCCCATGTCTGCTTATCCACTCGCCCAACACTCTAGGTTGTCCAACAGGACATGTAAGCATTCGTTTATCATAACTCAACTCTCTAAGTATACCTTCAAGATCTTGTATCTATTTGAATGAGTTGAATGAGTTGAGTTCAATGTGAGTGATTGAGTTGAGTTGATTGATTGATTGAGTTGAATATACATACAGGTACATCAGATATGATGTCAACAACACATGCGACGAAACTTCTGGTGTTCCATCCGATCAAGTAGCCAGACTTCATATCATTACATCTTATGGGCCAGAAGATCTTGCTATAAGGCTTTGGCGCCGATGATGTATAATGTGGCTTCCACATCCCACTTTCTTCTCTCTACTTGTTATGATGATGTATATATATAATCTGCTTGTTGTCTATCTATCTATCTATCTAATGTTGTTGTATATGTATATGTTTGAGATGTTGTTTGAGATGTTGATGATGATCAATGATTCATTGATTCGTTGTTCGGGTCGTCATCAACAATGAATGAATGAAATTGTTTCACACGAGCCAAAGTGGATACTTCAATTGAATGATGAGTCAGCTGACCAATTATACCGGTCCAATCAATCATGTAGGGTAGTACCTTCGGAAGTCCAATAACCAAGGTCACTAACCTCAAGAGTTGACCCAATAATCAATCAATCTATCCCAACATCCCACAATCTCCAACCCCCAACACACATTACTAACTACCTCAACAACTTAGAGAGGTTGTACCATTGAATTCATCACACAAAGGATCATCATAAGATAGTTAGTAATATATAGAGATAGATAGATAGAGATAATGGTAGACTACGATAAAGAACCATCATTGAATGTATTAGATGGTAAACAATCCAGTAATAATACTGTATATTCTAATGAGATGCATGGATATGAAGGACAATCAAATGAACCTCTGAAACCAGATGAACCATTATTGCTCAGACTTCAAAAGAAGTTCACCATACCTCCAAAGCCCAAGACCATACTAGAAGGTGCAAAGAGAGACTATATGTTGGTTGGAGGTATGTAAATTATTAAGCCATATCCAGGAATGAATGATTGAATGATGCTAACAACCTTCGGAACTTGGACTTTTAGGTATCTGTTTGACAGTGACAATGTTGTCATTGGGTGTCTGGAATCATGTCAAGGGTGGAAGTGCAATAACTACAACTAGATTCCTTAGAGCTAGAATATGGGCACAAGCTACAACTGTTGCCTTGATGGGTTTCTATGCCTTTAACTATCAAAAGACATTGGATGATGAGACCAGGAAGAACCAAAAGGTCGTGTTGAACTGAGAGACCAGAGATAGAGATAGAAAGAGGATCTATAAATGTACAATTTATTTACAACAACAAGTAAACTTATATACTTGTCAATGTATAAGAGATGTCAACAGAATATGTCTGGCTCGTGCTGATGATATTCGTTGTGATGCAGCCATTAGATTGATAAGGTCCGGTCGATTGAGATGTAATTGATTGATGCTATCAATGTACTCTTGTTCTCTGTTTGTAACCTGTGTCGATAGATTGATCAAAAGCTGACATTCTAGATTGGATGTTGCAGATTCTTCTTCTTCAACGTCATCATCATCATCATCATCCCTACTCTCTCCATCAGAGTTGAATGACATATCATCATCTGCCTCATCATCATCTTCATTTATATCAGCACCATCATTCTCATTATTAACATTTGATTCATAGAGATTGAAACTCTCATCATCTTCATCCTCATCATTGTGTTCTTGCTCTTCTGCGCCAATATCAGCAACAACATCACTGACATTGTCATCTGCCATCAAGTCATTGTTGTTGTCATTGTTGTTGATGTTGAGTTGTTGGTCATGTTGTTGTTGTTGTTGTTCATTGTCATTGTCAATGTCATTGTTGTCTTGAAGATCCATAACTCTTTGAACATTGAAGAGATAGAATGACTTTAACACTGACCTCATTCATTCACTTGAACCCTGACACCAACACACACAACAGCATCGCCCCATTTTTACCAATTTTGGAATACAGATGAACTACTCCATTTGGTCTATTACTCAATTTGGATGGATTCAATTACATGTTTATCACAACCCCATTGGCCCAGGGACCGACTACTACCACCACCACTACCAACATCCTCTCTCTCTCTTTCTGTTCTAAGTTGTTGTTGTTGTTGTTGTAGAAGGATATGGAATGAGAATGAAGTTGTTTGATTGTCAAGAGAGAGAGTGATATACTTATTTACTCAAACTCAACAACTTATATATATATTATATGTATACATATATTATGTATTTATGTATGTATGTAATATAATAATAATATTGATTAAACAAATAATACATAAATGTGTCTAAAGGGAGAACTATGTGTGTGATTTAGTTTTACAACCTTGCCCTTCATCTCCAATACAAGTGTTTCGTCGATTGTGGTTCACTCTCCCTGACACTAGCACCACACACTCACTTACACACACAGCCCAATGTTCAACACCACGTACCACCTTAAAGGCAGGCTGGACGGGAGGCTGGGAGTCAGACTCATTCATGAGCTCCTACATCTTTAAACACACACATTAGACAGGCAGACAGACAGACACCTTCACCAACCCACTCACACTACCTTTAACACATACACATAATACAAACATTATGGAGTCCAAGGGCTTACTTACTTCCTTTGGCAATGCTATTGTTAGTGTTGTTGCTGTTCCTTTCAGGAAGTGTGAATGAATGACAGAACATCTTCACTTCTCACTCATTCACTCATTCATTCATTCATTGTCTCACTACTACTACTACTCTTTACTCAATTGTACATACACATATAACTAAACAAACATAATCAATACCAATCCAAATCAAACTCAAACTCAAACTCAAACTCCAATTCCATCCAAACTCTCATAAATAGTTTCCTAATCTTTCAAACACAATCAATCCATCTGCACCTGCTTCATAGAGTTGATATGCTGCAAAAACGACCAATCGATAAATGTAGGTTATATCTATTCCACAACCAATCTGATAACAATGACAATCAAAGATTCAATCATTCATAGATGGAAGTGTTCGTTTGTATATATGTTATTATGTAGATGTAAATATTCAGTTGGACCAACAACAACAACCAATTCTTTGAACTAACTGGTCCCATCGTGGATGGACCAGTGGAGCCAATATTATTGCCATTTACATCAATGGGCATTGTGCTCAATGTATTAATTTGGTCCTAGGACAGACAAAAGACAAATGGACGAACTGATTGGATGGATTGATGGGCCACCAACTGCCATGATGATGATGATACAAACAGATGTTAGATTGCCAGATACAGAGTCTTCGATACCAACATCATACATCCATCAATCACCAACCCCAAACACATACACTACACACACAAGATAATTGATCAAAGCCCATTGCATCGTAACCTTATTGTGACACTGTAATCATTGAATGGCGTTGTCGATAAGTGATCGATGCATCACATCACACAAAAGCCCAATAACCAACGTCAATTTCACGACGGCAATGACAACAATAGCACTGGCCGCTGGCCAAAGCTTAGCCAACCACCACCACACATATCAACAAACTCCAACTCAAGGGACTGATGTAATTCCATTCAACATGTGGAGTACACATACTTCTTGATTCATACACATAATAACACTTACACAGTCATACATTTCGATACGTACGACACCCCACCACGCATCGAGACACACCACAGTGATCAGCCGCACTCACCCACCCACTCGTTGGAATACATATACATGTACATCGTCCATGTCATCGTCACATTCATTCATACATACATTCATACAACAAACACAACGTCAACTACCACCGCTTCATCCTCTGCCACTTATGTGTGATAATGCTTCGTTGGGATGACAGTCAGTGCTCAGAGGGAGGAGGGAGTGAGCCGGGAGTGTGTGGTTATCTCTAGGTATCCGACACACCCTGGCGAACAACTTCCTTCTTAAAACACAGACATGTCGTTAGTTTAACTTGGGGGCTTCCACACGGGCTGCCTGCCTGCCAGCTTCAACTACAGCTAGTCTGTGTTCGTGTCCAATTCCATTGGATTCAAATAACTTATTATTGCCACCTCAATTACCATTGACATTTATCACCATTATTTATTTCGATAGAACTATATTATAATATTACATTAACATTTACCTTTTTTTTTGTACTACTACTACCACCTTCCTTCACTTCACTTTCAACTCTTTGTGTGTACCAATACTATTACCTTTCAAACTCCTACTCTTACTCATACTCATACTTCCAAACCAACCCAAACTTAAATACATATCTTAAAGAATATTCCAGGAGCATGATAAAACAATAGAAGAAAGAAATACATATACACAATCAAAATAGCAATCATATATATATATACAATATACAACATACAATGAATTTCTCCAATGAAAGAAGGGATGTCCCTCAACAAAAGGATTCCAACAGATCATCATCGTTTATGAACTTTACAAACATTCCACAGCAGTCAACTCAGTTCCCACCACATCAACTCCTCCAGCAGCAGCAACAACAACAACAAGCCAACTACGCGCCACCCAAATTCCAATACACCAAACCAGCAGAGCCAATTGCCAAGAGCACACCACGATTTCCCTCTGCCTTCCCCAGCACCAGCAGCAGTACAAGCTTCACCAGCTCAAGCTTCGACAGCTTCAGATATGTAAATAATGAACCATCCAGCGCCAAACTGAACAACTATGACATTCCACATCCACTGGCGTTCTTCAAGCAGCCAATGTATCAATCACCAGATGTTACATGCTCGCCCATGGACGTGTCCTACTTTTCCCCATCCTCTGCGCCATCCTCGTCGTCCATGACCAGGACCATCTCCAACCAACAACTTTTCTTCCAACCATCCTCCGATGTGATGTACCAGTCACGGTCAATCGTCAACTTGTTGACCTTCTTCCCAGAGGAGATCCTGATAACCATCCTCTCGCATCTCAACGTATCCGACCTCCACAACTGTATTTACGTTTGCAAGAACCTTAGAAGACTGTGTGAGGACGAGTTCATCTTCAAGAACATTTGTCAATTCAACTATCCATGCCTGAACAGATACGTCAAACCACCTTTTGAATCTACTTGGAGGAGATATTATAATCAAAGAAAGGTAAGATTATCCAATACATTAGTTAAACATCATCAATCTAAATTAATCAATCAAACAAATTATAGACATCATTCTTGGTACTTGGAGGTCCAGTTGCACAGTCATCCTGTATGGATGATATCTGTTCCAAGCTGAGGGCTGCTGGAATTGATCATGTGGACAGCTTCTACACTCAAAAGAGGATTCCAACATTGGAGGAACTGCAGAAATACTCTGGTGTACTTATCTACAGTTACAATTCATCTGCCTTTTTGGACGGTCAGCTGATGGGTGATGTGATGGCAGACTATGTCGACAATGGAGGCGGTGTGGTGGTCACTGTGTTCACCAACTGCAACAACCTGCGCAATGGTTTCTTAAAGGGACGATTCTTTGAACAGAACTATCATCCCATTAATCCCGCCAGACAACATGACACCAATGGCAAGAAGCCATTGTCACTGGGCAAGGTGGTCATCCCCGACCATCCCATCATGAACGATGTCAAGTCTCTGGAAGGCGGCCGATCATCATTCTTTTGTCCAGGCTCACTGCATCCAGACGCCACACTCGTTGCCGAGTGGTCCAACAACGTGCCACTGATAGCCGAGTTGCCAAAGAACAAAGGCAAGGTGGTGGCGCTCAACTTCTTCCCACCCAGCAGCGATACTGGTGACGGACGTTTCTGGTCGTCGTCAACCGACGGCGCCGTGATGATGGCCAATGCTCTGGCCTACGTCGGGAGGAGCGCAGCATTGAAGAAGCATAAGCAGATGATCGAGGGTGCCTCGTACTTCAACGACCGAGTCAAGGATGGAGAGGGAGCCAACAGGTTTCTACACGACAAGGATGTATGCTCCCAGCGCAAGGGAAGTCCCAAGGAGAAGAAGCATCACAAGTTTCTTGGGAAGCGAATTCCATTATTATTTAAGCTCTTCTCTAAGAGACTGACACCTATTTAATTAAATATATAGAACTTATATATATCCATATCCTTTGATTGATTGATTGGTGTGATGTTGTTTATTTATTACATTTGTTTCAATCATCTGATGAATCGTCGTCATCGTCATCAAAGTCCTCCTCTTGAATCAGTACATATTCTCTGGTACTGGATGCAAATCTGATGTGATCCTTTGAGCGTAGCTCAACAAAGACACATGTCTCTATCTTCTTATCGTTCAATATAGTTCCATTGGTACTGTCCAAGTCTATTATATATGGTCTAAAAGTTGGAAACATAAATATTAGTAAGTCACATGACTTATTGATTGATCAGGTGATCGATCACGTTATTCCAAATTGATCACGTGACTAAGAATACTTACTTGATGACTTGTTGTTTCCTGTCATCGTCATCATTGTTGCTCTTCTTTCTGACGAGACGATGGACGATTACAGCATGTTGGGACGAGCAGGAGGGATGCTCAGATGGGATGTCACATAGGGTTCTGTCACGACCAATCAGGAACGACTTCTTCTTGTGTAGGTAGTAGGGATCGAGTGACTTGCCATCCTTGAATGGGTAGAGTATCCAATTGTCGTGTGGGATCTTGGCCTCGGGAGGCTCCTGCCACTTCATCACCTTGCCATCGCTTGTCCTTGCCACCTGGTCAGTCTTTAGAACGCCCGATGGTTTGAAGTCTGGCTTCTCCTTCTCCTTCCTCTCCTTCTTCTCGCCATTGCCATTGCCATTTCCATTGTCCTTCTTGCCATATTCGCCTTCGTCATCATCTCTGTCCTGATGTCTCCTGTCCTTCCTTCCATTGTCAATGGTCTGCAGCTCCCTAAGTCTCTTATTATCCTCATCTCTCTCTCTTGTCCTATCATCGCTGCTATCTCTCTTTCTGTCTCTACTACCTCCACTACCTCTGACATCTCTATCTGTTGCGCCGCCACCTTTTATATTATCTCTATCCCTTGTATCTCTTACAGGGCCACCACCACCATTCTTATCCTTCTCTACCTCTCTCTCCTTGTCCCTTGGCCTCTCTCTATTATCTCTATTATCTCTATCCCTATATCTATTATCTCTATTATCTCTATTATCTCTATTATCTCTACTGTCTCTGTTATCTCTGTTATCTCTATGTCTGTCTCGGGCGGGATCGCGAGTGCCATCCTTTTCCTGATTATATGTTTGAACAGAATCGTCTTGATCCCATCTCTTACTTCTGCCTCCAGCAGCTGGAGGAGGTGATTGCTGTTTGAAATGATTATCAGACATCATGATTGATTGTATTGATTGATTACGCCAGATATATATATATAGGTATATTTATAACAAAGTAATAATGATGGATGTAATAAATGAACAAACACACAAACAAGTACTTGAACTCTTCAAACACATAATAATTAATGTGATTGCGGGTGAGTAGAATTGAAGTTGTGTTTCTCCAATGCATCACTAACATACACTCCCCCACAATCCCCCGCGGCTCGCACGATACCAATCAGATGATCGTTTACAAATCTTGATCATAAGATCTATGACCATGACAGAGATCATAAATCAATTTATTGATGTATTATATATATAATTATTGAGATATTGGTTGATCACCATTATCTCAATAGGAACGAGCGAGCAAGTAATGGTTTGATGTGTGCCCCAGTGGTCGGTTCGCCAAGGCTTGATTGTTGTAATGAAATGAAAGAATATGTACTTATTGATGATGAAAGATTAGCGGTCCTTGCATACCAGATTGATGCAACCTCTAATACACTCCATTGATGTTGTGCCATAAGAGATCCTCTCGCCGTCAACTGCCAGAATGCCCTCTTTCTTGTTGATAAGGCCTGGCTCTAGAATGATTGCCTTGACCTTGTACAGATCAATGAAAGGACTGTGAATGTGCTTGCCTGTCTCGGCGTCGGTGAGGATCGATATCAATGCCGCCTTGGATATCTTGGGGCTGTGCTTAATGACGACCATCTCGATGAAGCCGTCCGAGTAATGAGCGGATGGCGAGGCGATAAAGTCAGATGAGAGATGTGTTACGGTGCTGGCAATGAATCCAATAAAGTCGCCCTCGATTGTCTTCCACTCCTCGCTCAACGTCGACTGTTGCAATGGGTTGTCCGATGGCACCTTTGGCTGGGGCACAACGATCTCGCGTGTGGCCACCTTTGGTGACGAAGGCACCGACGACTGCGAGTAGGACAGTGGCGACGATGAGGTGGATGATGAGAGGTTAAGTGGTTTGACGGGGGCTGCTGTTGTGTCGTCGCCATTGATCGATTGTGAAAGTGACGCCGGCGATGGTGTGCTCGACGAGAGTGATGATGCAGTCAGATCGGCAGACGACGATTGAATAGTCCATTGTGTGTCCGAGCTGCCCTTGAGTATCTGTCCGCTGCGGTTGATGCCTGTGCTGTCCTTCAAGATGCCGTTGCTGCCCTTGAGGCTGTCGGTCGAGTTGGAGAGAATGTTGTTGATGGTCTGCGCACTATCGACACTGCGGCAGATCTCGCAGGTTGGTCCACACTTGGGGATCTTGCTCAGCTCGCTCTTGGGCTGGTCGAGTGCGGGCAGATACTTGATCTTGCCCTGGTATACTCGCAGGTTCATGATACGAAGGAAGGCGCCAAGGTGAAGTCTGATGGGACCAAGTGCACGGAATCGCTCAGACTCAATGTCCACGTCCGATACGAGTCCCCATGTGAGTGATAGAATCGAGGCCCACTTTTGAGCGCCCTGTTGCACGATTGAAATGTCGAGAGGTCTGGCACAGCCGCGGACACATGCCAGAGCCGACGACATTGAGTCGGCCAGGCCCAGCGAGCATGCGATACCATTGCCTGTGCCGGCGGGGATCAGACATAATCTGATGTTCTTGGCCTGCATCCAATCATCGCGTGCCAGCAGACCATTGATAAACTCGTGGAACAATCCGTCGCCACTGATAAAGGCGATTGTGTCGTACTTTTCGTAGTTGAACTTGTATCCAATCTGCTTGGCGTGGTCAGGGCCTTTGGTCGTGGTCTTCTTGACAAACATCTTGGCATCGTTCTTGAGCAATTGCTCGATGTTCTTGTATATGGTCTCGGCCATTCGCTTGCCACTCTTTGGATTCAGGATGACCCTGACACGTCTGTTCTGAGGTGGGCCACCAGGCATGCGATCGAGAACATGCTGCTGGATGGCCGATGTGAACTTCTTGGAGTCGAGTGGTGACTCAAAGTCGAGCAAGTAGTCCTTGCGCTTACGCACCTCCTTGTTCTTGTCGGTGGAGACGTTGATGCATGCGTGCAGAATGACGCGGTTGGGGAAGGCAGCTTCGGAGGCCTCGTCAAAGCCCGTGATCGTTTCGGTGTTCAAGTACTTTGAGTAGTTCGCACGCTCCTTCTGTTTGAATATAAGTGCCGCTTGCTTTAGCAGCAGAGTGAACTGTCTTGACTTGAATGTAAAGTCGATCTCCAATAATGTATTCATTTCGTCCACTTCCTTTATCCAGTCGGCATTACTACCAGCTGTTTCGAATTGTATATCTTCCATCCCTTAGTATTAATACTACTTCTTCTTCTTCTGCTGCTCTGTCTGTCTGTCTGTTGTTTGTGTAGTTGTTGAAGTTTGTTTGTTTGTTTGTTTGTTTTATAATACAATGTTAATATATAAACAATTAAGATAATATATTATGTTTTATATTATATGTGATTGTATGTATATATATGTGTTTAAACGATTAAAAGAGATAGATAGGATTATGGATGGATTGGATTGAAAGAGATAGATAGAGTGGTTGAGAGAGAGAGAAGAGTGTGTTGAGTGAATGTTAGTCGTGTGCGCGACAAGTGTGTGAAGGGAGTTGGAAATGGAACACAGGAGAATAGAATGAACCACCAACCAAAACAGTTGTCATCCACAACAGCAACAACCAAACAACCCTTCACACCAACAAACACACACACAATATTATATCAAGATTGTTTTGTAGAAAGAAGTTGAACTAACGTTTGCGTCATATCAACATTGTTGTTATTATTGTTGTTTGCTTATTCTTTGTTTGTTCAAACATACACACACAAACACATCATAATATATATATTACTTACATAAGGCTAAACAGATAATCTACATAAAGTGACTGACTTACTAATACCGTTTGTTATGAAAGTGGTCTTGTTTTTGGTTTCGGCATTGGATCACTCTTTTGCAACAACAATAATATCTTTTTGCATTTCATCATCGATTTACCAATATGGTCATCTGACTGATTAATATAAATATATATAAAACAAGATACACAACTTGTAAAAATCTTTATAATGTAATAATAATCAACAACAATACCAACAAATGTTCAGAACATTACTCTCAAAATAGCGTTTCAATGTCATAAATGTTCATCCAATGAGTAAAAGCTATCTGGATTCATCCCAATGGATGATAGGCCATGTTTTTAATTAAAATACGTTAGGCCTCCACTTTGGGCCTTTTGTGTTGTTTGTGGGGGCACCTCAAGCACATCACACATGCGCAAGCGTCCGTTCGATACAACACAATTTAATTAAGCATGACACTCCTGTCATGTTTAATTAAGAATCTTCATCATATCATACATACAAATTATAATGATGTCTAATACTACCTCAAAAAGTGAGACATATTTATTTGTTCATGGATGTTGGAATGGAAAGTGGTGCTGGGATCTAGCCTCCAACCTACTACAACGCAGAGGTCATAAGGTGCATTCCATCACTTTGCCAGGATGTGCTGAATACAATGCCCAAGCAACACGTGATACAAACCTCAGTGTTCACGTTCAAAGTGTCATTGACTACATTACCACCAACGATCTGAAGGATATCACATTACTTGGTCACAGCTATGGTGGGGTTGTGATCAGTGGTGTTGCCGATCAATGCGCCAGCAGGATCAAGACACTAGTGTTCATCGACTCGTGGGTCTGCGTGGAGGGCCAGTCCTGCACCGACCTGATCCCGCCCGAGTTCAAACAACAGTTCATCGACAAGGCCAATGCCTACTCCCCAGCAGGCTGTCTGCTTCCATTCCCTGGCATCTTCTTCTTTGGCCTCACAGACAAGGTCATCGTCAGCTACGCAGAGGCCATGTGCACGCCACATCCACTGTTCACACTACTCGAGCCCGTACACTACAAGAATGGTGGATACAATGCCGTAGCCAAGAAGTTCTACATTGAGTGTACCACCACTTGGGATGCCTATCCACTACTAGAAGTTGCCAAGAAGAATGCCAGAGACAACAACTTTGAATTCCTGTCCATCGAATGTACACATTGCCCGCATCTCGAGAAACCTGTCGAGTTTGTCAATCTCTTGGGTGACATTGCCAACAAAGTCAACGGCACAGCCTAACTTTAATGCACATTAAGTGAAGGAATACTGATTGAGTTATTGTAGTAATAAACAATCTTCATGAATGTAAGTTATTTTATCCATGTAGGGCCGGTTAGGGTGAGGCTTGGGGGGTGGAATCATTCCTGTTTGATTGGGGGATTGATGGGACGAACTTCATCAAGAAACAAAGACCCATTCAAACCATCCATCCTGATTTTTCCATGGACCTTGAGTCCTCAATGACGACCCACCACACCTGATCGATCACACAATTCTTTCATATTTGATTAACAACAAATATAAACATATACAATATACTAGAACAGAGATGGCATCAAGAGGTCAAACAGAGACATCAAAGCTAAAGGCTAATATTGAGGAGCAGTTGAACAGACTGCTGTCACAACTACAGGATCTGGAGGAGATGAGATCTGATCTCTCGGCAGAGGAGTATGAGGAGGGCAAGAAGGACACATTGGAGCAGATGAAGGAGTTTGAGCTGTCGCTCAAGAAGATGATGACTGGCAACATGACATTGGTGTCTGAGCTGGGCAGCGTTCAGTTGGCCATTCAAGCCGCCGTCTCCAACGCCTTCAAGACACCAGAGGTCATCAAGCTGTTTGCCAAGAACGATCAAGGCCAGCTGAGGAACAAGCTTACTACCCTTCAGGTATGTCATATTGATGTTGTTGATGATGATGATATTGACGCGATATACTCATTCATTCATTCATTCAATCAATCATTCATTCATCATTCACAGAGAGATGTCAAGCTTAGCAAAATACCAAAGGACGACTTTATCGATCAGACTATAGAGATTCTTGTTGCCTTGAAGAAGCTAGGTGCAACTGTAAGTCACTCGCTTGATCACTTCTCTGCGTTCAATCAATCACGACCTTGCATGTTCATTGTACTTATAACAATCAATCAAACAAACAATACATAGTTGTTGGCAGAGGAAGAGAGCTTTTTGGAGCAACACAAGACAAGATCAATGGCTGACTTTGAGAAGGCATCTTCAAGCATTGGTATGTTGATGTTGGACTGGGTGGTGTGCATCGTGCTTGGCTCGATTGTTGGCGTCAATGTCCCTAGGTCGGGGATGTGTGTATAGACGCTGGGATGTCCAACCTTACTAACTCCATGCTCTCTCTCCCCATCAACAATCAATCAATCAAACATTCTATGCCCAATGAATCTATGAATGAATCAATAATGAATGAATGAATGAATGAACAGCCCAAGGAACACAAGATAACCTTTTGTCAAAGGCTGCTACTCAGATCCAAAGCGCCCAGAAGTAAGAAGAACAACATGATCTTGTTGTTCCCGACCACCGGCCCATCCATAGACCTCGCAAGCCGAGGCCGCAACATACTTACTACTCATTATCTCACGCCTTTGCGGCCTCGTTCCATCATGTTATTCCCATAAACCAATGTTGCAAGTCCGACATGGCCATCTTTGGCTATGTCCAAGTGTACATAACTTCGTACCAGGTCAAAGGCCATGACATGCCTTGCCTTACATATCCTCACATGACATGTCCACATGCTTCCTATCCTTCCATCGATGTACGAAACGTTGCCGTCATGTCGGAAACATCATCATGCCCTCCCAGTTTGGACATTTGCTGCCAAGTCCCAATTGCCGATGAGTGAATCGACCTCCTGCGCGAGACGACTTTGCTCGCCCTAAATGTGGCCATGTGAGTGTGTTCCCAGTTTGGATGGGACGCTCGCCCCTGCCCTACCAGTAGCCTTTCCTGACCTTGGACCATATCCATACACGAACCTGTTGGTTGGTCAGCGAGTCGCGGCTCTTGTATTTCATGGTTGAATGTGTGTGGTCCACATTTAGACTTAGATTCTCATTAATGCATGCTCATTCATGAATCATGATGGATAGATTGATGGATCTGGAGATGTATGTATTGAGTTGATCTTTGAAGCCCACGTGACCACACGCATGCCAACCATTGACCTTTTCAATATCACCTTTGCGTCACTGTAACCCCGAGAATTTGATCAATCCATCAAAGCGAACCACGAGCATTGATGAGTGTGTGTGGATCGACCAACATGTTCAGTGAATCAAGCAAAAGGGTCGGCCACACTCATAAACTGACACACAAGGTCAAACAAAACAATCAAACAGATACAACCGGCACTTAAAAGGCCTTTATGGATTGATGTTTATGGGGCTGACACGAACACCTTATCGCTGAAGCATGCCCATCACTGCCATAATGCCCACACCACACTCATCCAAACATATTGACGGGTACACACATATCAACGGGCACACAACTCACGTCCATGGGAACTTATGTTAGTTGCTGTTGATGATCTCAGAGAGTGTTCCAACAAGGGCTGTTGTTGTTGTTCCCATGGAGCCGGCCATCCCGTGTTATTCGCATGACCTTGCATTGTCTTGCATTGGACCAGTCAGTGTTGATGCGACTTGTTGGCGTGTTTTATCCTTTGTTGTTGTTACTTTGAGTTCAAACTCCTACCAACCTACCTACCTGCTTGGCTCACTCCTCACTCTTTCAATCCAATCCAATCCATTCCAATTCATACACACACAAAGAAGTGCCAATCAAACAATCTTCCTTCTTCCTTTCCTTATTCCTTTCCATCTTAACAATTGTTCGACCATACCAACTCACTCACACCGACACCTGCACATATATCTGCAAATGAGATATAACTTCCTCATTGCCACATTGGCACTATTATTTGCCTTTGGACTTTCTTCGACCAATGCCATTAATCCATTGACCAGCAGTGAGCGTATGTACTTTGCTCAATTGATTTAATGATTGATCATGTGATCGCATGATTTACTAATTCGACCACCCCATCCCAATAGTCACAGCAATCAGGTGGCTTATCTCACAATACCAACTCGATTGGGATGGATATGCCACACCAGCGACATGTAATATCATAGCACTTGGCTCCAAGAACAAACTAGAATGCACCGTCTCAAACACCCGATATACTGTGTCATCAATGTAAATTATCAATCATATCAATCAATCAAAAATATAATATAGTCTAACAATCAATCGATCAATCATGTGACTCACAGTAATATTACTGATGCTGGATCCGCCTCTCAGGACCAAGGTTTTCCTGACCAGAGTTTAACAGCACTGCAGTTTCCAAATATGGCCTATTTGACCATTCGCACTACAAACTATGCAGCAAAGAACCAATCCATTCAAATTATTGACTTGCTTGACAATATTATAAATTCCAAGTTACGATCACTCGAGTATGTATTCCAAGATAACTCCATAATGATCATTCAATTAACTCCAACTTATTCTTCACTCAAGGATTACTGGACCATCCCAGATCATGGTCGTTGACCCTTCTTGGCCCAAGTACCTTAACAGCACTTTAGCCTATCTGTATGTGATTCAATCAATCAATCAAATTCGACCTCAATAATTAACCATTGGCATTGGAATTAAATTATAGCACTTTAACCAATCTCCAATTGGGATCGAATCTGCCAATCAAATTCCCAAGCTTGTATGAATTGACAGTTACTGGTATTACCTTTGCCAATCCTGCCAACAGCGTGTCATTTCCATTGTCATCATACTCTTCCATCCACAGGATGTATGTAGTCCAAGTTAGACCAGTCGACAATAATAATCTAACAACTCTCTCTCCCTCCCAATCACCTAACTAGTATTTTGGAATACCCAGCAGACACATCCACGACAACTCTTTCATGTAATTCATTAACCTTCCCCAATATTTTATCAATGTAAGTTATAGTTGTTGATATTGGATATATATCCATCCATGTTGTATGGTACACTAACCTCTTTCTCCTCCAACCTCCGCCCCTACACATGGAAATAGCCAAATCTCAACACACAAGGCCATAACTTTGAATGTTGCCAACAACTGGATTGAAAAGTATGCACATCCTTCATTCACTCCATAACTTAATCACTCACTCACCTACTCACTCCTTCATTCAATCAATAATATCTATAGTGTGTTCCTTGACTCAATGAATGCCACATCGGCCTTAAGCATCTCGCCAGCCACCGTTTATCTAAGATCTTTGTAAGTTTCCAAAATGATTGATCATTGACCAATATAACTGTCCACTTACTCATTTATTCAATCAATCAATCAATACATCAATCATTCCATCCTTACAGGAGTGTCAGGAATGCTGTAGTAAGTCCAGCAAACCTCACCAAGTTTGTTAATTTAAACTCAGTGTATGTTGTTGATCAATCAATGTGGACATCGATGGAAAGTCATTTTAACATCTCTCCTCCCCATCACCAGGTCATTCGTAGCAGTTACCATGCCAACTGATTTCCCACCACTCAACCAACTGTATGTTTGAAAACAGCCTGTCATCAATCACATCCACTAACCAATCACCTCCTTATCCACAGATCACTCAACACTTGTGGTTTGACTTCTTTCCCTCCAAAGAAATGGCTTGCTCCTTCATCAACATTGTGGGTATCAATCTATCAATCAGTTTGGAAATCGATGGTCGCCACTCACTGACTCGCTCAATACCTCGCCAACTCTAGATATTTGGACAAGAATAATATTAATGGAGTATTGTATGATTATGGATCATTGGTATCAAAGCTATCTGTTGATGATAATGCATTGGTTCGTGATCCACTACCACAATCAGTATGTCAATTGTCATACTTTAGTGCTTTGAACACTGCCATAACCACTGTACCCGATTGCCTCAAGTGCTATTGGGGTCAAACCAGCAATAGACTACCAACACAAACTAAACCAGATGTTAGTTTTACTTGCAGTATGTATACAAACAACCTCGTCATGGATGGGGAGGCACTAACTTTGACATGCCAAACACACTAGATGTCTCACTCAACCAAACCCTCTATTTTGTTAGGGACTTTGATCCCATCCAGATCTCTGGTACCAACCTTGGATATGGATTGGATACCTCTGACAATCTAACAATGATCATTCCCAACACTCTATTCGAGTAAGTCCATGTTTGATTGAATGAGTGGATTGAGTGAGCAACTGGAACTAATCAATCAATCAATCAATTATAGATTCACTCCATCTAATCAGTCTGGAACTACAACTATATCATTCTCAAAGTCCAAGGGTTACAACAAACAGATCACATGGATGACTGATGGTGAGTCATATCCCAATCATTCAATCAACAAATTGACCAACCAATCAATTACTAACAGACTCTTACTCACATACCAGCCACATTCTTTGATGACTATTACTCATATGGAGAGTTTGTATTTGGTATAGGAATATTAACATTGTCTGGTGATTTTAATCTGCCAGAGTCATATTACAATGTAACATTTGGTGCCAACTCCCCTTGTGTTGATATCGTCATCACTTCATCCTACCTCGAATGCAAGGTACTCAATCATACAGCAACATGGTCCAGTCCAGCCCTTGTAACAGTAAACAGTCCACTAAAGTCCCTCCTTGGTGTGATCAACCTTTATGGTATGTATCAAAAATCAAAACTCAAAACTCAAACTCAATATTCAAACTCAGGACTCAAACTCACCACACACATGAATCAGTTACATCAAGTGTTGATTCTTCACCAGACTTGACTACAAATGGTGGCGATATCAATCTGTTTGGAAACTATGGTGTGCCAAAACCTGGAGTGAAGGTGTCCATCAACCAAAGTCCATGTACAGTCAAAGGCTACAACGGAACATGGATTCTTTGCAATGTCAATGGCAAGCTTGATCCAGGTCCCTGCAGGATCAATGTAACAATCAATGGATTCAAATATTCCACCAACAAGTTGCGTGTTGGTAAGTACCCCTCTGGAATCATTCCACCCCTCACACATCTACTAACTCAATCAATCAATCAATCAATGTCAATGTAGTCAACGCAACAGACCCTCCCAACTTGTGTGGATCACTACCATATTGCTCTGGAAATGGATCATGTATTAATGGAGCATGTGAGTGCTTCACTGGATATGCTGGCGACTTGTGTAATGACTTGCTTCAATCGAATATTACGATCCAGCCTAATCCAACATCACCAGGTTCAACGATATTGTCCAACTCATCGAGCTTCAACTTCAACATTGCCAGCATTCAAGAATTGGATGCATCGCGTACCGTGATCAACGAGCTCGTCACGTCTGGTTGGCAGTTCAACACTTCGATCAATGGCTCGCTTACAACATATCGCTACGAGCTCAATGTCAACATCACGACGGCCAACGCATCGCGCAATGACTCGCTGCTGGTGGTCGTGCTGCTTGAGTCGTCGACAGAAGAGCGAACAGTGCCCTTTGCTGGCCAGACGTACAAGTACCCACCCAACTCGTTAAAGATGACGATCGAGGTGCTGGGCTGGGCGTACGCGTCAACGCTCAACACGCTGCGCGTCGTGATGATGACCGACTCGAGTGGCGTGCAGATCGATCACTGCGGCCAGACGCAGCAGGCCGGCTACATCACGGACAACGATTCGGACTTTAGGTACCTCAAGGTAGTCAAGGACGGCGTGGTGTTCTTTGGCCGCTTCCTGCCGTTCGCCATGGCCGACGGACGTCCAAGCAGCTCTCTCAACGAGGTGATCAACGTCACGTCCACACTGTCATTCATTGGACTCAACCTGCCGCAATGTCGTCGCTGCATCATTGATCCAGACTTCTCGGTGTTGATCGACTCGCAAAAGGGAGGATCATGTGGTGTCCAAACTGAAAAGGTGTGGCTAATTGCCACCATCGCGTCCATTGGTGGCGCGGTCCTCATTGCAGCCGTCGTCATCATCGTACTCCTTGTCAAGCGCAACAAGAAGAACAAAGAAATGAAGGTGGCAATGTCCAGCAAACTTCAAGAAATGAACTGATCAGGGTCCATCACCCCACCCTCCCATGTCCCGATCAATGGACACACCCCTGGTCCCCAAGACCCAGCCGAACTAATAAAGTGTACTTTATAAAGGACAAAGTGGTCTTGCACCCTTATCCTTACCCTTAACTTTCATTGGACTTTATTATCCATCAATTATCCATACCAATCAAATGTTCATTGATTACCAATCATTAATGCATATGACACACTGATTACTCTAATAATAGTTACCCACATGTATACTAACCCACACACACACACACACACACACATAATGATTCAACTTATAAACATACACACACATATATATCTAAATTAATTGATCAATAACAACGATTGATCAATCACAACACACACACAGGATAAATCGAAAAAAAATAATAAAAAGTTTGATGTGTTGGAGAGTGTGTGAGTACGTCCAATCACTCGACTCCCATCAACAACAAACAAACACACACACACAAACACATATCTCACTTAGGAGTACTTATTCATTCATTAACTAAATATACATATATATACTTCTTCTTCTTCTTCTTCTTATTCATACATATATATATTTAAAAGCAACAACATATATATCTTGTTGTTATAATAACATTCATTATTTATTTATTGTACAACCATTCATTCAAACATTCACTCACTCAACAATCAATCAATCATTGTTTATCAATCATTCATTCAATCAATAATAGTAATAATAATAATAACATTGATGCAGAGTTAGCAAAGGATAGAAACACACAAAGAAAGAAGGAAGAAACGAAAGAACGAACAAACGAAAGATATAGAATAGAGAGAGACACTCGCTAGATCAGCGTAGGGTTCAAAGATGGGCAATAGTGTTGGTGTCAGCAGAACACCACCAGAGCTATCGGACATCTTGTTGCCCCATCAACATCAGCCTCAGCATCAGCATCAACATCAACATCATGATGTCCAAGCAACGAGCAGCACTGTGCCTCTAGCAGTTGGCACAATGCCAATGCCAATGCCCATGCCAATGCCAGTGCCATTGAGTGTAGGTGGCGCTGCGGCCAGCAGTGTTACCAACAACTTGAGTGGCGGCAGTAGTAATAATGCGAGTGGCGTAGGAGTCGCCGGAAGTGGATGCGTGGGTGGAGTGAGCACATTGGTCGTCTCACCAAAGATCACGACGACAACTACAACGACGACGACAACGACTACGACTACGACTACATCAACATCATCGTCGTTGCCAGATGGGACGAGGAGCAGGAGTAGCAGCAGCAGTAGTAGCACGACATCTTGCGTCAAATCAAATGTCAATGCTACACAGTCGCCGGCGACACTGCCCATCACGACGACGCCAGTCGTCGAGCTCTTCACCTCCTATTTATTCATGTGGCGTGCGCATCACGGCGACAGTCTGAGCGCCATCAACTCCACCAACACCACCACAATCGCCAGCCCCGCCGTGCTCATCCAATACGACGCCATCGATCTTAATCACTTTGACGAGTTTAGCGCCAACGATTGCTACATCGTACTACATCTCATCAACAATGAGCGAGTCAAACAACTCAAACAAACAGATACACAACAACAGCAACAGCAACAGCGCAACAGTATGGTGGACGGTATGGCTCAAATACAGTTGGGCATGCATCATGGGGTCGACGTGAGGAGTCGGAGCAGCAGTATATGTAGCACGACGAGCAACTGTACGAGCATAGGCAGTGGCAGCACGAGCAACCTCGAGAACATATCATTGAATGCCATGGTACATTCGGCGCAGGCCGAGCTGACTCCCAGGGGTCTGCTCTATCCCGCCGGTCTACACACAAGTTTCGAATCCCTAGCTCATGGCGACGCGTCGCAAGACCGAGGGGTAAGTTCCTTTGTTTCCGCGTGGACGGTGGACGTGGAAGTGGCGTAGGACAGATGACTAACTAGCCCCATCCCTCTCTCTAGGCCTCCTATGATATATACATATGGAATGGAAAGAATGCCACGCCATTGACCAAGGCGCTATCCTTTACCAAGGGATTAGAACTGGCCAAGGCGATGAAGTTGGGCGACGACTTTGCCCTTCAGCGACACGAACTTGAGGATGACGAGACGGAAGACGCGCCACAACCTCAACAGCAACAACAACCTCAAGCGTATTGGCGTGTACCTCGAACATGCTCACTCTTTGTACAAAGACTATTCTTGACGCCCTCGACATCATCTTCACATCTGATTGACTCGAGCACGCTCTCCTCAAGCCTGATCGAGGAGAAGTTAGTATCGAGCATCTTTGCACCACTGTCGTCCTTCTTTATCGACGACCTTAACATGACTGGCACCACCACCGCCATGGACCGCGCTACCAAGGCCGACGTGGACAGCATGCATCTCTACCGACAGATAATCTACAAGAACTTCCCCAACAAGCCACTCATGCTGCAGCATCAGCAGCAGCAGCAGCAACAGCCATCAATAACAATGATGTCGTTTGGCAAATCGATTCACTCTTTGTTGTTCAGCAACCTTGACAAGATGGACAGCAGTAACATTACATCATCATCATTATCAACTACATCAACATCAACATCATCAACTTATAACAATCCCCGATATGAAGTACTTCGCAAACTATCACATTCAATCACAGCACAGTCATCTTCTCTGTCGCCTCGCGGTCGTTCAGTGTCATCGCCCGCCAAGCCATCAATCCCAAAGCTTCAAATGCACAAGATCAAGAGCTTGACGATGCCGATCACGACGAGCCAAGTGCACCAGCTGGACATGACAAAGGTGGCATCCAACAACCTATCTCCAGCGGCTGCCGCTGCATCGAGCGCAACCTCGTCGACGTCAACCACGGCGAGCAGCATCGCAGCCACTTCGAAGAAGCCCAGCAACAAGTTCGTGCCACTGCTCAACTTTAACAACAAACAGAACTCACTCTCATCGATACCATGCCTCAACATATCGGCCATGACGTTGCCAATGAGCAAGCAGCCTGGTGGCGCACTACGCGTGCCAAACCTCACAAGCAAGCTGGCCACGACGGCAGCCGAGGGCAATGTCTCTCCGCCACAGACGCCACACTTTCACACGTTCACACAGCGCGAGCTCATCGACCACTTTGAGCCAGTGCTCAGCAAGATCACCGACACCATCTACCTGGGCAGCCGAATCCCGGCGGCCAACAGCAAGCTGCTCAAAGAGACTGGCATCACGCACGTGCTCAACTGCGCGGGCATGGTGTGCACCAACCACTTCCCCGCCGACTTTGTCTACAAGACGCTGTTCATCAGCGATGGCAACGGCGAGGACATCACCTGCCTCTTCTACGAGGTACTGGACTTTGTGGAGGACGCCATCGAGCGTGGCGGCCGCGTCTACGTGCACTGCCACCAGGGAATCTCGCGAAGCTCCGCCTTTGTCATCCTGTGCCTGATGCACAAGTACGACTGGGACTTCAAGGCGGCGCACGAGTTCACCAAGGAGCGACGCTACATCTCCAACCCGAACCCGGGCTTCACCGGCCAGTTGATGTACTGGAAGAAGTACCACCGCGATCCCATCAAGAACAAGAAGCTGTACCGCATGGTGCAGATGCTGGGCAACGTCACCGTGCCCAAGGCCGTACCAAACATGTCTTACATGTCGCTGGACGCGCGCTGCTGCTTCATACTCAAGGTGGAGGACGCCATCTACCTGTGGGTGGGCGAGCAGTGTTTGGGCACCCTGGGTGAGGCCTACGTCGAAGCGGCACGCAACGCCATCCAACGCCTGCAAAAGTATGAAGGCGGTTCAAACAACATCCGCGAGCTGAAGCAGGGCCAGGAAGACATGGAGTTCTGGCGCCAGCTGGGTGGCCAGGGCGCCACATCGATTGGATTTGTCGGCGACTACGACAAGGAGATCTCGCAGATGATGCAACAGCAGCTCAACAATCTTCAGCAACAACAACAGCAACAGCAACAGCCCGCAGCCGGCACGGCCGGCGCGGCCAACTCGAGCAGCAGTGTAAATAGTTTAACAGGCAGCACATCATGCCAGCGATCCTACCTCTACCGACTCCTGGACGATGGGTCGTGGGACGAGTACGGCGTGTTTGACTGCGAGGATCTGGTCGACGACGGCCTCTTTGTGCTGCGGTCCAAGAATGAGAACAGACTGTACGTGTGGATTGGCAAGAGCTGTCTCCACGCTCAGCAGTATGTTGCCAACAGTGGAGTTGGCGCCGAGTCCAGTCTGGAGGAGGTTGGCGTGCGCATGGCCAATCATTTCCTGCATGATAATGCGCTGGAGTCGACCTTTGCCGTCACTGTCATCACCAGTTCCAGCCAAGAGACTGACGACTTCCTAGACAACTTCTAAGTGGACCCATCATAAACAACTTGGAAGAACGAACAAATATATATATATTATACTATTATATAACTTAGGTACAATCATTCGTTCATTCATTCATTCATTCGTTCGTTCGTTAGGGTATGGACACACTTGAGGCCACATCTTTGGCTACAGCTTGGATACTGGTTGGACCTGATTGATCGGAACAATGAGTGAGTGAGTGAGTGATGATAGACAGGCACAACACAATCAAACATACCTCTACGATCATCTCTATCTCTACACATGCACCCATGGGGATCTGAGCAACACCGAATGCTGAACGGGCATGCTTGCCGGCATCACCAAACACTTGGCCGAGTAGTTCTGAACAGCCGTTAATGACGAGATGCTGCTCGTTGAAGACAGGCGTCGAGTTGACCAGTCCCATGACCTTGACGATGCGCTTCACCTTGCTCAAGTCGCCACCAGTGTGGCTGTGCAGTGTTGTGATCAGGTCGATGGCGATGGCACGTGCGGCCCTCTTACCCTCGTCCGTATTGATGCCATCGCCTAGCTTACCAATCCAAACCGAGCCATCCTGTCTCTTTGCAATGTGGCCCGATACAAACACCAAGTTACCAGTCTGAGCACTCATCACAAACGATGCAACTGACACTGCTGGCTTGCCCAACTCAATGCCCAATGTCTTTAATCTATCATATATATCGCCTGTTGGTGTTGTTGTTGTATTAGTCATGACTTGTTGATTGATTGTATCTGTATCTCTCTTGTTGTTGTATTTGTTTGATTTGATAGCAAATGTACCCCATCTTGAATAGATCCTGACTTCCCTAATGAGGGAAAGTCGATACTTGATTGCTGCTAAGGTTAGCTTGGGTTCTGCAGGGTTCAACGGGTGTTGTGGGTGGATTCTTCAAATATTTGTTTTGGAATCCAAGGTCCGACCCGTGATGACCCTTTGCAACCTCCAACATAGTAATAGCGACCAATTAATACATATATATAATACAACATCTGATGTCTGAGGAGCTAACCCAGTTAATAGTCACCAGAGTTAAGCAAGCAGGTGTCAAATGCTTCTTCTGCGGTACTGAGTTGGATATCTGGGTCTTGGGCAAACACCTGCCCGTGTGCGCCAAACTGTGTTACAATATCATCATTGATATGTTCCAGACTAAAGAATCACAGGAGGAGACTCACACGTTGAGGCTGCGTATAGAGGAGTTAGAGGGAATCATCAAGTCATTATCGCAACAACAACAACAACAACCACAGCCACAACAACAACAGCCACAACAACAACAGCCACAACCAACATCGTTGTCATCAACACTCACGCTTCAGCAAATGAAGACGCCAACCAAACAAGGTGCGGCAGAGAACAATAGAGAGCTGATGAATATCACACATACCAAGAAGTTGATGGATGGAGAGACTAGCAAACAAACCAAGTGCTTCCTGCATTCCAACGTTCGAGACCCAACCAATCCCAACCGGATTATAGTAGAGGCGACTTGCAATTCACCAGAGAACAAGATCGAGAAGAAGATCATTGTCTACTATGGCGACCAAAAAATGATGATGTGCAGTGTTGGACATATTACAAACCATACCAGGTCAATGCCCTATTTGAAGCTTGCTGTACCTGCGATTGGAGAACACGATCCAGAGAAGCCTATCATTGGAGATTCTGTCCAACATTGCCAGAACTGTTCAAAGGGTTGTTCTCGCATCTTGAAGTGTTGCCATCCAGACAGCACGTTTGGCGTCTTTGTATACTTCTGTCGATGGAACTGCCTTGTCGAGTATCTAACCAACAAACGAGAGAAATGGACTCAATGGTGCGAAGCGAACACCGGTATCTCCAGCAGGGCAACGATAGATATCGACGATAATGCGATGTCAACAACTACATCACCACCCATCCCAGCACCCAGCCCAGCAGCACCAAGCCCAGCAATAACCAAACCAGTGTCTAAATCAAAGGCCAAGAAAGCAGCTGCAACACCAACACCAACAACAACAACAACAACAACAACAACAACAAGGAGGAACAATAAGAGGAAGAACAATACCCTTGAAGAAGGTGAAGAATAAATATGCTGCCAGCAAGCTAAGTCCATTAACTGACAAATGCCATACCCTCAACTCTGCACTTACAGATCAATGGTTCAACCAAGATGAAGAGTACACAAGTTACTTCAAGCTCTCCCATAGTCAAGTGTCTCAGCTCTGTGAGAAGCACTCTTTTGAACACAAGGACATGCTCGTCTTCCTCATGAGGTGCCGCCACAACCTTCCCTGGTACATGATGGAGCGTGTGTTCCTATATCAATTGACAATCGCTCAGCTCAGGTACTCATTCACCAAGGTGTTCGATAGATTGAAGTCGTACTGCCATGGGTACTTCCAGGATGTGGTTCACAATGGAGAGCTTCGAGACAATCATGCAGAAATATGGAAAGATGGTATTAAGCACAATGTTCATCTCATTGTGGACGGGTCAGAGCAGAGGATTCAAGTGCCGCCACACAAGACGATCAAGGATCTTGTTTATTCTGGCAAGAAATCAATGTATTCTTTGGCAGTGTTGGTCATTTGCGATATACGTGGCAAGATCGTGTATGTAGGTAAGACAGAGGGAGGCGCCCAGCCTGACGTCTCGCTCTACAAGGATGCTGCACCTAGACTACAGGCTCTGTTCGATGAAGATATTGTCATTCTCGGTGACAAAGGATTCAAAGGAGGTCAGAAGTACTACACCAACACCATCACCCCCAAGATCAAGTCGGCTTCATTGATCGATCATATGGAGTACACAGACAAGATGATCAGAAAACGCACGCTCGATGAGCATCGCCTGCGTCAAGGAAAGGAGGCGACCAAGGTATCTAAGAAGTTGAAGGCATTGGAAGCCAAGGTCACCAAAGAAGGATTCGATGCCGAGCGTATCCTGAGAGAGAAAGATGAGAGCAATCGAATCAAGAAGGTGAGGATCATCATTGAGAATGTCTTTGGAGAGATGAAGAAATGGAACATATTGTCAGACACAATCAGATCACTTGGCGACCTTTCTGACAACATTCAACGACACAACGCACTCTGGACAATTATCGCATATTTGACCAATATGTTCCACTCCTTTGGACGAGACGACGATTTCTTTAAGGTCTAATTTATCATACAACAACAACAACAACCACAACAACAACTACAACAACAACAATAAAAATATAAATATTTAATTAACATCAGATAAGGTTTGAAAGGGTTCCCCTTGCTGTTCCAAGGGTTGTCCAGGGTCGAACCAGCTCGAACCCAAGGATTGAGACCGCTGAAAAATGAATTCTCTGCGTAACCTTGACTATCCCCTGCAGAACCTTAGCAGCAACCAACTTTCAGTAAATCCCATCTTTTGGCTCAATCGATTTCTTCACATTCACTCTTTCATTCATTCATTCAATCTATCACTCATTACTATTAATACTTATACATATATACAAATATACATGGTACAACTTGGACAATCAATCAATATAGATCTGGTAAGATCAGTACTTATTTTATATTATTGAGAAGATTGATATTTGGAAGTGTCCAAGAGATACATGACAACTTCTTTGATGGATGGCGTTGTCAACGTAAAAGATATAATGAAGATGGTGAGTGTAGAACGAATGATCAAGATCGTTGTACAAAGGTTGTATATCAATGGAGGTCAATCTGTGATTCACCAAAGTTGTTGGCTCGATTTGGTTGCACCAAGAGACTTCTCGAACTGCTCAACATGAACAGAGACAAGTACAGCCATCTCCAATGGCCATGTCTTTCGTTCGTACCAGACATTGACATTGTACTGCTCGAGGCCATAAACAACGGCGACGTCCAACTTATTCGCCAACTGTTTGAACGCCATGGACATGTACTCCTCGACGAGTCGATGCGGACGCCCTTTGAAGACGTCATGTTCCAGGTGGCCAAACACCACCCTGGAGTCAAGAGCTTGGCCCCACTACAATATATCATTGGTGCCCAGCTGTTCGATATCAATCACTTTAACTGTGAGGAGTTTGTATCGTTAATCGACTACATTGATAATGTCGATCTACCTCTCGTCAATCTTCTGTTTCCTCTCCTGGAGAAGAATAACAAGTTATTTGTCTCAAAGCAAACAATCAAGGGCATCGCAATCAGCAACAACATGGAACTACTTCAATACATCCATTGCCGGCCACATCTCAACGTGGAACTCGCAAGGAATGTGAGTGAATGTTACAACTTTGCATGGATGTATAACAACTTGGATATCATGGTCTTCCTCGATGTCAATGGCTATCGTGATCACATCATACTTGAACCAACATTCCACTATTCTGTGCACCTTAGTATTGAATTAACGAACAATCATACTCAAGTCGCTCGATACGTGGCCAGCCAGCGAAAGGAGATATATCCTTGGCAACTTTCAACCGCAGTGATGGCATTGTGTGATGACACAATCCAGTTTTTGGCCAGTCATTACCAGCAACATGGAGAACTAGCATCAGAAATGGCCAGTTACGACATATTTATACTTGCGGCACGTAACGGACGGTTGGACTTCATCAGAACATTCATAGAGGTTATGCACATTGGTTGCAGCTCTCCCAATGTTTTGGACGACGCGTCCTTGTCAGGAAACCTCGAACTGGTAGTCTACCTACACGAAGCTGGCATGCCCGCCACCACCAAAGCCATGGACGGGGCAGCCAATGCTGGTCATTTAGAGATTGTGCGCTTCCTTCACCAACACCGCACTGAAGGGTGCACGAACCGAGCCCTGAAATTCGCCTGCAGGAATGGTCATTTGGATGTGACTCGCTGGCTACATCACAACAGAACAGAGGGCGGTGTCAAGCATGCGCTGTTACATCTGCAAAATATTGAGAGCAAATCAGTAATGTTGGAAATGGCTACTTTCATCATTGAGGGTATGAACATTCTACCAACATACCATGCGCTCAACGAATTCCTCGATGACTTCGACTATAAGCGAGGTGATGAATACCTAAGGGATTTGCTGGATCTTATACTTGGCCACCTTGGATATCGCAGACCAACACCGCCAACAGTTGTCAACAATCTCATACCCAAAGAAGAATTCGAATACGACTACTTCATGAAATTGGCAATTGGACTCCCTTTGATGTGCGTTGACCTATTGGTGCAGAGAGGGATGATTGAAATGATTGGAGGAGGTGACTGCTCTGGGGTCATCACAAGAAGTACTCGACCTGTTCAAATATATGCTCGACCATGCACCTAGCTTGAGAGATGACCACGTATTGATGCTGTCGATTCTCAACAAGGCAGTTGGATCATGTTCACAAGTGGCCATCTACATCCTGACGACATTCCCTTTGATACTCACTTCAGAAAAAGACCAAAGTCTGTTTGATCCCCCATATGTTTGTCCAGAGATAATGGAATACTTCTGGATGAGCAAGGATATGGACGGATTATCACATCGAGTTGTAAAGAGAATGGTGGAAGACAGACTCCTCAATGATAGTAGCCGCTATAAATTCCATTGGAGGAATAGATCCAATGGACGGTGGACGAATGTTCATCTCCCTCAATCAACTTCACCTTCACAAGGTGGTGTCGGGACGTCTCTTGATGAATGGATATCAATCATTGGCCCAGCACATCTATTTATAATGCTATTCAGTGACCCATTCCAGCTTCAAAACACACTCTATATGTTGGAGAGATACGCGATGGAGAATACTCCACAAGGATATTGGCGAGTGATTGAAGAAAATCTAAGCCATTCGTCGTGGCATCCCGATGACAACATGGATTTGGATATCGACCAAGCAAGTTTATCGTAGAGTATGCATGTCGAATTGGTCACTTGTCATTGTTGAAACTCTTCATTGACTGGTGTTGGCCAAATGGCTCAGCTCGTCATGATCACACCGTATCGACGGAAAATGTCTGATGGACCTAGCAATGAAGCATGGTCATTTAGACATTGTTATCTACCTGAATGAACTAGGAGCTGAATTCAGTGCTGATGCACTTGACAAAGAAGTCTTCACCAACAAGTCCGTGATCAACTACATCTGTCTCAATCCTAATTCACTTGTGACAATGATGATTGATTGATTGAATGGATGGTCCATCCTTGCCCTAACATACCCTGGTCATTGGATTGATAGACGTGTTTCCGAAGATTCATTAAACAATTACATTTATACAACCTGTATCCTGATTGACAATGATCACGGGTTTTGATTGGGTCATTTGATTGAAGTGATGGTTTGTTGTCTTTGCAACGCATTTGTTTGTTCAAGTCAAGTGAGTGAGTCCTTGTTATTAATGAGTTTAAGTTAGTTTGGTTTGATTGGCGTGCCATGGGCACACTCCATGTCCAGTGCGGAGAAAAGAACACTGGTTGTGAGATTGTTGGATGTATGTGTGTGTTGTTGATGATTTCATCGCGCAACGCAAACGGGTCTGCACTACCCCCACCACCTTCCACCAAATACTATTATCGGGCTTGAGCCAAGGGATAGAATTGACCATCATCAATGGCACTTTCATAGTACTTTTGCCAAACCTTTTGCCATCGAGTGCCTCTTTTTTACAATGGCGATGGTCCAACCGCCATTTGCAGATGTGTGTATTTGTTTGAGTGTATGTGTGGCTTTATTATAACTGCACTGTGTACGTGTTGCTGTGAGGTCGGGTAGGGTGTACCCTCCTTTTTTATGTTAGAACGTTCAAACACAACCAACGTCAATTCACTTAGATGTGTGAGTGAGTAAAAAACGAAATGGGGTGAATTGGCTTTCAAAACATGATGGAATGGGCCAGATGTGGGTGTCTCTGCGTCTGGCATCGTTGTTGACCGTTTAAGGTTACGTTAGGGTTAATGTACTGTGTGTGTGTGTGGTAAGATTTTTTGTTATATTTTAAATATTATTTATTTCATTCAGATTCATACACAATAATAATAATGAATGAAATCAGCAACTGTGGAAGGCATGAATGAGATTCATGCATTTATTGACCCGACCTCATAAACACGAAGTAAGTCTTCTTCACGCCTGCACACACATCGACATTCCATTTCAAAACCAATCTCACAAGTCATTCAACAGTTCCTACTTCAAGGTTTACAACAATATTTATATATCTTATCTTGTAATAGTGTAAGTGTCCTCTTTATCTCAAATATTCATTCAATCAATCAAACATTCAATCAATCAATCAAACATATCGAATGTGTCATCTCATCAACAATGTGTGTTCCCAATTAATTCAACAATAACAACAACAACAAACATATAAATATTAAACAACATAATCAAAGCACCATTCAAATTGTTCACAATTATCGGGCAACACAACAACATTAAAGTCCGATAATTATTGATAATATCTTCCCGCCGAAAAATGTTCAAAGTAAAAAAAAAGATTTAAAACTAACATTTGTCTCTTCAACAAACAAACAAAATCAAACAAACAAATAATATATATTATAGGTTGAGTGTAATATAATATAAAGTTTAATATTTATTAGTATATAATATATATAATGCATAAGAATAGAATTTGCCAATTGGTATCAATCCTTGTTGGATTGTTATTAGTTGCAGGTGGTATCATTATATGGTACGTGGTCAATGATGCCATACACAACACAGTGTACAAGGCCACAAGAGCCCTGCCAGACAATGGCCTCGACTCAAGCATCAACCCATGGACCCGTTTCCTCACCAACAAGGGCGATCCCGACAACCAGCGTTCCTACCAATTCAACGTCTACAACTTGACCAACCCCGCCCAGTTCTTGGCCGGCGCCAACCCCATCTACCAGGAGGTCGGTCCATACACCTACGCCTCGCTCTTTGAGAACTGGACGTCGATCTGCTCGAGGGCGATACCAAGGTCACCTACAAGTACTGGAAGAACTACGTGCAGACGGTGCCTATCCCCGAGGGGCTTCCGTGATGCCAACACCGACACCATCTACCACTTCAACCTTGCCTACCAGACCATCGTCAACAAGGCTGGCGGCGAGAGAGCCCTGTCTGTCGGAGTCACCGCCAGCATCATGGCCCAGTACTGGGCCGGTGTCATGGCCAACAACGCCACCATCACCAGCGCTGCCAACGGTGTCACCACCATCCACAGAATCGGAGAGGCCGTCGGTGCCAACTTGATGGCCCAGGGTGGTTCACTCGACGCTGTCTGCACTAACGTTTGGTTGCAGGATGCCACCGCTTCAACTGGTGACTTCCCAATTGGAAGCAAGACTACATTGAACGTAACCCAATGCAGGACTCTCTTGATGATGATGCCAATAGGCGCTCCAGTCTCATACGGATTCTTCAACAAGAACCCCGCCGAGCTCATGATGTTGCTGCAGGCTGTCGGTGGCTCTCCCGCTGCCCTCAAGGGACTTGCCGCTGGTTACTCCCAATATGGTATCACTGAGGCCGACACAAACCTCATTGTGGCCTACGTCAGAGGTCTGATGATCAACACCGTTATGAACCCAGCTTACAACACCAAGTTTGCACAGTACACCGGTTGCTCAGACTGCACTCTCGCACCACCATCAGTCGACTCTGTCTTTGCTCAGTTCGCTCTCCAGGGTGGTTACTTGGGCACCTCGATCAACAACATCGCCCCAACTGGTCTGCCCGCTGCTCCAGAATACGGAGTGATGATGAATAGTAGCATCCCAGTCGCCAGCGCCAAGATCCTGATGAACAAGGCCAGCACATTCAACCTTGTGACCCAGCAGGGTCTCGGAGGAATCCTCACTTTAGCGGCTGCCGATAACTATGAACCAATCATGGCTGTCACTCAACTGGACAAGGATCAGACCAAATCTGTCGTTGCCTACATCAATACCTTCATCAGCACCATCACCGTGCCAACCCTCAGAGCCAAGGGCGTCGGCATCATCGGCAAGCACACTGTCACCCAGTTCCTCTTCAACATGACCGATCCAATGCTCCAAATGCTCTTCCCCACCGACCCATCGATGTGGAGCAGCAACATGGTGTCCACCATCCTCGACAAGGAGATCGCCAGACAGACCATCATCCCAGACATCAGCTGGACTGGAAAGGCCGACACCAACATGGTGCTCGCCCCAATCACCTACAAGGGAGACACTGTCGTCGTCTACAAGGACAACATCACCGTCACTGGTAACGCCCCAGAGCAACTCGGACCATACTTCCTGGCTGAGCACGACAACCCCCAGGTTCGCGTCTTCTCCAGCGACTACGTCCGTACCCTGCACTTGACCAAGGTCGAGAGCGGTGCCCTCTCCGGTCTGCCATACTACCGCTACCGCGTCCACCCAGAGACCTACGATGTCAACGAGCAGTACTTCACCTCGATCCCATACCTGTTGAACATCTCCTCCGTCGTCCAGAAGCCAGTGTACATCACCAGACCACGTCTCCAGGGTCTGGCCCCAGGCTACTTTGCCAAGGCCGGTCTCAGCGACTTCATCTACAACGCACCAGACAATGATGTCTACGTCGACTACGAGCCACGCACAGGCAAGGCCATCAACGGACGTTACTCCATCCAGATCAACGCCTACATCCCAGGCGGCTGCCCAGCCAGCGGTTACTCGCCAAGCTTCATCTCGGCCAACGTCACCTGTGACGTCGTCCACCCAATGTTCTGGGGCAAGAACGAGGTCATTGCCAAGCCCAACCAGATCGACGCCATCCTGCTCGCCTACAAGATTGACGCCGTTCGTTACGCCCTGACCATCCTCCTGATTGCCGGTGGTGGCTTCCTCATTCTCGGAGCCGTCGGTCTCTTCCTCTTTGAGCACGTGAAGGAGAAGATCTTGTAAACATAATCGCCCTCATCAACCGTCGTCAACCAATCAATCAAACTCGAATACTTATAATTAAAGCGTACCCCTAATAATATATCATACTCATTCGTTCGTTTTATCACTCATGTTTCCAGGATTGATTGTCCACTTGGACTCGGTGAGCTTGACAATGACGTTGAGTTCCTCGGACTTCCACTTACATGTTTCCTTGCCCATCAAGATCTTGTCATTGTCATTAATACGATCATGTGAGTGTGTTCAATCAATCAATCAAACACAAACACACACACACACAAACATAGAGAGTCTGATCAAACTGATCATCGTTCAACCCCTAGTTATAACACTAAACATGGGGGAAGAGGTACTTGTTGTTTAATTAATCACTCTACCATTGGAGAGATGGTAGGGCCATGGTATGAATGTGTACATCAAGTAAGGTATAATGGGGACTCGATCCTATTGATAGGTGGTAAGTGACACTTTGTCAATCAATCAATCAATCAAACAAACAATCAAAAGTTAAAGTATATGTTGTTGGTGATGGATGAGTGGTTGAGGGCATCATAGGCCCTATTGGCATCAATAACAACATACACCAACAATTACACACAACACCCTTATATTTGCGAACCACTTCTGATGCCATTGCCTACTCCTTATCTTGCACTCCACTCTATAGCTCTCACTCTATTACTCTGATGTATACATCGCAATGGTATTATTATTGACATGACCTAAAGTATAACACTTGAATACTTACTTACTTACTTAAGTTAGATATATAGATATATAGATATAACATAACATGATATATTCATCACCAACATTGTTATCATTACTAATATTGTTGTTGACATTATCCAGTTTCCAGGCAACACCAGTTTTGAAATCAACTGATGGTATGTTCAATAAACCAATCAATTAATCGAATGATCAAAATAATAACCATCAATGACATCATACTATAGAATCAGCATTGGAATGGTTCATATGGCAGTATCAATTGGATTGGATAATACCTGAACAAACAACAAATGTTCAATGTTCATCATTCCAACCTGATACATCATTGTTGAAGTGCTCAGATGATGGAACCGACCAATTCATCACTTCACTGTATGCCACTCTATAATCATCCCCTAGTGGATCTATTCCACTCAGTTACTCTCTTACAAACTAATACTCAATCAATCAATCACAGTAATATTCAATCATCTAGTATTGTCAATCATGATAATATTACAGAACCAGTTTGGGATCGGACTTTAACCAACTTGACCAGTTTCAAATTGAATGTAGAGAATCCCCTGATGAACAAAACCGAATCAATATTCACAATACTCGATGGTCCATCCTACAAGAATGTTCTCAAGGATTTAATGTAAGTTATTCCCTCCACCATTGTTAAGTTACCACCCTACCTACCTAACTAACTGACCAAATCAATCAATAAATCAATACCCAGTGTCATTGGACATACCATGAACTTTACATTCCCCAACTCTTTCTCCAAGATTGAAGGACTTGAGAACTTGTAAATATTAATTTCTTTAGAAATCCTGGATTTTCAATCAACTAACATTAGTTTAATAGGGAACTTGAGGATTTAACAATTGTTGGCGATGGTTTACCAGCCACTATATTTGCACCATCACTAAAGAGTGTTCAAATCAGTGGACTCCAGTTTGTTCTGCCTCCATACTATGAAGGAAATCCACTTTATTTCCCATTCGATGGTGATCTATTCACTCAGTTGACATTTTTGTAAGTACTTCCAAAAAGCTTACATCGGTAGCCGATCAACTAACAAAAATCACTCTTAGTGATATTGAGTTTCCTTCCATTTCAATGATTTATTCAATCTCATTGAACCAACTACCTGCTGTCAAAGACTTGTAAGTTATTTATCATTGGTTGCATATTGGAATAACTCTAACAAATATATTTATAGCCGAATGAAGGGAAGATTCTCGGAGGGATTCAATATTTCCAGTGTTACCTTGGAGGAATTGTAAGTGAATAACATTTCTTTAGATTATAAGGATTGTTTCTAATATCATTGATTCTCTTCTCACTAGAACACTCATCTCACTCAACACTGAAGCAATTACCAATGAGATTGGAATTTATACAATGCCATCTTTAACCAAGTTGTAAGTTTTGTAAATATTTCCTGAGTACTACCTTTATTAATTGTTGATCAATCAATCACAGAACATTTACAAAGTTCAAATTAAGTGTTCCATTCGATCTTGGAGTAGGATTCCCAGAGTTGAGAGAAGTGTAAGATTTCATTAATCATTTGCTCACAGAATTGATTTGTACCAGTCCTAACCAATCATTCAAACAATAATAATTAGATATTTTGATCGAACCATTGGGAGAATTGCCAATGCAACCAACTTGAATGTCCTGTATGTATCCACCCCCAATCAACCAAGCAAAGACTAATGCAATGAATATAAATAATCTAGATCTGTAACCAATAGTGATATGAGTGTGTTCCCACCACAGGATTGGTTCCAGAGTAATTGTACCCTTCATCTATCCAATAATCAACTGGCAGGTGTTATACAAGATTATACCACTCTAGTACCATTCAATATGTTTATCGATGGAAACATCAATGTCAATGGAGCAGTACCAGATTGCCTGTGTGGATTGCTAAGCTTCAACTTTAGTGGTACATCATTGACAACTTTCCCCGATTGTTACAATTGCTACGCCGACAATTTCAAAGACCGACTACCATCAACCATGCAGATACCAACAGATTTTTCATGCAGTGTCACCATTGAGAAGTCATCATTTTATTCTGCTACTCCAGTCGACTCAATCACAATCAGAGGTACCAATCTTGGTTTTGGTGACGAGACCTTGGCTCCTCTACAAATGGTGATTCCAAACTCAGTATTTGTGTAAGTTATCAATTAATTGTCCATCAAACCCATTGGAACATTATCTAACATATTATTATACAGTTTACCAATCAACAAGTCATTGAATGGACAGATGAACGTTACATTCTCATCAAAGTTCTCAACTATTATTAAGTGGACCAATGATATAACTGATGTGATTGATGCAATGGCATTGTACGCTCAGAAGAATCTATCATTGTCTGTTTATGGTACTTTTGGAACTGACTATGTCTACACTGCGGGTGTCAATGAATATCCATGTGATGGAGTATCAGTATCACCTCAGATGTTGGTATGTCAGATACCCACATTCCTTCCAACCAAGAGTCCATCCTACACCGTATGGATCCAGACACCCTACCAAAGGATTGAGATTGTCAAAACCATGAACAACATGAGTATGTCCACTTCTCCATCCACATCATGACCCTCACTAACTCACTCAATCAATCAATATCTAGACTACATTATTGTAACATCATGTTCATCAATATCAACAAATGGAGGATATATCGAGTTTTATGGATCATTTGGTGATGGTGCCGATCCCTCAAACCCGAATAGACAGACAGCAGCAAGTATGAGGAAGTTGATGAGTGTCAACAATGAGTTCCCAGTACCAGTAATCATTGTGAATGATGTACCATGTACCAATCAAACTATCAACAGTACAGTAGTAACATGTCATGTCGAAGGAGGACTACGCAAGGGTGTTGCCAGTCTCAAGTTAACAATTGGAGAGTTCACCTTTGATTCAAAGTCATTGGTAGTTGTTGGTAAGTCATGGAATAGTTCCAATCCATTAATCAAATCAATCACTAATCAATCTATCAATTTTAGAATCAAATGCTAATGATGATTGTGGAGATGATTGTAATAAGAATGGATTGTGTATCAATGGCAAATGTCAATGTGATGAAGGTTATGGTGGATACTATTGTGAGTCCAAATGGGATACAAGTATGGTTATGGTTCAGAATGCCAAACAACCTGCGACAGAGATGAAGTCAACGACATCATCATTGGAGTTCAATATTATTGCCATCCAAGAACTTAACCCATCTGGATCACTTGTCAAAGAGTTGCTACTCAAGGATTGGACATCTACCTCCTCGACCAACGCAACCCTCAGCTCATACATCTACACACTCAACATCAACCAGCCACAAGTATCCATCACATTTGAACTCTCATCACAAACCAGGACTGTGGAGTTTGCTGGCGTCACCAAGACCTACGGACCCAACTCACTCAAGGTGTCAATGTCGATCAACAACTGGGTGTTCAAGACCAATCTCAACAATCTTCGTGTGTTGATGCGTACCAATGCAACATCGTCGGTCAGTGATTCGTGTGGCAGTGACTTCTTTGCCGGAAAGGATGAGAACGACAATGTGGACTACATCAAGATCACCAAGGATGGCACTGCATACTATGGTCAGTTCATATCGTTTGCCATATCTGATGGCCGTCCTGCCTTCTCCAAGACCGAGGTGGTCAACAGCTCGTCAGAGACAGGTATGGCATTCCTGGGCATCTACCTACCACAATGTACCAACTGCACATTGGATCCAAGCTTCTCTGCTTTGCTGGATGTCCAATCACAGCCTGGCAACTGCCAGACCAAGTCCAGCATATACTGGAAGATTCCAGTCATCGTTGTATGTGTGATCGTTGGTGTGATTGGTATTGTGGCAGGCACAGTACTCATTGTCCGCAAGAAATTGAATGGACGTAGAGTTGGTGATGTCGTCAAGATGAAGTTCCTAACAAGGAACAACTCAAGGTATTATGTTCGCTGATCGATCACCTTTTATTGAATAAACAAATAATTATTTATCGAAGTAAAGGTTCATCAATCGGTCAATCAATAATTTATTAATTGGGTGGGTGTCTAATCATCGTCAAAGAATGATGGCTTCTTGGGTCGCTTTGTATTATCGCTGGATGTTGATGTAGTTTGAGTTGTCTTGGTCGATGTCGAAGTTGAGGTGGATGATGATGCGGTGGCGACAGCTGATGCAACAGCTGCACTATTGTCAACAGAGTTATTGCCAAACAATGAGAAGATGTTGAATGGTTGCTCTTCCACGGTGTTGTTGTTGTTGTTGTTTTTTGACTTGCTGGTGTTGGTGGTAGCGGTGGTAGCGGCGGCATTACTGTTGCCGTCAAACAGTGATCTCCATGATGTCAAGACCTGTGCCTTCTTCTTTGGGGCCTCAGTACTTGACTTTGTTGTTGATGTCGATGGTTGAGTTGTAGTCGTTGTGCTGTGTACATTCGTGGCCACAGTATGTGATTGCTTATTATTGTTCTGTTTAGAGGTAGCTGTGGCAGTGGTTGTTGCAGAGGTGGCAGCTGGTGTGGCACCATCTACTTCACCCTTCTTTGGATATACCTTCTTCTTCTTTCCAATTTCCAGGAGCTCATGGTCCTTGGCCATTGGATCGAAACGCTCAATCTTCACCCACTTGGCAGGCTCGCGAGGAACAGATGCTGCGGGTTCCTCCCATGTGGTGTTGGTGTTGTCATCGCGACTCCACTTGTTCTTGCCAGCGCCAGAACCTCCGGCGGCAGCATTGTTGCCCCAACCTCCATCATCACCTCCTCCACGGTTCCATTTGTTGTAGTTCTTGTTGTCCCACTCTCCATCATTGTTGTTGCCCCACTTATTGTTGTCCTTGGTGGTACTCTTGTAGACGTTATCGTTGTCCAAACCTTTGCTGCCATTGTTGTTGTTCTTGTTGTTCTTCCATCCACCATCATTGCCAGCTTCGTCCCATTCATTCTCGTTGGCCCACTTGTTGTTCCAACCCTGGTCAGCACCACCCTTGTTGTTCCAGCCTTTGGAGTTGTTGTTCCAGTCACCTCCATCATTTTTGTTGTTCCACTTGTTGTTGTAGTCACCATCATCCTTTGACCACTTTCCTTTCTTGTCCCAGGCATTGTTACGACTCCACTCTGTATCCTTATCACGCCTATTGTTGTTGTTGTTGTTATGGCCACCACCATATCCTCCCTTGTTATATGAGTTGGAGTAGTCCTGTCCTTGTTCCTGTTCTTGATAGTTGTTGCCATCATCCTGCCATTCACTATTGTTGTCCCAACTTTGATCATATTCGTTGTTGTTGTAGTTGTTGGACTTATTTGAAGATTGAGCATGTGATGATGGCTCAGCAGACTCTTCACCATCATCAAACATCACAACATCATCCTTGCTAGCCTCAATAACCATTGTTGGCTTATTTTGTTGCATCCTCTTCTTGAAAGCCTCCTGTCTCTTCCTCTCACCCTCTGCAGCCGACTGCTTCTTCATATCATAGGCTCCTCCATCACCACCTCCATGACCCTCATCATGTTGTTGTCCATATCCTTGATCATATCCTCCATATCCTTCATCATATCCATGTCCATAACCTTGATCATATCCTTGTCCATATCCTTGATCATTCTCATTCCATGACTGCTCTTCACGATGATGTTGTTGGCGACCTCTTTGTGCGTTTGATGATGATGTTGCTCCCCAGCCACTCGTGTCATTTGAGTATGGATTACTCTTGAACCTCTCCTTCTCTCTGTTTTGCTTGGAGTTCTTCTCAGCAACGACCTCCTGAGCAAACTCCTTAAACTTGTCCATGAATGAATGTACTTCTTCTTCTCAATCCTCTCACGCTTCTTTGCCTGTGCCTCCTCCTGATCACGTTTGGCCTGGGCCTTCTCCTGTTCCAAACGCTCTGCATCCTGTTTCTTCTTCAACAATGCCTCTTCCTCCTTTATCTCTTCATCCTTGAGTTGTTGCCATCTTTGATCATTTGATTGATTGAATGAGTGATTGAGTGAGTGATTGGAATGATTCCAAGATTGATTGAGTGAGTGAATACATACCTCTTTGTGAAGTGTGGATGCTTGGCCTTTGCCAGGGTGATGATGGAACCCTTCCATCTGGTCTTGGACAGACTGTTGGACACTGTGATTAATTGATTGATTGATTGAGTGAGTGATCATAACTTGTTTATGCAACAGGACATAACATACACTTGATGAATGCGTCTTCGGTGGCAAAGTGAACATCGGCAAAGGCAAAGCCTTTATAATGTCCATCGACGGCATCGTTGACCAACTCTAGTGATTGAACATTGCACTCACTGGACACTGATGTGAACAGACTGGACAGCTCGGCATGTGGTACAGATGGTGGCAGACCACCCAAGTACAACCTAAGTGTTGCTGGATACACTATAATCTCTTCCACCTTCTTCTTCTTCTCTTTCTCTTTCTCTTTCTCCTTCTTCTGTGGGACGACTTGACTATCCATCATCTCGCCACCCTCTGTTGCCTCGCCGCCCTCTTCATCGCGACTATGTCTTGACTTCTTTGTTGGTCTCTGTTGTTGTTGTTGTTGTTGTTGTCCATGACCATGTCCATAACCATTGTTGTTGTCTTCATCATATTGGTTTTTGTCATAGTCTTGCTCATAAGTGTGGGCATAGTCTCCAGTGGCTTGGCGGTTGGCTCTCTCCTTCTCGCGTTGCTCCTTGACTCTCTTCTTCTTGCTGTTGGTGACGTAGGCATCGTATACACTCTTGTCATATTCACCATCGTCTGCATCATTATCATTATCATCGCGTGTTGGTACATCCTTCTTATAATATTCATTATGTTCACGTCTCTTCTTTGCATTTGACATTCCTTGTTGAGCCTGTGGTTGTTGCTTCTCTGGCACTGGTACCTTCTCAGCGCCATCGAGCAAACTGCTCATTATATCGAATCTAAAGTCAAAGTCTGCCATTTCTCTATCTCTATATCTTTTCTCTATCTCTTTGACTCCACTCGCTCAATCATAAAGACGAATGATTCGTCTAACTTTTGTTCAAAACTTCAAATAATCATCAAATGTTTTTGAAAATTTTGAAAACAAGCACAACAAGTGCAGTTTGAGGGTTGCCAACCTCCAACCCTCGCCCACTCCCCTTTCGCGACTTCATTGTTGTTGACTCAGCAACACTATCTCACTCACTCTTTCATTCATTCATTCAATCAATTAACATTACTATTACAACATATACATAGATACACAAGGTATAACATAAGAAAGAAAAGAATGAATAGTGGAAATAATTATGATAGTGTAGTTGGAGATAATAGTAACTCATATGGTCAACCAACTTTGGCATCAGATTATGGACATCATGATATGAGCATGGGCAATGGCAATAGTAATAATAGTGGTAGTGCATTTGCAATGGGAGGTTCACAATCATTGAACTCATCTTCGACTCAGAATGCATCGGGCTCAATGCTGCACCAGCGATTCAACTTTGTCACGACCAAGGTCAAGGAGTTCAAGGACACGCGTCTTCAAAACACTCGTGACTGGATGCTCTTTGTTGGCAAGCGTGAGAAGTACGGACTGCCCACAATGAGCACAGCTCCCGAGCGTGTCAAGGAGAACATCATCTACTTCCAGACCAACTACCTCATCCTATTCTTCATCTTTGCAACATACGTCATGTAAGTGTGCGACTTGACTGACTTCGCGAACATGTCCAACACACGTCTAACAACATGTTGCGACCGACACACACATTAGTATTACCAAGCCATTGTTCTTGTTCCTGTTGGTGTTGCTGGCACTTATCTCGATATACATGAACTATGTCAATCCAGAGCTGCCAGAGATTTACAAGAAGATTGGATTCGGTATCCAAGTATTCCTATCAATCTACTTCCTTCTTTCCGCTGGTTCATCAATCGTTTGGCTAATTGGTGCATCAATATCAAGTAACTATCAATCACCTGATCATTCAATCAATCATTCAAACATGCTCACTCACTCACTCATTCATTCATTCCCATTCACTTTAGTTGTACTTTTGCATGCTGCATTCCACGTTCCACAATCAACGGATGACTCGCAGCTCCAGTTTGGAAGTGCTTAAACTACCAAACTACCAAACAACCAAGAACCAAACATTGTAGCATTGACCTCCCAACAACATTTGAGTGTTTATGTGTGATCAAGCTCAAAAAGAGTGTATTATTAATAAAGCCATGACACTCTCCACCTCCCCTCTCCTCGTACATTAACATGTTAAGCCACGTTGCATACTGATACTCTCGAGTAAGTACTTCTGACTTACTTGTGGTAATCGTCAGTCGATCACTTATGCCCAAGTTTGATTGATCTGGCATGGTCCTGTCTTTCCAGGATGGTCGTGTTCATCAAACAAGCCCCTTTTTTCAAAGATTGGCAAAGTACGATGCGATGAGTCAGGGTTTGCCTGAATTTGAATGAATGAAGGACGTTGGGTTGGATGACCCCCTTCAAACATTGCATCGGCTCATTCAATGTCATTATCATCCTCCTTGAATAGTTAGTTAAAGAGATAATATATATATATATATAAGTATGAGTAAGAAGTCAACATTACTATCAAGGAGCAAAGAACTTGAAAGAGAGTCATTGTTGTCAAGTAGTACAAATAGTACTTCGTCGATTGATAGTCAATCATCAAACTCAATAGAGTTGATGGATGTACAACCTATTACAATGATGGCGCAAGATCAACTACCACAACAACTGCAACAACTACTACCTGAACAACAACAAGGACAAGGACAAGGACAACAAGCACAAGTGTTGTTGAGCCCAACACAGATATTGTTGAGTGAGTTGGTACACTTTGCAGCGTTGGGCGACTTGGATAGCTGTACATCGGTATGCGAGAGAATGAAGAAACAGCATCCGAGCGTAGTGTTCCGTACTTGGATCAATGAGACCGACATCAATGGTAACTCGGCATTGCACTGGGCTTGTTATCGCCGACATTTGAACGTGGCTAAGTTCCTGATTGCCAGGGGCGCCGACGTCGACCTGCCCAACACCGAGCAACAACAGACACCGTTGCACTGGGCTTGTCTATCGGGCGACCCTCACCTGGTCTACTATCTCATTGGTCATGGTGCTGACATGCACAAGCGAGACAAACGTGGTCTCAACACACTGTTGCTCAGCTCCAACCTGCCCGACCTGCACATTGTCCGCTACCTCCTTTACAAAGGCATGTCAGTTGCCAACAGGGATGACGAAGGACATACACCACTGCATTGGGCAGCATTCTCTGGCAGCACCAAACTCGTTCGATACTTCCTTCGCAAGGGTGCCGACCTCAACAGTCTGGACAACTTGGGCAGGACTCCATTCCACTGGGCAACATACAAGGGTTACTACGAGACAACGATGGCACTGTTTGAAGAAGGTGCCAGTCTCACGATAAAGGTATGACAGGTCCATGGACCTCTCAAGGACACGACTCAGCTACTAATCATTGGATCGCGCACCTTTAGGACAAGGAGAACAGGACACCTTATGAGCTGGCACTGACGCGATCAACTGAGCCAGTGCTCAGGTTCCTCAAACAGCAAGAACAAAAGAAACATCCATCAATCGATCAGAAGAGTGTAAGTACAATCAATCAATGGGCCATTATGGAACATAATATTCACTCATTCACTCAATCAATCAAATTATTATTTAGAATAATGGATATCATAATAATCAATCATTCTGGTTAATGTTGGCATTGGTTGGAAACCTTTTATTATTTATTATAACATATTGTACTTCATTATGGGTCTCAGTACCGACATTGGCATTCATTGCCAATCTTGCACGTATACTCTTCAAACACTACTGGCTCAAAGACACTCTCAACCCATTCCCAATCGCCTGGTGGATAATAAGCTGTATCTTTTGTTACTGGTCCTATGTATTCCTTGTTCTTCCAGGTCAGTCCACCCAATCAATCATCCATTCATCCAATCATTCAATCATTCATACTTACCCTACCCTCACCCTTACCCCTACCCTATGATGTAGACACTGGACAATTCACTCAATCACATTTGGCCTTCAATATATTGAGCGCCATCTTCTTTTATTGCCTTTGCAAGATACCTTTTACAGATCCTGGCGTTATAAAGTCATCGCCAGAGAATGATCAGAGAGTGTTTTTGGACTGCCTTGAACAGAATGAGAAGATTCCAGAGATATGTACGACATGTCAAACCAATCGTCCAATACGTTCCAAGCATTGTAGAGTATGCAAGCATTGTGTTGCCAGATACGACCATCACTGTGTCTGGATAAACAACTGTGTTGGCGCCAAGAACCATCGACTATTTGTATTACTACTACTCACCTTTAACCTGGCAGCAATACCATTATATTATATGACTATCAAATGTATGTACACGTTCACTGGAACTATTCCAATCACTCGATCACTCACTCATACATAACCAATCAAATAATTTAGTATTGTTGAGTGATGCTGGAGCACCAACATTCGAGTCTGGACATTATTGGAGCATGGTGACATATTATTTTGATCATCATAGGATGATATCGATATTTATGATTTATGGTCTGGCAGGATGTGTGTATACACTTCGTTTGTTGGCATCACAGATTGCAGGAGTATTGTTCAACTTCACCATGAACGAAGTGTTGAATATCACTAGATACACATATCTTCGTGAAGGTGGTCGTTGGAATGTATTCAATCGAGGTATCCTTGGTAACACCTACGAGTTCCTCTATGAGTACAAGAAATGGTACATCACTTATACAACATAATAATCCAATTAATAATAATAATAATTAATTGATTGACTGGCATTTGTTTTGACAATGCACGTTGCTCGAAACTGCAATCGGGGTTCAAAGTTGTGTGTGTGTGGAGCAATAAATAATATTTATTGGTTGATGTCTATTCCAATTGAGTAATCTTGGCTGCTCTGGTAATCTGGAGGGTATCAGACTTAGCCCTCTTTGTATATTTCCTCTTGGGCTTGATTGTGGACGATGGGGGTGGCAACATATCCTGTCCGGGAGATGTAGCAGGAACTGTTGCGCCGGGAGCGACAATCAGGTTGTTCTGGACAATATTGTTGGTCTGATTGTTTTGGATCAAGACTAGGTTGTTGGTGACATTCTTTGGAGGTCTTCCCCTTTTCTTCTTAGCCTCTGTGAACATGAATGTAGCACTATGGATACATGTTAGGAACCAATATGGCCAAGTTGGATTAAATGATTGATTGCCACACCTACACTGCTTGCCGTGAGTTGATATGCACGCCAACCTTACGCTGGGCCGACATAGGGATGATCCCACCTGATTTTGGACCCGCCAGGACCAACTCCATTGATGTTGAGTTGATCACAGCCACATCATTGTTTGTTGGGTTCTTGGCTGCCTCTGCAATGGCAGTGTAGTTGATTGGCAGCGTCTCCCATGCCGATAGGATGTTCTTCTTGGTGGATGTCACCTGCCAAGCTTGGGTGATACAATCAACCATGTCTTGGTACCCTATCTTCCCAGTCTCGGGAAGATATTGAGGATATGTTGACTTGAAGTTGGATTTGAATGCAGAGAACACCTTGAGGTCAAGCGGCTGCAGCAAATGGGTAGAGTTGGCAGGGAACGTGTGGGCCTGTATGTTGTTGGTGTTGCAGACGTCCGCCACAGCCGCCTGGAGGTTGGATGAGTGATTGTCCAGGGGTGATTATTATTATTATTTAAAATCCATTATCCATCCATTTATTGTCAATATGAATAGTCCCATCCATCCTTGAATGAACGATCTGAATTGAATAACTTCAGAAGCTTCAAGTGTCATACGTCAACTAAGATTGACCTAATTTGTTCTGCTTTCAAGACACACGAAAACGGAAGAAGTATTTCTGACTTAACGACAGTCAAGAACTTGTGCTGGGGGGGG